TTGTTTTGTATATTTGACAGATTTATCACATATACTTATGTATGTCTTTTTGTTTCTATATTTAAAAAAAAACGAATACCTGACATCACATCTTGGAAAAGACATTCTCCATATGTATATATGTATATATGATGTACTTAATAGAGAGGGAGAGAGTGAGTTAGTGAGTGAGTGAGTGAGTGAGTGAGTGAGTGAGTGAGTGAGTGAGTGAGTGAGTGAGTGAGTGAGTGAGTGAGTGAGTGAGTGAGTGAGTGAGTGAGTGAGTGAGTGAGTGAGTGAGTGAGTGAGTGAGTGAGTGAGTGAGTGAGTGAGTGAGTGAGTGAGTGAGTGAGTGAGTGAGTGAGTGAGTGAGTGAGTGAGTGAGTGAGTGAGTGAGTGAGTGAGTGAGTGAGTGAGTGAGTGAGTGAGTGAGTGAGTGAGTGAGTGAGTGAGTGAGTGAGTGAGTGAGTGAGTGAGTGAGTGAGTGAGTGAGTGAGTGAGTGAGTGAGTGAGTGAGTGAGTGAGTGAGTGAGTGAGTGAGTGAGTGAGTGAAAGAGAGAAGGTACAGTCATATGAAGTAGTATCTATGCTAATCAACAATCATTGATATTTGCCAAAACATTTAATTAATATATAGTTGAATTATATCACATGATTTCATTGGCCTCATTTGGAAGAATGGATTCCATCTATCTATAGATCTATACTGTACCAAAAAAAAGTTTAAAAGGTTATTTAGAATATTTTAAATTCTTGGCTAATGTTTCTTTACACTATTCACTTATTGATGGAGGTTTATTCTCTGAGCTGGATGGTTTAGTCGTGGAGCTTTCATCGTTCTTCTAAACGACATCAGAAGAAGAACAATGAAAGCTCCACGATCATCACCTGAGCTATAAATCTTCTCTACCATCTCATTATTCACATGAATTATGTGAACCTCTGTACAGGGATAGATTAATTTTAATAGTTGAGATCATGAGTCCACCATGAAAAACCTGAAAGCATTGGATGACCGTTTCATCCTATTGTGAGACTCCTCAGGAGTTCACATCCACGATTCCGCCTCGTGAGATTCGAACTTAGGACCTATCAGTTTGACAGGTTAACTATTAAAATTACTATAATATCCAAAGAACCCCTTCTGAAGGATAGGTTAGTTGTTTTTTAAAGAAAGGAAAGGTATTGTCATTAAATCCAAAACAATATATTACTCACTATGTATTTTAATGTGTTCTGTTCTATTGTGATGATACGACTCTATAACACTTGAACTGATGGTCTCTCATTCTACTGACTGAATACAGTAAATGATACATTCAAGTTCATTTTCTACTAATATAATGTTTCTAAATTTTTTAATAGTTGAGATCATGAGTGAAGTGAATGAAGCTAGACCACCACGGAAAACTTGGAAACACTGGACAGTCGTTTCATCCTGTTGTGGGACTCCTCATCAGTGGGCATCCAAGATCCCGCATTGTGAGGTTCAAACCCATGACCTGTCAGTCTCGCGCGCAAATGCTTAACCTCTAGATCATTGAGCTGGCTGGCATCCGACCGTGTTAATGTCTAAATTCAACTAATCCACGAAATTGAGTGACACATCCACCATTGTCTTCAGTGATTACTATCTCACAACAAGACCGGTTGAACTCCACTGGTCGCTACTTCTCACTAAAACTCCAGGAAATACCACTTGAGCATATGAGCGTATGCTGATTAATATCAGAAGGGGTTTTGTGGATATTATAGTAATTTTAATAGCTGCTTCATTGTAGTATATATCTCTTTATCAGTATGAATCCATAACCTTCAAGTCTTTAAGCGAATGTCTAACTATTAGAAACATTTAGTTATGATCTGAGTGTATACATTTCCAAATTCAGTCAGTTTATGATATAGCGCGACGATCGTTTTATGTCACTAAAGGCAGCGTTTTCACCACAAATATATCTGAACAACACTAGTCAAGACTTGCCACTAGAACATCAGTTACTTAACTAGAAATTAGTGGTTAACCAGATGATTATCAAATACATTCTACCATGGATAAGATAAAATTAACATCAAATAAAATCTAGCGACTTGATTGATAGTAAGTTAACATACAATAGTTGGAATGTGACCGGCAGTAGAATCCCGAATACACGTTTCGTTCTAGTCTGGACACGTCAACTAGATATACGTGCATATAATAGAGTTGATGTTCACTCTGTGACCTGAACAGGACAAAACTCTCATCCTATATACCCCTACTAACCACATTCTGTCTACTCTATATCAACTTATATCATAATGGTTGTGTTATCAAGTCAATCTGTAACCAAAACTGATCAAATTTTAGTCAAAACTATCAAGAATACAATGATGTAAACTAGTTCAAATGGAATATTCACATTATATATGTAGAATTCTTTAAGAAATATTGATGTGAATAGAGTCATTCTAGAGTCCAAAAGTAATCAATTATCCATAGATTAAGTAATAGTAAGTGTCAGAGATAATCTCCGTAAGTGTTGATAACATATTATAAGACTGTCAGATGAACTAGGTATTCATATAAACGTTTCTATTAGAGAGTATTCTATTTTAAATTTAGAAAAAAAAGAAGATGGATATTGTCACGTTATTCATTTGAAGTCACTAATCTTATAATCAATTTCTTTGAATAATATACATCATTCTTCTTAAGTTTAACTAATCAAGTGGGTTTGTAGGTTAATCGAATGATTTTACTGGTGCTATGTTAATACGGCTGCAAAACGTTGTCATTAAGAGTAGAAGATAATTGTAAGTTGCTAGTATTTCATCATAGATGTCTTAGAAATACAGCTCATATCTGCTGGAATCACCTAGTAAGTAATAGTGAGGTTAGACGTAGGTTATTAGGGAATGATGATGGTAGATCAGTTGATCAGGTTGTAAATCTTCATCGACTAAGATGGTTGGGCCACGTGTTACGTATGCCTGAACACCGATTATAGCGACATATAACGCTGACTAGTATTGTGGATGGTTGGAAGGGAAGTAGGGGTGGCCAAACCGAAACGTGGTATTAGTGCTTGAGGTCACTAACTTCTAGTCTGAGTCATGTTGGTAGATACAGACTACTTGGTTGGGGTCCCCGTGACTATCGTACACAATGGTTGGAGACTGTTGATGACATGGCTCAGAATCGATCACAATGGCGTCGGTGTATACACTCTCTGTCTTCCCATAGACTAAGAGATTAAAATCGCTTGATATCTTTCTTTCTACCAACTAATTCATTCTTCCTGTACTATATCTTCAAATACAATCTTTCTTTTATACATTTCCACCATTGAAGTAACTACTTCTGTGGATCCGGTGTTCATCTTGTTGTGTTAATGAGATGTGAGAACTTGGACCGATGCATATATGTGCCTGGTCCTACGTTGTAGCTAACTGATTAACTGAATGACTGAATAACATACTACTTATATCTATCAACATCAGTAGCACACACACGTCATAGATTGTATAGTGTGTTGTGATGTTTTCAGAACATTGTAAATCCATTATTATTTCAAGAAGTATTTCATAGTGAACAAAGTTTCAGAATCTATTTAAGTAAATTATATTCATGGATTCACCAGTGATAGATGTTAAGATAAGCTATTGAATTACTAGGTAAAACTAGTGACCATTGGAGTTTAATCACGTTGGAACTGAGTTAACCAAAATTGAAAACTTGAACTAATCAATGGTCAGAATGTTGCTTTCTCCATATGAAATCCTTGAGGCTTATCTCGGATAGGGTTATGGATGAGTACTGTTAGGTCACAAACTACTACATGATATGCTCTGTATTCCTGTTTGGTTTTCAATGATTCTTCAGTTGATTTCAGTCTGTACTGAAAACAATGCTGAAGTTAAAAATAGATTACTAGATCTAGATGGTAAAACTGACCATGAGCTAATTAATCTTTATCAAATGAGTTGGTTCAAACATGCATTACATATACCTAGAAACCGTCTGCTTCGACAGGCGCTTTTGTCTGATACAGCAGTAGATTAGAAGAAACGTAGTAATAACCAAATTAAAACGTGTTATCAGTTAAGAAAACCGCTAAGTGTTGGGCTTATTCATGTTTATGGATGCAGAATAATTGGTTGGGGACCTCATCGATTCAGAACTAGTCACAATGGCATAGATACATTGATCTCCAGTTCCAAAATTAATTTACAATTTTATGTCCCAAAATCCATGCATTTTGTATCATATTTTCTATGTTTAATCCTTTCTACTTTCATGGAATTTGTTCACATAGTTTCAATTCGTTGACCTAATATGATGTTACGACTTAAACCGATGAACATATGAATCCACGTTTTATTCTTACATTTATTTATTTATTTAAACACGCAAACATTAGTATAGGGAGGTACCAATTAGATATGCGCCACAAATATCATTCAATTTGTGTGAGAGCTTGGAAACTGTCCGGGTGCCCAAACTGTAACAGGTAGTTTTCTTAGGGAGCCACACTCGGAGCCTTCAGCCTAAAGACCTGATCCACATGGCAGTGAAGCAACGTCAGGAGATGCAGTCTCATGGTAGCCTGTGACCGACAATAGGTTCATACAACATTTGTTTCCTTAGGATCCTGGAGCTCATGTGAACGATTGGTTTGGAATCAGGGTTTTCCAACACTCGTAGATGAACCCTTCATATCCACCATCCCAGTTAAATTGCCGGACATTCACTTTTTATTCTTTCAATTTCGGAAAGAACACTTGTTCAGAGAGAAAACAGTGAGTAGGACTTCTCTAGTAGTGGTTGTAGGCATGTGGCTATGTGAGAGCATTTAGAGAGGGAGGGCTAGTTCTCCGTACCTTCGACCATACTAGGGCATTTGGCGGCTCCAAGTTTTATGTTGCTTACGATAAACTGATCACAATTCAAATGAATTAAACAGTGTCATTGTTGATAAATTTTTAGTAATCACTATCATTATAATCTATTCACATGTTTTGTTTTCTTTTTTTATTTTTAGAAATGAATCCAAAACTTAATCCTCCTTCATACATGCAGAAACTGGATGATGTTCTTGTTGAAAATGGTAGGTTATTGTAATACAAATATTCTTAATTCCTTTTTCAATTTCTATGTTGTAATACCATTTCATACAAATGATAATACTGTACACTAAACCAAATGAGGAAATAATCAACATTGAGGTTAACTATCATCATCGTCTGTTACCCTTTATGGGGGAGCCCCGGCATCCTCCATCCAACTCTGTCATGGATATTTACTTTTCAGTTCTGTCTAGTTGTTATTCAGGCTTCCCATGTCTGCTTCCAATTGCCGACATAGTGTATCATTTGGTCTCCCTCTTTTCCGTTTCCATTCAGGATTACAAGTTAGCGTTTACCTCGAGATGCAGTTTGATGATTTTCTTAATGTATGTCTTATCCACTTCCAACGTCTTTTCTAATCTCCCCCTCAACTGAAAGCTGGTTTGTTCCCTACCACAAAGGGATGTTGCTGATGGTGTCCAGCCAGCGAACATTGAGTAGATTGGTAAAAAAGGGTACCGGGCACATAGGCGCCACACAAGTCACTTCATTTGTATTTGGGCTATAATACTTCTTGGGTGCTCAGACCGAAGCAGATTGTTTTCTTAGGGCGCCACTCCCGGAGCCATTAACCTAAAGGTCTAATCCACAAGGCAGTGGAGCAACGTTAGGAGATGCAATCCCATTGTAGCCGGTGACCAACGATTACTTCATACTCTACTTGTTCTTTCAGGATTCTGGAGACGATCGGTGTAGAATCTGGGTTTTCTAACTCCTCTAGGTGGATCTTCCGTATTCACCAACCCGGGTTAATCGCCGGATATTCTTTGTTCGTCCTCTGAGTTTCGTAAGTAACACCGCGTTTTAGAGAAAGCAGTGGGTAGGACTTCCCTTGGAGTGGCTGTATACACATGACCATATGAGAGCATTTGGGGAGGAAGATCTAACTTTCCCCACCCCCGACCGTACGAGAGCATTTGAGGGCGATGATTCAAGTAAACTTTACCAAGTGGATTTATTCCTAACTTGCAAAACAATCTCATTAAACAGATTTTTATCAGACGAACATAGTATATAATATTAGACTAGAATAAATCTTATCATTAAAAAAACAAATTCAATGATTAACACACAATATATCAATTATTATCAGCATAGCGTTGTGGAGATTGATGAGTTTTAACTGAGATCATGTACTCACCAGCGACTGGCCTCGAGAAGTAATTCTTGGAGTTCTAGTGAGAAGCCATGACTAATAGAGTTCAATTATGTCGGCTGTGAGGCAGTTACCCACTAAAGACAATGGAAGATGGTTACGCAAAATCTTGAATTGGTTGAAATTAGACATTAACATCATTGGACACCGGTTCAGTTGTCTAGAGGTTAGACGTTCACACACAAGATCAAAGGTCTGTGGTTCGAATCCCGAATACGTGACCATAGATGTTCACTCTTGAGGAGTCCTATACTAGGACGAAACATGTATCCAGTAGTTCCAAGTTTCTAATGGTGATCTAACATTGATCGGCACATGATCTCAATCTCAATTACCATGGTAATTAAACTTCAATTTACAATTTTTTTCAATATTATGCAAATCAATTAACTGAAATACAAATGTTACGTTCAATCATCGAAACAAACAAACAAACAAACATTTTCAGTGATAATTTGAGAACAAAAACTCATTATACATTCATCTATATGACATATATTTATATATAAGGTATAATTGACTACAGTTTTCAACAAAGACTGAAATCAATCGTCAGAACATCAAGGATACGTGGAAAAGATATCTTGATATATATTTATTTACGTGGTTACTTCACGGTCTTCTTGAATATCTGGGTTGCCTGTACCTACCATGTAGATATTTTAATATATACATCGGTAAGACTATCATTTATAGATGAATCAATCAGGTGTATAAGATAACAGGTCTCGAATCTTGGCGCAAAATTCACTCATCTATTTGAATAAATAAAGTTTTGACATTCTAGCTAATGTTAGGTTGTGATGAAAACACGAAATCTAATTCCTAAGCTTAATTCCTCACACAGGTTCATAATCCTCATTTGGTCCTGGTTATGCAGTGGACACTCTCAAGGTCAGTCTAGCGTCGCTCAAAGGTCGTTCATAAATCAATTTCACCACTGAACTTAATCTAGTTCAATTTAGATCATTGATCTTGGAGTTTAACCGTGAATGTAATACCATTCGATGAATAGATCAAAAACTAATGATTCATGTTTTTGCAAATTGACTTAATTTCACATGATATAACCCCAGAGGGGATCCAGGCAGAGTTCATGATAGACCATGGTGATCATTAATTGTTATATTCATTATCTTAATATTGGTATGGTTATTTGTATAAATGACAGCTTTCTACGATACTTTACAGATAATTCTCTCAAAACTATGCACTCATGAATATATGATAGTTATTTTGATATTATTATTACTGGGTTTATTCAATATTATATTTTGGGTACAATATAGAATTCTCAGTACGAAGCATTTCAACAAGTTTCCGTTTCTTATTTCTTGACCGATAATGACGATAACATATTGAGTGATCGCCAGTTAGATGCCCTGGTACGGTTGAAGGTAGGGAGAGTCAGATCTCACTTTCAAAATGCTCTCACATGGCCACGCGTATACAGCCACTCCAAAGGAGGTACTACTTACTGCTTTTTCACGAAGGGGTTGTTGTTTACGAAACTGAGAGGACGAAAAGTGAATGTCCGGCGAATTAACCGGGATGATGGACATGGTGTGACCACGTAGGGGAGTTGAAAAACCCTGATCCTAAACCAGGATCCTGAAGGAACAGATGACGTATGAACCTATTGTTGGTCACCGATTACCATGGCATCGTATCTCCTGACGTTGCTCCACTGCCTGCGGATTGGACCCTTGGGTCGAAGGCTCCGGTTGTGGCCCCCTAAGAAAACCACCTTGTTTGGTTTGGGCACCCAGGCAGTATCAAAACCCGCCCACAAATGAAGTGATTTGCGCATTCGATGCTCTTCTTCTACCAATATTTATGTATTCAAATAAACAAATAACATAGTTTTTTATTATTTTTATTTTAACACATAGATATTGGTACAAGGAGGCACCAAATATATATGCGCCACACAGAACTCATTTGATATGTGTGAGGGATATGATACTGCCCGGGTGTCCGAACCGAATCCGGTGGTTTTCGTAGGGTCCACAGCCGGAGTCTTTGACCTAAAGGTCTGATCCACAAGGTAGTAGAACATCGTAAGGAGATGCAGTCCCATAGTATCGGGTGACCAACAATTGGTCCATATGCCATTTGTTCCTTGAGGATACTGGAGACCATGTGCACCATTGGTTTGGAGTCAGAGTTTTTCAACTTTCCTAGGTGAATCTTCCGTATCCAACAACCCAGTTAAATCGCTGGCATTCGCTTTTCGTCCTCTCGATTTCGTAAATAACGCATAAACCTCAAAGAGGCGGTGAGTAAAACCTCCTCGGTAGTGGTTGTATGCACGTGGTCATGTAAGAGCATTTGGAGACTGAGGACTGACTCTCCCCAACCTCGGTTGTACCAGTGCATATGGGGGTTCTGTAGGAACGAAAACGGTATGAATCTGGCATGGGACACCCTAGAAATAACTGGCTTTAAGAGGTATTTGCTGAGGTTCTAGTCAAAAGCCGTGACCAGTGAATTTCAACAGGATCTGTTATGAGATAGTAACTCGCTGAAGACAATGATGGATCGTGACGCAATTTCGTGAACTGGTTGAAGTTAAACATTAACACGGTTGGATGCCGAGTCTATGTTTTTAGAGGTTAAACGTTCACATACGAAACTGAAGATCCTTGATCGGATTCCCGCATGCATGATCATGTATGAGCACTACTGAGGAACTACATACTAGGACGAAACAATCGTCTAATGTTGTTAGACTTCCCATGATTGTCTAATATTAACTCATTTATAAGTTCAATTGTTTTCTACTAATTATATAACTTAAACTGTACTATTTTCATTTTTCTTCTTTTACATGAAATCAAATAAGAAATGAACACTGAATCATTTAAAACAATAAAAAAATCTAATAAATTCAATCTAAACAAAAATCCTAATCATGATGAAGATTGGACTGTTCATGATGGATCCCGTAGATTTACACCAATTTTATCATCACCTATATCAATCAAAACACCACCACCACCACCATCTCAATTCCAATCTCAATCCCAATTTAGACCCTTATCACCACCGCTACCACCAATACCCCCAACAACAACAACAACTATACCATTAATTGAAAAAATTAATCAATTAACTAATATCAATAAATTCAATGAAATTATTCAACCAAATTATAAAGAAAATCTATTTACTGAACAAAAATCAATATGGAATAAAATGAATAAAACATTAACCCAATTCAATGAACAATTACCTAATTATTCAAATAAATTAAATCATCAACGTATTATACATAGTACACCATGTAGTCCTACTATCGAAAGAAATATCCTTATTAAACCTATTCATAATCATGAGGATGATGATGTTATATTAAGAAATCATAAAAAATCATCAATTGGTTTACCACCACGTCCATTAAGATCACCAATTATACGTTTAAATGGTCGATCTATATCACCAATTCATTCACGTATATCACCATTACCATCTTGTATAAATAATGAAGTAACTAAAACTAAACAAATTGATCCTATTACTGGTGAAATTCAATATATCACATCTAGAACAAGATCATATACTGATTTAAATACTAATCAATTAATTACAGAAATAGAAGAAAATATACAAGGTGAAGGAGATACAGAAGTAAGAGTTGTTCGAAGGAAAACACGTAAAAGTAAGTTACATGATATGTTGTGATTAGTTGTATTATAGATAATCCTTAAATGCTCTGGTTACGGCCAAGGGTAAGGAGAGTTAGCGCTCTCTCTCTCTCTCTCTCTTCCTCTCTCTTGAAATGATCTCACATGGTCATACGTACGCAACTACTGCCAAAGAAATCTTAATCACAGCCTTCTCACGAAAAAGGTTTTGTTTAAGAAATTGAGAGGATGAAAAACGAATATCCGGGTCGGTGGATCCATTTAGGGTAGTAGGAAAACCTTGATTCTAAACTATTGGTGTACATGGGTTCTAGGATTCCAAGGGAACAAATGGCTTATGAACCAATCATTGGTCACCGGATACCATGGGACTGCATCTCCTTACGTTGCTCTACTACCTTGTAGATTGAACTTTTAGATTAAAAGTTCTGAGTGTGGCTCGGTCTAAGTTACCAGGCAGTATCACAGCCTACATACAAATGTTTGATGCATATGTATTCGATGCTCCTTTGTACCAATATTTATGTGTTCAAATAAATAAATAATGTATTATTGATTTCAGCATGTAGATTCAAAATTATTGATTTATGAGTGAGACTATAATTTATGCACCATATATGAGCGATGCTAAAGTGATTTTGGTGGAGTTTTGTTCTCTGAGCTGATGTTGTCGTTCAGAATAACGATGAAAGCTCCACAACCAAACCATCCAGCTCAGAGAACAAAACTCCACCAAAATCATCCACCTGAGCTACCAATCTTCTCCACCATCTCAAGATGCTAAAGTGACTTTGAGAATGTCCACCTAATTACTAGATCTAAATGACGATTATGAACCTGTGTGAAGAATAAAGAATGTGATTTACAATTGATGGTTAGATTTAAAGGTTTGGATCACGAAGTGACATCAGCTAAAATGCCAAAGCGTTATTTAATCAAATGAATAAGTGAATTTTGCGTCGAAATCTGATTGATATGTCCATAAATTATAGTCTGATATCATTATTTATATGATCAAAGCACAGAATTAAGAAAAATTAATCAAATGTAACATAGAACCTGGTGCGTATTTACACAGGTTCAAGTTATCATACCTCATTAGTATCAAGTGATGAACTTGGTAGGGCAAATCTCACAGTAGTTTACGTAATAGAAAGTGTTAGGCATCTAAAATACAATAAGAGACTACAAAAAATGACTTGTTTAATCTAATTGGAGTTTTTTTTAACAAGATTTTTTTCTACGAGATGGGGTTCTTGACCTCATGTCTAACCCTGACTTTTTACTAGTATAGGGGTTGTGAAGATTATTAAGTTTTTGATTGAGATCATGAACCGATTGATGTTAGACCACCTTTGAAAACCTGGAAGCACTGGACGGCCGTTTCGTCCTATTGTGGGACTCCTCAGCGATGCGCATCCACGATCCCGCTCGTGGGACTCGAACCCAGGGCCTCTCCCATAACCCGGGCTTAAGACCGGCACTAACTCTAGAAGGGCTGAGGGGGAAGTTACGATAAGAATTAGTGAAATAATAACAAAAAAAACTTTATGATGAATCTAAGACAAGACGAAGTGGGAATACACACTTGTTATTTCAAACAATTTTGAGTCATTACATTCGAAATCTTTAACATTTTAGTAGTAATAATGATCATATAGACTCTTCATCTACTTACATGACTCAATCTAATAATCAGTATATTCGTCATTCTATTGAATGAATTCTATCCAATATTTAAGAAATCTTAAAAGACAGTTTACAATCTAAGCCTTTTCTAAAGTTAGCCCTTCAGTTGAAATGAAGACGAGACTATAATTTATGGATGAACCAATTAGGTATAAGATAACAGATGTCGGATTTTGGAGCGAAATTCATTCATTCATTCAGTCAGTCAGTCGGATAAATAGAGTTTAAGCATTGATTTAATAATAAAATTGTTTAAACAATAAGATTATTCCTATAATTGAATATCATGAATGAACAGTTGAATTTAGAGTCAATCAGTCAACTACAACGTAGCACAAGGCATATATATGCATCGGTCCAAGTTCCCATATCTCATTAGCACAACAAGATGAACACCGGATTCATACAACTAGTTACTTCAATGATAGTAATGTATAAAAGAAAGATTGCATTTGAGGATATAGTACAGTAAGAATGAATTAGTTGGTAGAAAGACATAAAGTAATTTGAATCTCATAGTTTAACGGAAGACAAAGTGTGTATATACCTACACCACAGTGATCGGCTCTGAGCCATATCACACACGGTCTCCAACCATTGGTTACAAATAGTCACACAGACCTTAACCAAGTAGTCTTCATCTATCACCAACATGACTCAGACTAGAAGTTAGTGACTTCAAGGACTGACGCCATGTTTTACTTTTGGCTGCCCCTAACTTTCTTCCAGCTATCCCCAACACTAGTCATCGTTGTATGTCGTGGTAATCGGTGTTCAGGCATCCATAAAACGTGGCCTAACGATCTCAGTCGATGAAGATTCACAACTTCATCAACTGATTTACCATCATCATTCCCTAATACCCTACGTCTAAACTCACTATTACTTACTCGGTGATCCCAGTAGATGTGAGCAATACTTCTAAGACATCTTTGGTCAAGTACTAGTAGCTTACGTTTATATAAACATTAGCTAAATATCACGAATGTAAATCATGCATGTAAACCACCACAGAGTCTCATATTAGGACGAAACAGTCGTCCAATGCTTCCAGGTTTTCATTTGTGGGGTCTAATATCGATGATCGATTCATGATCTTAATCAAATCTCCATAATCCTATATTGATAAAATGTGAACATAATCGATCATAAAATATAAAAAAATGAAGTATGAGTTGTGAGGCACAAACGAATATCTTTATTGATTTATTATCTAATATTTCCATTGATGCATTAGAAACAAGATATCAGTGTTTTAATATTATAAATTTAGATGAGTTTACTACGGAATAATAAGCTATATGGCTATGTAGAGCTGAAGGTCTCATATGAGACTGGAGGTTCGTCATTGATATTGTGGATGGTTTAGCATTGCTTTCGCAAGTTTTGCTGTCTTTTCATGCACAAAATTGGTTTGCTGGTTAACTGATTTTATTCATAATGGTGGTTGATTTCAGTGTTCTCGAGGTTCATTGTCATTGGGACATTGTAAGGCATGTCGCCATTGCTAATATTAATGAGATTGACTGTCGTGTAAGCGGAATAGGTCAACTTTGGCCTATTTGTGCTGCGCATAATTGATTCACTCGATCATTGATCGGAATAACTATACATGTGATGTGAATGTGTATATGAATGTGTTATGTCCCGACAAGAATAATGAATGGTAATTTTGGGATCCATTTGTGGACCAATACTATGCGTATATTTTTATCGTGTAATTGTTGAATAACTAAAGTACATATATTCATGTCTCTCTTATTATGAACTTGATTTTGACCTATGAACTGTTATTATACGATTTACCATTCTTGAATTATTCCCTATCTATTAATCACTGCCTCTCTCATTTACATCCACTTTTGGCCAAATATTGTACAAATGTTACTTTCTATTTTATGGTACTCTGTGGTCTGTTTGATTGGTATATTAACCGAGTATGTTTGAAATTCATGATTCATATCACAGAGGCTTGGATTGGTGTTCTGGACTTAGATGGCTGGGCTAGGCGGAAAGCAAGACCAATCAGGACTCCAGACTGCTCGCACATGTTTTACACGTCATTGGTCCGATCAATAAGTCACTTCTCTCTCATTGGCAGTCACAAGTTATAACAGAATGGTACGAATGGTACACCAGGGTGCTTGATACCTGTGTGGTTGCACCACAGGATTGAGCTGTACTATTCAGATTGTAGCGTTAAAGCCTATACGGTGTCTGGTTCTCCTGTGAAGCGGGATTGAGCTGGACTGTTTGGATTATAAAATTTAAGACTGTGAGGTGTTTGGCTCTCCTGTTAAACGGGATTGAGCATTACTGTTTGGGTTGTCACGTCAGAGTCTGGACGGTGTCTGGTTCCCCTGAAAATCAATATAAAATTACCCTAGCCCACAAGGGTATATTATATAACTATAACTATGAGTTTACTACGACTGGTTTATTTCTCTGTATAATTTTACAAACATAAGCAGAATTAAATAAAGTCATTTCATTGAGTAGATTTCTCATCATGTACTGACTCAACTGAAAAAAGGATTCTTACATGGTGTAGGATTGATTTAGGTTCTTATGGCTGTGAGTTCTCCTAAATGGACAATGTGCAGATATGATTTAAACCCTAATTACCGATGGTTGTTTAACCAGGATTCCTTTATAAAAATCATGATTGTCCCATCGACAGTGCAGCTGATTGATTTTCTTTTTAATGAGTGGTGTATTCGAAATTCACTAACTAACAGAATAATTTTGCATATTCACATGGTATCGTTGTTTACTTGAATGTTCTCATTGATGTTTAGGAATGTAATTGATCAGCTTCTTATTGGCATATGTGCATCCTGTACTGATTGCCTCGATTTTACCTTAATTTACAAGTATTATGAGCAAATATAGATAGTGGATAACAGTGGAATCCAGTTTGACGCGAGTTTCATCCTATTTGGGACTGGTTAGCCGGATGTACCTGCATCTCAGAGTTGTTGTTTACTCTGGGACTCGAACCCAGTTCCGTCCGCTTCAAACGCCATCGCGTTATCCAATTAGCTACTGAGTCCTAATAGCTACTTACTTATGTAATGGGATGAAGTTTACACTCACTCGGTATTGTTGTTTACTTGAATCTTCTCATTGATGTTTAGCAGTGAAAATGATCAGTGTCTTATTGGTATATATGCATACTGTGCCTATTACTTCGATATTTCCTTAATTCGCAAGCTTTATAAACAAAGATGCATAATGTTTAACAGTGGAATTCAGGACGTGCGTTTCGTTTTATTTGCATAGTGTGATAGCATTTAAAGTGAATAACAGTGTATTCGAGTCCTGGAGTGAAAATCAAAAGTCTGGGATTCAGGTACATCCAACTGACAAGTCCCAAATAGGATGAATCGCGCATCAAACTAAAATTCACTGCTAGCTACTATCTATATTTACTTAGAATTCTGTAAATGTTTTACAGAAGTTTTATTATTATCAATATCAGTTTTTTTTTGTATATTTTTGAATTGATTTAGTAAAACCGAATACTTGTAGAGAATCACGAAGTGTGGATAGTTCAGGATGTAAGTTTCATTATTTATTTGACTATATGGTTCATTGTTAAATATAAACGTACCCAATTTTTGTAGCAAATTGAAATCTAAGACTGTCCATCTTAAGCATGTTGCAGAATAGATGATGTAACTTGTCTATGCTATCTAAACGTTTATTGCAGATACTGGAAGAGGCCGATCTAATTGGCACCATAGAAACTAGTGAGCTGGTATATACATAGAATTAGTTAGTTATGACAACTTATCTTTGACCCGAACCATATAAATAGATAACAGTGATATGGTATAGCAATAAAGTTATATACATAAATCTTGTGTTCAAGCTAGATGATCCCGGTGATATACTTGTAAATTGTCTGAAGTGATCTTTTCAAAAGACGTTTCTCACAGAGATTCCTCATATAACATATACAAGATTATCGGCCTGATTAAAAAAATGGTTCAGTTACACCTGATCTCTAATATGTAGTACCATGTTAGTAAATTCAACTTGGTATTCATCACTGAGCTTCTATTCTCAGTGCGCAATCTCTCGTGTATTGAAATAATGAAACTCTTTAAATATTCTGTTGTGACACGTATCAGAATATGTGCATAATCTAATTAGTGTACACTGCTAAATTGATCAGGTAAAATGATCTTAGATGAGTTTCTACAATCAAAGTGCCTTTGAAAGTGTTGTGATGGATTTAGTTTGAAAATAGAGTGATAAGTTTGAAGCGGTTACGAGTTCACTTAATCTGCGAACGGAACAAAGACTCGGTGACCAAAGACCAATAAGCTAGCTATTCGATACGTCCCAGCCCCGCTAACTAGAGGAAGAAGTCCAAGTTTCGAATGAGGAAGTATATTCCGCAAAAGCCAGAAGCACGAGCGATAAAAACAGGCACAAATCAAAACTTATATATACACAGCACAAAAAGTTCTTGCGGAGAGTTAAAAAAATAGCTTACTAAAAGACACAACGGACCAATAGCACTTAAGATTCTCCAAAGTAGGAAATACGACATGAAGGTGAAAAGAGAGCTTTTGGCACGGAAACAAATTAGGCCTTTTTTCAAGTGAGTTTTGGGGATCTAAGGTCCCCAAAATAGAGATAACTTTATCATTGATAACAGTGGATACTCATCGATTTATATAATCCATTGACTAAGGTTAAGAACCAATGCAAATGGATTACAACTTACTTGTTCAAGGGTAATGACCACGTAAACAATTTCAAATCTCCAAAAATCACCACAACCATCTAATAAACTAGTCTATGTTAGTCTATATGTTAAACGTAACTGAAGTAAACAATCAGTTATCAATATTATTTTGATGATTTATTAGTTGTGAAAGATTCAAGAATTCGTCAGTCTACAGAACAAACACAAAATGATCAAAGTAAGTGATATAGAAACAAACTATTTGATTAGTTATGTATTTGTATAACAATTCACTTGTCAAACTACCTATTCACAATTAAACATACCTCAGTGGTATGTGCTACTGATGTTTAAAGATATAAGTAGTATGTAACACCTATTGAAAGTAAGATACGTGGCAGTAGAAGGTAAAGAAATTTGAAGACAAAGGAATGAGAGCAAAGAATGATTGGTGTGAATACGAAGGAATAATCAAGTATGCGATAACTGATGAATATTTTGCAAATGAAGTATTTACTGTATGGTTCTTAACCATCTACAGTCATCATCAAGCGGGTACAAATATTTATGAATGGTTGTCTACCCAAGATACTCAACATCCATTGTTCGGACACCATCAGCAACAGCCTTCTCTAGAAGCGAACAAACCAGCTTCCAGCTGAAGAAGAAGTTAGGAAAAGACGATGAATATGGATAGGAATACATTACACAAATCATCAAACTGCATCACAAGGCAAGCCCTAAGTTGAAATCCTGAAGGGAAACGCAAAAGAAGAAGGTCAAAGCACACATTACATCGGGAAATAAAATTAGATATGAAAAGGATGAATAAAAGCTGGAAAGAGCTGGAAAGGATTGTTGAGGATAGGGTTGGATGGAGAGTGTTGGAGGGCGGCCTATGCTACTCCATGAGGAGTAACAGGCGTAAGTAAGTAAGCCTCAGATTTTACTAAGAGATTCTGTAGTTCTATGTTTAAATATGTTTGGTTGTCCCCAGCCTGTGTTCTTATTCACTACAGATCCGTTTTAAATCAAGTCAAAATCAGTATTATTGGAATAAAAATGATTATTACTTACTTACTTACTTACTCATGCCTGTTACCCCTCGAGGAGTAACATAGGTTGCTCATCAGTATTCCCCATCCAACTCTGTCATGGATATCTCCTTTCCAAATGTTTCCAGTTACTACTCATCCTTTTCATGCTTGACTTTAGTTCTCGACGCACTGTGTTCGTCGGCCTTCCTCCATTCCGTTCCCATTCAGGATTCCAAGATAGCGCTTACCTCGTGATGCAGTTTTTGATCATTTCTTCAATATACGTCTTATTCACTTCCATCGTCTTTTCTTAATTTCCTCCTCAGTTGAAAGCCGGTTTATTTTTTCCCACAGTAGACTGTTACTGATGGTACTGTTTAAATGAAAATAGGCTTCTCATTGCATCTTCCTTTAAAAATATATCGATGTTATTTATTTACTTAGAACAAAATGAAAAATTTATGTTTTTGATTGAAATCATGAACTGATTGATGCTAGACCACCATTGAAAACATGGAAAAACTGGACGGCCGTTTCGTCTCATTGTGGGACACCTCAGCAGTGCGAATCCACGATTCCACTCGCGGGACCATGTGCTCACTAGTGACTAGCTTCATGAGGGAATTCTCGGAGTTCTAGTCAGAAGCCGTGTTCAGTGGAACTATTCCGTGTCAGATAGAGACAGGTGTCTCTCTCAGTACAATGGAAGATGATCGCGCAATTTTGTGGATTGTTTGAGGTCAAAGATTAACACCGTCGGATGCCGGCTCGTAGTCTAGAGGTTAAGTGTTCACGCGCGGTAATGAAAGACCTGGGTTCGAACCCCATGGGCGGGATTGTGGATGCGCACTGAGGAGGAGTCCCACAATAGGATGAAAGGGCCATCCAGTGCTTCCAGGTTTTCAATGTTAGTCTCACATCAATGGGTTCATAATCTCAATCAAAAACTTAATAATCCCACTAACTTTTACTGACAAAAATTTATGAACAAAATTTTTTCTCTTCAACTACATACTATTCATCAGTTCAACGTGATTCAAGAACTCATCAACGTACAGAAGAAACAAAAACTGAAAAACGTAAGTTCGTTTTTTAAAAACATTATTATGTAAACATGCACATCTGAATAAATGACCTACTAATTCAAAGACTGGATGACTTTGAATTATTGAACAATAATCAACGATGGAGTCCTGGAGTGAACATCAACAAGTCTATGACGCAGATACATCCAGCTGACGAGTCCCAAACAGGACGAAACGTGCATCAAACTGGATTCGATTGCTAGTCACTATCCATCTTTACTTAAAATGCTTGTGACTTAAGTTTACATCAAGGCCGTCCGCACATGACCCACATATGTCAATAAGAGATTGATCAATTCCGGTCCTAAATTTACAATGGGAAGTTACAAGTCAAACAACACCAAGTGAATAAATAAGTTTGTTGAATGTTTATCTTTAATATTGATCAAGGTTAACAAGAGAACTAGCGAAAACCATCAATTACTGGTTATTGATTTTATTCTGATATATAGTACATTTTGTTACTGTATTATACCCTTTACATCATATAAGGTAAATTAGATATGTTTTTAGTTGTTAGCGTACAGTCCAATCATGCTATACTTTAATATCCATAATACTGAAACCAATCAATTGAGTTCATGTTTTATTGGAATCAGAAAGGTTTCATGTATAGTAGTGGATGACCTTAGATTAGTAAGATAGATTGTCTAAAATTGAAATCCCTTTCACTTTATTCTCTGAAGGTCGTACATTTGATCTATTCAACAGTCATAGGTTTAGATCATTTGGGGGGGGGGCAAGACATTCATCAACATTAGAATAAGAAATCTTGATGATTTACACGTATTAGAGATTTTATGATTATAGTTGTTGACGTCCAGTTACCAGATCTCAAACTGAAATCCAACTTTTAATCGATTCAGTCTTGAGTAACAGAGTGATATCGTTATATTCGTAAGTAATTAATCAGTAAAAATGTTTCATTCCTAAATAAAGTTAATCATGATTTAAATAGTGTGATAGTAATCTCTTGAGCTATAACATTTGGTGATATGAATTCGAATTCCATAGGGAACATAAATAAGCTCTAGATTGTAGTCACGTCTTCCTGACACTTGTCTCCGTTATATCTAGAGCCTAGATTATTAATATACTGCGTACCACTTGAGCACTCGAACGCTAGAACCCACCTAAGTCGCAAATGAGAAGATAAAAGACGAGTAAAAGGAATGTCAATCCAAACAGTGTCATTTATGGTACAAAACTGTCAAGTATTTATAGTTTTTAGTAAAAACGAAATCATCATTATAGTCCTCCAATCTGCATATATGGGGGTTATTATCATTTGTCCGACAGGAAAGCTACATGTAGGGATTCTGGAATATTCTCAAACAAGACGATTGGATGGAATATCTTTGGCTCTTTCTGAGCTTCTTAGAGATTCCAGTGGGCCTTCCTCACACCTCCCCTCTTTAAAGTCTGGTGTGTAAGACTTTTTCATCGGGTCCACCTGAAACTTGGTTACCGCATCAACTAGATGATAATTCATTAAGCATTTTATTCATTTATTTATTTATTTGAACACATAAATACTGGTACAAGGGGGCACTAAATACATATGCGATACACAAATCACATTTGATATGTGTGAGGACTGTGATACTGCCTGGGTGCCCGAACCGAAGCAGGTGGTTTTCTTTGGGGGCCACACTCGGAACCCTCGACCTAAAGGTCTGATCTACAAAGCAGTGGAACAACGTAAGATGTAGTTCAGTGGTAGTCGGTGACCAACGATTGGTTCATATGCCATTTGGTCCCTCAGGAATTGGAGACCATGTGCACCATTGGTTTAGAATCACGATTTCCCAACTCCCCTAGGTGGACTCTATGTGTCCACCCACCAGGATAAAGCACCGGACATTCGCTTTTCGTCCTCTCAATTTCGTAAACAACAAATGTGGTGCGGGAAGGCAGTGAGTAGAACTTCCCTTGGAGCGGTTGTATGCACGTGGCCATGTGAGAGCATTTGTGGAGGGACAGTTGACTCTCTCCCCACTCTCGGTCGTACCAGGGCATTTGCGGGCAGTGATTTACATATTAATCAAAGATTAGTTACCATGGGAATTTCTTTTTCGAAATAAACTTTTAACTGTCAATTTTTTTCTTTGTCATCTCGATTGAGTTTGATTCTCATTTTCAGATATTGAAGAAGAGTTAAATTATCAATGCTCTTCAACGAAAGGTAAACTGTTCTTCTTTTCTCTTTTTAAAAGAGATAAAGAATGTTTGATTAATTGATTTAACCTCATTATAAACACCATAGTAACTAGAAATGGTGATTCAATATTGATAAGAATATTTCCTGTCACAAATGTCTATCATTCAGATTTAATTTAAAAAGAGTACTCGTTTGAAGTGAATTGAGAGGAGTGTGAACCGGAGGGGGGGTGGTATTAGATTTTAGTAAATGAAGTCTTTAACTACACATTTATTATGTAAATATACAATATAATAATGAAAGCAATGTTAAAGCATGATATAAATTATATTCAAACCTAGTGCGATGTAAGCTACTTAAATCGATATATAAGTAATATATAAGTAATATGTAACATTAATCGAGAATGGAATGTCTTGACGAAGAAAATTGAGAAGATTGAAGAGAAGAGAATGGGAACACAGAGTGATTGATATGAAAATGAGGGGACAACAAAGTCTGAGATGAATTGGTAGATGTTTTGCAAATGAAGTATTGTATGTATGATTGTGTAATTTTGCATTCAAATACATTCGGTTGTCCCCCATTATAAAATTACTCACTCTGAAAGGGGTTAACTGTAAGTTGGAGGACAGACAGTTATTTGTGATAGTATATGAAAGTTGAAAAAATCTTGACCATTACAGCACGATTCATTGGTTTCATATAGTACTGCTCTAACCACATATATTGAAAGTACCAAGTTTGTTCCGGTATTGAGCTGTTCTATCCTTATATTTCTAATCTATGGTGGTCCAACTGCATATCTTCCTTTAGAGTTCATTAAAATTGTCAATAACGTCAGTTTATGATGAAAATTACATACATAAAGTAAATGCATATTAGGTGAAGCATCAGTGTGTTAACTGAAAGGCGCAAAAAACTGTGTATAAGTTTAAATATATTAAAAGACATCATCAGCCCAAACTTCAGGAAGAAGTGAAATGTTAGAATCTCTTTACTTCTACCTGAAATTTGGGCTGATGATGTCGTTCATAAGAACGATGAAAGCTCTACAATCATACCATCCAGCTCAGAAGACAAGCTGCCATCAAAATTGTCCACCTGAGCTACAAATCTTCTCCAGCATCTCAAGAATTACTCCTTCACCACACACACCCACACTGATAGAACTATATATATATTCACAGTTATATAATATACCCTTGTGGGCTAGAGTAATTTTACATTGGTTTTCAGGAGAACCAGACACCATCCGGACTTGCACGTGACAACCCAAACAGTACAGCTCAACCCCGTTTAGCAGGAGAATCAGATACCATATAGGTCTTAACGCTACAATCTGAATAGTACAGATCAATCCAGTGATGCAACCACACAGGTATCAAGCACCATGGTGGACCATTTGCACCATTCATATACACATTCACATCACATGTATAGTTATTCCGATCAATGATCGCTTGAATCAATTATGCATAGTACGAACAGGCCAAAGTTGACCTATTCCGCTTACACGACAGTCAATCTCATTAATATTAGCAATGGCGACATGCCTTACAATGTCCCAATGACAATGAACCTCGAGAACACTGAAATCAACCACCATTATGAATAAAATCAGTTAACCAGCAAACCAATTTTGTGCATGAAAAGACAGCAAAACTTGCGAAAGCAATGCTAAACCATCCACAATATCAATGACGAACCTCCAGTCTCATATGAGACCTTCAGCTCTACATAGCCATATAGCTTACACTATTGAATAATTCATTGCATACTAAAATGATGCAAATGTTAAGTGGTATTTGACGTTGTACAATTGTCCATGATCAAATCTGATTAGTATTTATTGCTTATCAACTATTTTTAATCATCATATAATCCTAATAATTACAACTTATCATTGTTCTATTTTCAGTCAGTTATATTGATTTATGTAAACATGGTATATTTGACTTAGTTCTGTTCAATTTTTTTATCAGTCAGTTAGTCAGTCAGTAACAACGTAGAACTTCGTACGTACGTACGTAAGTACGTATATCAGCTCGAGTTGTCACACTACGTTGATTATAGATCATTCATTCTGAATGCATGATTTGAATTATTATTTTTTTGTTTTCTACCGGAATGGGTCGATAACGCTATGCCCAATCCTCTTACTTTATTTAACCTTAAAAGCGGCAGTAGCTCCAGAGGGGCTCCACGGCGAAGTTATCTTAAATGCATGTATACTTTTATTATCAGACAGTATTATTAATATAGTGTATGTTGAATGATTTTGGTCTTGTATGATTGTATTTATTTTGTTGCATGATTATGCATTGAATGTACATCATTAAATGAATGATTCCAATCGAAAGTAGTTAAAAAGAGTAAAGTGGCTTTTATTGTCAGTTCTGTGAACTTATCAGAATTCTGTACAGTCGTCTTACTTTTTGTTTCTTTCTTATAATGTAAATATTTTAATCGTTGAATTCATGAGTCAATTGAAGCTTGACCACCATGAAAAACCTGGAAGCACTGGACGGTCATTTTGTCCTACTATGAGACTTCTCAGCTGTGCGCATACACGATCCCTCATGCGAGGTTTGAATCCAGGACCTTCTGTCTGTTACCTCTCACAGAGGACAACAGGCCATCTATCAACATTCTCCAACCAAATCTGTCATTTCCAATTTTTTTTAGTTGTTATTCATCCTTTTCATGCCTGCTTCTAATTCTCGACGTAGTGTGTTCTTTAGCCTTCCTCTTCGTTGTTTCCATTCATGATTTCAAGTAAACGCTTGCTACGTGATGCAGTTTCTGATGATTTCCCCAATATATGTCTTATCCACATCCATCATCTTTTCCTAATTTCCACTTCAACTGAAAGTTGACTTGTTCACTTCCACAGTAGGCTGTTATTGATGGTACCAGATCAACGGATATTGAGTATCTTGTATAGACAATTGTTTATAAATACTTGTACCCATTTGACGATAGTTATAGTAGTAGTTCTCGAAGTTTCAGCTCTGTACAATAGAACTAACTGTGTTGACGTTCGTATTGAAGATTGTAACATTGATATTAGTTGATAGACATTTGTTCTGAATTCCATATGCCTATATATTGTATACCTTTTGCCTTCATATCTTCATCCAATCCATCTTGTTCATCGATAATGCTACCCAGATATATGAAAACTTCTATCTCGTTCAAAGTTTCTCTATCAAGTATAATTCAATTGATGATCACCATGTTGTATTTGTAAACATCATTGAACAAACCAGTTAACATGAATATTTCAAAACTTCAAAGAGTTGTTTTGAAATTCTTTCTTTAAAATGGAATGATTCAATGTTGAATAGCAATAATAGTAATAATAATAACATCATATGATTACTATATATGAATGATTCTACTTCATAGATTCAACAAGTAGGTATTTGTAGTATGTTTAAGTATGCTTCATTCATCATATATTGTTGTATACCTATGATAAGGTATGTATATACTACTGATATACTACTGGTATCTTTTATATAGTTTCTGTATATAAACTACTTTTCAATTACAAATGTATTTCTTTTTTTCTCTAAGAAAATTAATGTAAAGCTGACAGTTAATCATATGATCTGAGTAGCGGATAGAGAGAGAGGGAGGGGGGAAAGTAAAAGAAAGAGACAGAGAGGGGGTTAGTAAAAGAAAAAGAGAGACGCAAACAGTAAAAACACAAACCATTTCATATTTGATATATTACTTACTTATTTACGCCTGTTACTCCTCGTGAAGAAGAATAGGCCGCTCACCAACACTCTACATTCAACCCTGTCCTCAACAATCCTTTCCAGCGCTTTCCAGTTGTTATTCATCCTTTTCATATCTAATTCTATTTCCCGATGTAATGTGTTCTTTGGCCTTCCTCTTTATCATTTCCCTTCAGGATTCCATGTTAGGATTTGCCTCGTGATGTAGTTTGGTGATTTCCGTAATGTATGTCCTATTTATTTCCATCATGTTTTCCGAATTTCTTCTTCAGCTGGAATCTGGTTTGTTCTCTCCCACAGTAGGCTGTCGATGATGGTATCCGCTCAATGGATGTTGAGTATTTTGCATAGACAACCATTTATAAATACTTATACCTTCTTGATGGTGGTTGTAATAGTTCTCCAAGCTCCAGCCCCGTACAGTAGAACTGCCTTGACGTCCGTATTGAATATTATCACTGTGATATTGGTTGGAGGTTGTTTTGGGTTCCATATGTTCTTCAATTGTAGGAATGAGGACCATGCTTTGCCGATCCTCGCCTTTACGTCTGCATCTGAACCTCCTTGTTCATCTCTGATGCTTCCCAGATATGTGAAGTATTCTACATCTTTCAGAGTTTCGCTATCAAGAGTGATTGGATTGCTGTTCTCCGTATTGAATTTGAGGACCTTGGTTTTCCTGTTGTGTATGTAAGGCCTACTGATGCAGAGACTACTGCTACACTATATATGATATATCTATCATCATGACATTTATTTTGTGTAATATGAATACAATTACCAAAACATTATTACCGATCTTCTTTATTCTGAGTGTACAAACGAAATCAGTTTTCTGTCAATAATGAACGATGCCTAATAATGGAATCCAGGAAGCGCGTTTCGTTCTAAATTATGACTCGTCAATTGAATGTACCTATGACATGCCTGATCTGTTGATGTTCACTATAAGAATTATTATAATGATTGAATCAAATTCTCAAACACTATGTGATGATTAAAGTATCAGTTTCATTGTTCTTTTTAGAAGATTTTAAAATGAAATAGACGAAGTGTTCATCCTTCAGAATTACTCATTTAAGAACAAATAACAATTCTATAATTATATCATTCATTGATGTTCTTGAAATCTTTCGAATTTCTTCACAACATTCTGCCATTCTATTCAGTTAAATTTGAAGTTTTAGTCAAATAACAAAGTCGACTCAGTGGTGTAGAGGTTAAGCGTTCGTGCGCGATACTAATAGCTCTTGGGTTCTGATCTTGTCAGACAGGATGATGGATGCGCATTGTTGAGGAGGATGAAACGGCCGTCTAGTGCTTCCAGGTTTACCATGGTGGTCTAGCTTCACTTGATTCATGAATTCAATTATTAAACAATGTTTTCATTGAATTCCTTTATATCATACTGTTTTAATGACGAAGTTCCTGTATTTTTCTTTATTGTCTTTCTTTAAAAGTTCAACCTCAAAGAACATCAAGTCAGATGAATATTAGTGGACCTAGTACAATGACTAAAACTGCATGGTTGTCAGGTATGTAGAAATTATTCACTTTTAATTTATTAAATTTTACAAAAAATATTGTATGTATTAAATTGTATTTAAACCTGAAATCAATCTAACTTAGGCAACTGTTGAAAACTTTGAAGCACTGGATGGTCATTTCGTCCTACTATAGGAGTCGTCATCAGTGCAAATCCATTGTTTCGTAGCGAGAAGTCAAACCAAGTGCCCTCGGTTTCATGCGCGAACACTTAACTTTCAGTCTACTGAGTCGGAATTCAACAGTATTACTGACGAAATCTTTGAATGAATTCAAAAAGCTCGTTTGACTTTTGCCAACTTACGTCACCACCTATAGTGAAGGTAAGATATCCGTCTACCAATTAAGGGACGAGTATACTGTGCAGCAGTTCGTTCCGTTCCACTTTACGGCTAAGAAGTGTGGCCACTTAGGGTAGAAGATAACCGTAAGGTAATAGTGTTTGATCACAGATGTCTTAGAAATATTGCCCGGATCTGCTGCGATCATCGGGTAAATAATAGTGAGGTTAGACACAGGGTATCAGGGAATGATGATAAATTAGTTGATCAGGTCATGAATCTTCATCGACTGAGATGGTTGGGCCACGTGTTGCGTATGCCTGAACACCAATCACCACGACACGCAATGCTGACTAGTGTTGAACATGGATGAAATGAAGTTAGGGGCAGCCAAACCAAAACATGGCGTCAGTCCTTGAAGCCACTAAATTCTTGTCTGGACCGTGTTGGTAGATGCAACCTCCTTAGTTGGAGTAAGCGCGTCTGTCGTAATCGATGGTTGGAGACTCTGTGTGACATGGTTCAAAATCGATTACAATGGTGTAGGTATATACACTCATTGTCTTCCCTTAAATCGTGAGATTAAAATTACCTCACACCTTTATTTCTACCAACTAATTCATTCTTGCTGTACTATATCCTTATATGCAATTTTTCTTTTATATAATACAACCATTGAATTAACTACTTTTATGAATCCGGTGTCCATGTTGTTGTGCTAATGAGATGTGGGAACTTGGACCGATGCATATATGTTGCTGACCCTACGTTATAGCTGACTGACTGACTGACAGTCCACGACATTGGGTGATCATCTTTTATCACCTTCGATGAATGACTATCTCATACCCAACCAATTTAGTTTCATCTAGCGCATATTTAAAACAATTAGACCCTTTTGTAAACTTTGATAGAGCAATTAGATGAAACAATTAACCTACAAATTATGGTCTGTTTGTGCTTTAATTTACAAAACACCTATGAAAACGAATAAACGTTATATAAATCAAAGTTCAAATAAACATAAAATGATAATGGTAAACAAAGGTAAGGGTAAAACAATGAATACAATATAGAAAGTTCCTATAATATCATAGATCATAGTATAGCTTAAAGATTACTATGGGTAGATTGAAGGTGATTGAAAATTGTCTAGCTTCCATGACCCCAAGAATTCATTCTTAACAATTCGATGAATATGGTTGTCTACGTCATAGATTGACCAAAGTATATGACATTAACTGATTCTGAAGTTATCTAGCTATATGTTTTCCACAGCTCTTGGTTTCATTGTTTAATTATTCCTCTATGTGTATATGTGTCCACATGAACATGTTTTATTTATTTAAACACATAAACACTGGTACAAAGAGGCACCGAATAGATATGCGCCACACAAATCATTCGATTTGTGTGAGGGCTGTGGTACTTCCCGAGTGCCCAGACAGAAGCAGGTGGTTTTCTTAGGGGGCCACACCCCGAGCCCTTGACCTTAAGGTCTGACCCACAAGACAGTGGAGCATCGTAAGGAGATGCAGTCCCATGGTAGCCAGTGACCAACGATTGGTTCACACGCCATTTGTTCCCTCAGGATACTGGAGCCCATGTGCACCATTGGTTTGGAATCCGATTAAAGCGCCGGACATTCGCTTTTCACCCTCTCAATTTCGTAAACAATTCCCATGATGCGGAATGCAGTGAGTAGGATTTCTCTGGTAGAGGCTGTATACGAGTGGCCATGTGAGAGCATTTCGAGAGGGAGAGCGGACTCTCCCCACTCTCGGCCGTACCAGGCCATTTGGGGGCACATGAACATGAGAATTGGTAAATTCAACGGGATGTGACGTAATCTGTTATGTAATGTCTAGGCCTATGTGAAACCATAGGTTTAGCAGCATAGAATGGTTTCTTAACGTCTACTTTTAGTCTCTTTCTCAAACTTATGATATTTGACTCTCTTTTAAATGTTAATATGAGATATATATCCTTTACTTCGTAACAGAATCCAAGAGTCTTCTTGTTAGCTTACTTTTACACTAATTAATAAACTACAGCGAATTATCTTTTCGGTTAGCAGTTTTGTCACCTCCTCAGGTAGATTTGTAGTGTATATTCGTTGAGTTCTGTTATATAGACAACTTACCAAACGTCGTTTATACTGTAACGGATAGAAACTGTGAAAGTTCAAATATTTCCAAGTCCAGGTTGACATCCTATGAACGGATCGTTTTAATGTTTCATCCTTTTTTCGTCTAAAATTATGTCTAAAAAAGGCAGTCGGTTATTGTTTTCTTCATTATAAATAGGTAGTATCTCATTCTATACATTATCGAATTTATCTAATAACCAAGATACGTGTAACTCCTTATTACATACGACTAATATATCACCCATTAACCTCCTATACAGAGTTACTTCGCTGAGGAGCTTACTTGTCTTACTTTCAACAATGTGGCGTATGTACATCAACAAAGAGAAGTATGACACTTCGTTACCAACAGACATTCGTATAAGTATCATGAAATAAACGCTTTTTGACCAAAATGGTTGGGACATTTATCGATGTCTAGCCAATATCTATCAAAACATGAAATACTGCTTAGCTTGAAATTAGTTTGTAAAACAGCTATTGCGGCGGCTTACCCATGGGTTCCATAAAGTCCACTACTGTCGAATTAATCTGTTTCTGTGGATATGATTAAGTGAAGGAGTTTGAGAGGGTGTGAAACTGTAATTAGCTTATTCAAAATCGATTTCCTTATTGTAGATGCATCAGTTTTCTATCTTGCTCTAGATCGTAGGTATAGAATTATTTCATTACTACTGTTGTGTGTTTAAAAGACTGTTGAATTTGAAGCTTTATATAACTCAACAACTTTGACTAAACAACTGTTAAAAACTAGGCACAATTGAACAGCTGGCTCATAATGAAAACTCCACAGTAGTGCGTCTCCGCAACCACACAATAGGGATCAAACACGGATCATTCAAGTCTCTAGACGACCTTTAGTCAATCTCAAATATTATATGTCCATCTTGTTAATACCAGCCACTGTTACTCAACTACAAATATTCGTCACTTATCTCATCAAATGATAAAAACGTTTTAAATAGTCTCTATTGTAAAGTAGGTTTCTTCAAGAGTCAATTTATTAACATATATAGCCTATGGATAAGCTTTGAATAATAACGACAATCGGGTCTGTTGTGACATAGTAACTCACTGAATACAATAATGAACGATAGTGCAATTTCGTGGGTTGGTTAAAGTTAGACAATGACAACGTTGGGTTCCGATTAGTTCAGTGGTCTAGTGGTTAATCGTTCATGCTCGAGATCGATAGATCCTGAGTTCGAATCTCACGACATGGGATCATGAATGCGCACTGCTGTGGGTAGTCCCACAATAACCCATTATTACATCATATATGTTTGTTTGTTTGTTTTTTTGAAAAATTTATTTAGAAACCAATTTAAGGAATAGTTCAACATGCAAACAACCACCAATGTATTCAACTTATTCAGCTCATAAAGAAAATATGAGACGAATGCAAGAACAAAGAAGAACAACAGAAGATTGGGTAAGTTTAATAGGTCCCATTCTTTTTTTCTTTTGAAGATATAATATCTGATCATTTTTGTACAAAACTAATTCATTAATCAATGATCAATTGTAGTTTGAATAATTTAGGATCATACATTCATATTGTGCTGTGTGCTACTTATATTGACATAAGTAGTATATGACGTTAGTCGTGAACAGAATTTCTGGCAGCAGAGAGACAAGAGGATCGAACAGTAAAGAATGGAAACAGAATGTAATTTGTATGAAAATGCAAGAACAATGAAGTCTGAGTCATTTTGAGTTAATCGATGGACATTTTGAAAGTTAAGCATTCACTATATGATTGTTAGATTTCATTAAGAAGTCCTGTAAGTGGTGTGTCAAATACAGTCGATTGTTCCCCCCCCCGTGTTCTGTTCACTACAATATCTCATAGGTAATATCAGTTCTTGCAGACTAATAAACAATTCCCCTTTTATCTAACCAACAGCAAACAAAATATGAGTTTCGTCTCAAACTTTGTATTGATTATTGAGAAATCTTCTCATATCTAAGCATTTTAACCCTCAGTCAATAGAAGTGATTGGACTGATTAAAGTAGTAAAGAAAGTTTCTGACACAGTTTATATGACTTAACAAACTTCTATTCTTAATGTCAAATTCACTACTGAACAAAATTTGTATGTTTGTTTTTAGATGCGAAATAGTGTAAGTATAATTATGAGTTATGTATTATTTTTTTGATATTTTGATTTCGAGTAGAAACACGGTTATCCTTCGTGGAGGAATATAGGTCACTAACCGGTACTCTCTATCGAATCCTATCCTTGGGCAATTGTTTTCAGTTGTTTACAAATTGCTATTCATCTATTTCATGTCTGTTTCCAATTCCTGGTATAGTATGTTCTTCGGCATTCCTCTATTCTGTTCCCTGTTATAACTTGCGACCGCCAATTAGGGAGAAGCAAATTATCGATCGGACCACGAACGCGTAAAACACATGCGATCAGCTTAGAGTCCTGATTGGTCCTGCTTTCCGCCTAGCCCAGTCAGTTAAGTCCAGAACACCAATCGCAGCCTCTGTAATATGAATCCTTATATTTCAAACATACTTAGCTTATATACCAATCAAACAGACTACAACGTACCAATAAAATATGAATCGACATTTATACAAGAATTAGCCAGATGTGGCTGTGAATGAGGAAGATAGTAATAGATAGACTGGGTATAACTCATGAATGGTAAAACGTATCATAATAGTTCATAGATCAAAATAAAGCTTATAATAAGGGGAATATGAATATGCATAGTTTAGCTACTTAATAATTATACAATAGAAATGCACGATTAGTATTGGTCCATCAATAGATCCCAAAAGTTACCATTCATTATTCATGTCAAGACATAACATTCCCATCCAAGTTAGCGATTGCCTAGTGATACAGTTTGATGATTACCGTACGGTACGAAGATTTAATCTAAGCAGACCATATAAAAGACTAGTATAAGGCACATAATAACTATTTATGATTAAATGAAATAACTGTTTCATATCTGAGCTTTATAGTCTCCTCGCTGTGTTTTCCTTTTATTCATCAAAAGCATATTACTTGAAGAATTTGATTATTTTCTAAGTGCTTAGTTACGTTTTGATGAAGGTTCTCGATATTCATCGAAAAAATACAAAAAATTACTGAATACCAGAAAGTATAAGACTTTCGAAGTACTACTGTACAGCTCAGCTACGATCTCATACATAGTCAAAAGTATAGAAACTTTAGGCCCCCAAATGCCCTGGTACGAACGAGAATGGGGAGAGTCCGCTCTCTCTCTCCAAATGCTCTCAAATGACCACGTGCATACAACCACTTCAAGGGAAGTCCTACTGACTGCCTTCTCGCACCATGGGTGTTGTTTACGAAAATGAGAAGACGAGAAACGAATGTCGAGCTCTTTAACCGGGTTGGTGGATACGGAGAGTCCACTTATGAGAGCTGGAAAACCCTCATTCTAAACCAATGGTGAACATGGTCTGCAGTATCCTGAAGGGACAAATGGCGCATGAACCAAGTATTAGTCACCGGCTACCATGGGACTGCATCTCCTAACGTTGCTCCACTACCTTGTGGATCAGACTTTCAGGTCGAAAGCTCCGAGTGTGGCCCCCTAAGAAAACCACCTGATTCTGTTTAGTCACCCACGTAGTATCACAGCCCTCACACATATCAAATGAGATCTGTATGGTTCATATGTATTTGGTGCCTCCATGTACCAATATCTATGTGTTAAACTAAATAAATAAATAGAAACTTTAGACTTTAAAATAAGTGCAATACTACTTTTGTTTTTTGTTGTAGAACGCTCAGTGTGAGTAGTGGGGTAGGATCGTGAATACTCACTACTGAAGAGTCTCACAATAGGATGAACCTATTATCCAATTCATCCTTAACTCTTCCTAATAAAATCATTCTGCGATAGATATTATCATTTTTTTCTGTTCATTGGGCTATAGTCGAATAACAAATAATTATCGGTATGGGGATTTGTGAAAGTTGTATCACTTTCATAGTCAATCTAGCTTGGTGTAGCTTAGATCTACTTAGATCTATCTGTGAATAAGCCAAAGATCTGGTAATAGTCATAATTTACGGTGAAGTTATTTTCAACTGGCTGTTAGTGTGGTGCAGTTCAATATACCAGATAAAAGACTTACTTAATTACTTTCGCCTGTTACTCCTCGTGAAAGAGTATAGGCCGCTCACCAGCATTCTCCATCAAACCCTATCCTCAACAATCCTTTCCAGCTCCTTTCAGTTCCTATTGATCCTTTTCATATCTGTTTCTATTTCCCTATGTAATGTGTTCTTTGGCCTTCTTCTTTTCCGCTTCCCTTTAGGGCTTGTCTCGTGATGCAATTTGATGGTTTGTGTAATGTATTTCCTATTCATTCCCATCGTCTTTTCCTAATTTCCTGTTCATCTGGAAGCTGGTTTATTCTCTCCCACAGTAGATAAAAGACGCTAACATAATCAATGATTAGGCACTGAAGTGAAATTTTTGATGAAAATTCCACATACACTGAATAAGTGATATACTGATCGATAGTTTTGAACACGTTCCATTTGAAGAATATGAAGGTTGTCGAGGATAAGTTCAGAAGAGAAGTAACCTAAGAACTTTCAAAATTCACTATAAATAAATTAGATTTCTATATATGATAATGATCATAATTCATTATGTTTATTAAATACTATTTTTTGTATAATGAATATTTTAGCAAGCTTCAAATAGACAATTACATGATTCCAGATCAGTGGGTAGTCGAGCTGTTTTAGAAGAAATGGAAACGATTACATTACAACCAATTGGTCGTGGTGTACACGATTTGGAACCACCAACTGGTTCTATAGCTAGATCAGTTCGTGCTACAACACCAAGTGGTTAGTTTTATTGTTTCTTCTTTATTATTTAGATGTAATTTCATATATTATGAAAGTATGTCTATGGAATGAGTTCTATTATTAAGTTGAATTTCCCAAATCTATAAAATAGGTCATATAAAGTAATGGTGTTTCAAGCGAACGGTACTGAGTTCGAGTCCCAGAGCGAACATCAACAATTCTGGGATGTGTAGGTACACCTAACCGATGAGTTCCAAATAGGACGAAATGTGTGTCCTGGATTTCACTGCTAGTCACTATCCATCTTTGCCTACAATAGTTATGATAATCAGTATCGTCTAAATAGTTTGTAAAAGAGTCAAATTTTGTGAGAATGGTAATAGGTTCATAATGTTCCATATGTGCTTCGTACGAAACCTTCATTATTGTATTACGTGATTGATTAAAATTCCCTATTGTCGTATTATTCATTGATGTATATGATGACTCTTCATCAAAATCTCCATCGCTACTACCGATTGAATGGTTTAGTGAGGTCATTGAATTGGTTTCGTTGTAGTGACTTTATCGCTACTAATGTTAAGAAGATGACCTAATTTGACTATTTAGATGAAGTAAAAGTTGTAACAAGGTTTCTGTAGATGAACCTGTGGAAGGATCACTATCATGATCCAAAAATATGTAATGAAGCATGCATCTGGCTTCGGGCTGGACTGTATATACCCTGGCTTAATGGTATTTACCCTAGGCTTCAGCGGACTCTTTATGGTACTTGTCTTTAATACTTTTATAATATATACATATCACTAATGGTACATAATTAACATTATAAGTATCGAGAAAGTGATGGCCTTCTTGACGATCATTTTATGAAAATATCCACTAATTACATGTAATTATATACTTACATTTTGATGGAGTTTTATTCTCTGAGCTGGATAGTTTGGTTATGGAACTTTCATCGTTCTTTTAAACGACATCATCAGCAACATAAACTTCAGGTACACTTTTAATAAGATGTTTACATGAAGATCATCAGTCCTATTATTGATTTAAAGAAAGAAACGAACGGTTCCATATATATTACTTATGAAATTAAATTCAGTAGTGTTTGTAAAGGATGCAGTGGCCGGAATCCTTTAAAACGATTTGATCAATTCCTAAGAATCTAATAATCATCTATTAAATAACTTACATGATATCCCATATATATATATACATATGTAGTGTTTTCTGTATGTAAACTGACCTTCATAATGTTTCTTCCATATTTCCGCAATCCATTTGGAGTTGAAGTATCAAAGATAATAGAAGTTTAGGAATCGGTTACTATGTCAGTAACTAAAGAATTCTATCTAATAATAGTGATATTCATTAGGGAATCGCAAATATGTTAACATAGTTACTAATGATAAATACTTCATAACAAATACATTATATAACTGTTCAATGATCAGAGTATATTGACATTTACCAACCAATTATGATTGTACATTGATGGCGAAACTGTGGAAGACGTAGAATCCTTCACATACCTGGGAAGCATCATCGATGAACAAGGAATTTCAGATGCAGACCTAAAGGCGAGGATTGGCAAAGCAAGGGCCTCATTCCTACAATTGAAGAATATATGGAACTCAAAACAACTGTCTTTCAACCAATATCAAAGTGAGAACGTTCAATACGGAGCTGAAACTTGGAGAACTACAACAACCATCATCAAGAAGGTACAAGTATTTATAAATAGTTGTCTACGCAAGATACTCAACATCTATTGACCGGATACCATCAGCAACAGCCCACAGTGGGAGAGAACAAACCAACTTGCAGCTAAAAAGTAAATTAGAAAAAGACGATGGAAATGGATAGGAAATACATTACACAAATCATCAAACTGCATCACGAGACAAGCCCTAACTTGGAATCCTAAAGGGAAACGGAAAAGAGGAAGGCCAAAGAACACATTACGTCGGGAAACAGGAGCAGATATGAAAAGGATGAATTACAACTGGAAGGAGCTAGAAAGGATTGCCCAGGAGAGGGTTGGATGGAGAATGCTGGTGATCGGCCTATGCTCCTTCACGAGAAGTAACAGGTGTAAGTAAGTAAATAAGCATTAATGTACACAAGAAAAACGACAAATAATTCTATACCAAATCATTCTACTACTACTCTTTTATAAATCAATCACCTTTCTTTCAGGTTTATCAACATTTCCAACATTGTTTAATCGACCTCATTCATCCGCTGGAAGAATAGATCTATCAATATCAGGAATAAAACGATCTATTAGTAAAGATTATTATAGTCCAATAAGAATGCAACGTAGTACTATTGATATACCATATAGTCAAACTACACAATCATTATTAAGTCCATCTATTAATCGACGTTTAGTTGGTTTCACTAATACTGGTCATTCATCACGAATTTCAAGTATCAATAAAACTGTACTACCTATCATCCATCATCATGTTCATCATCCTCATCATAATAATCTAGTGTATAATAGTAGTCATGGTAATAATAATAACAGTAATAAATGGAATTCTATGGATCATCAATCATTGGAATTATTAAATCAAACATCTATGAATAGGAATTCATATGCCAGGCAAACTCTTACACAGAATATTCAAGAAATGACACAGAAACAACGATTATTATTATTATCATCATCATCTAATCAACAATATTATCCATTATCTAGTCATAATAATAAGTTAGGTAAATGTAATCCATCGCTTCTCACAATTCGCTTCTGATAACTAATAACAACAATCATCTAATAAAGCTTATTTATTATTTGATAATATTAGCGCAACTGATTGTATCCTACTGATGCTAATCCACCACCACCACCACTACTACTCTGATGATGACATAATCATCTTAACCCAAATCTATCATTTGAGTGATGTTCTGTTTATGTTTATCCCTTTTTTTATTTCCAAGGGTTCATTTCATTCTGTATGGATAGTGACATGAATATCACACTGACTAGATCAATAATTGATAATGGTGTTTAGTGTATAACAGTTCATTTCACTTCGAACACAGATGATGTAGATATATATGTCAATATATCAATTGATTGATCACTAGGGAAGGATCAATGTCATATATGTCAAATTCTACTCAGTGTAGATCCAATCTTACAAGAGGTCATTCATGGTCTGATAATATCTCTGACTGTAAAACTGGTTGATATGGGATCGAATCCGTCAGAGAGTATCAGTTTCCTTAAGATTATAGGTACATCTTTTTGATGAGTGCAAAATAGCACGAAACCTAAGTTCAGGGTTACTTGTTGACTATCTTCAACCACTATTCTTAGAAGTCTAAGATATTTTTAAACTTTATGGCTATCGAATATTCATTGTAAATGGATAAGACATGTATCAGTGATCAATATTACGTCAAAGGTATCGTTAAGTGAAACTATTGAGTGAGGAGTACTTGGATTAAACTTGAGTGCATAAAATACATAGTGGTTTGTTTTATGAAGTGAATTCTTTGAAACATATATACTACTTATAAGAACCCAACACTTACTCGAACCCACTATATAACGGCTAGAATGTAAATGAGCTAAAAGTAAACTAATGACATTCCTATTAGTAGTTCAGTAAAATGTAAATACATCATTTGCATATTTTTCTCGAATTGTCTCGTACAAGCTTTATTATTCCTTCATTCATGCTATTATCTTGATTGCTTTTAGTTTCTTCTTTCTTCTTTTTATGACAATCATCTCAACCGTATGATCGCAGACATTCCACTACTGAACACTGTTACATACTACTTATGTCTGCAAGCATAAGTAGCATACATCAAAATACCATAATCCCTGTCATTCATGTAATAATCATAACAGTCTTAGAATATACAAAACTTTTCGATCAATTTAATTCAATCGCTTATTTGAGATATTACTATTGTACTTAAAAAGTAGTAACTTACTTCATCAAGGAATATTTTATCGATCTCTCTATATCTATATTATTTACTTACGCCTGTTACCCGCAATGGAGTATGGGCCGCGGAGCAGCATTCTCCAACTCACTCTGTCCTATGCCTTCCTTTCTAGTTCTATCCAAATGACGAGAAGAGAGCGAAAAGAAATGACGCGTAGTAGAGAAGGCATATGTGACTCCAGAAGAATGGTCTGCTCAGAAGCTAGAATAAGTTATATGAGCTTAACATAGTAACCGACACTATAGATTCATTGAATATTTATAGAATACAATAGAACTACGGACAACAATCAATCAGTCAATCAATCAAATCTTAAGTCAGTAGAACAAGCTGGTAGTCATTTTGGTGGAAACATTCTAATTGCTTACTTCTTTCTAAAGTGTATGTTGATGCTGATGATGGTTTTGTCTAGAAAGATATGAAATTTTCATGCAGTTCAGAGGACATAATATACCTTCAGAAATGTTATGTCATAGACAGTTGGCAAATCATACGTGATAAGAACAATAGTTTACAATACAATCTAATAGAAATTAGAACTATATCTTGAATACTATTATGACTTTAAAGTGATTGGTTTGTACTCAGATGATTGTACTATTTGCTAGTCAACTGACTAACATCACGAATCTAGGTAAATCTACATCTAATACAATAATTACACTGAATAAGTCCATTGGGAACCGAAAATAGAGAAGGTTAAAAGATGTTTATGTGTACAATTCTGCTTAACTGAAAATCTCGTTAACATGTGGAGCTTCAGGAGATTGTTCAATGTTAGAATATACATCCCTAACTGATCGTGATTAGACAACCTAATTGGATGAAGTTTGAAATGTAAATCATTAGATTTTAACTCAATCGTTTGAAGAGAAAACAATCGCTGCCACACCTGGGAGTATTTGATTCTATTCCCAATGACATGGTTAATGAACACTATTGAATCTTGTACTAAAAACCAATGACTCAATCCTTTATAGTATTCAATGATTGTTTAATCAAGATCAGCTCCTGATGTAATCATTAAACTATATGTCTAAAAGACTATTCATAGTTATTTGATGTATCTGGCTAAGAGTGTAGTGAACGAGAACAAAAATGAGAACAATCGAATATATTTTGATGGAGTTTTGTTCTCTGAGCTGGATGGTTTGGTCGTTCAGAAGAACAATGAATGCTCCACGATCAAACCATCCAGCTTAGAGAACAAAACTCCATCAAAATCATTCAGCTGAGCTACAAATCTTCTCCACTATTTCACAATCGAATATATTTAAATACAAAATGACAGAATCACTTAGTGTAGTATCTGAGAACCAAACAGTAAATACTTCATTTGCAAAATGTCTATCAATCACTTCAAACTTTATTGTTCCTACATTTCCACACCAACCATTCTGTGTTCTCGTTCTTTACTTTTTCAATCTTCTTAACCTTCTACCTTCAGGCATTTCACTTTCAATGGATGATATATATACTACTTATATTTATCAATACTTGTTCTACATTACATTATATTAATCATGGTTATTCATTTCATTAACATATAATTTAACAGTTAACTATATATACTACTTATTTACAATCATAACATTTAACAAACGTTTAACTATCAAGTTAAATTATACCATTTCATTATAACAGAGATAATTCATAGAGTTCTATATTCAGTAGTCAATTAACAAGTTGATTAGTTCAATTATTTATATTACTTATATTGCTCATATTTTATTTTCATTCTCTTAGTTACCTTAGATTATATCTGATGTATGGTGTGACTGTGAACATGATGACTGTGTTTACAGGTTATACATATATGTATATGTTTTGAACTTAACATTTTTGATAGTTAAATTCATGGGTGAATTGAAGCTAGACTACTATGGAAAACCTAGAAGTACTGGACGGTCGTTTCGTCCTAGTATGGGACGCCTCAGCAGTACGCATCTAAGATTCTGCCTTGAGAGATTCGAACCCTGGATCAATTAAAATTGCTAGAACATCCATAAAAATTCCGTCCTGATAATGATCATCATGTGCTCACTTATGATGGACTCCAAGAGGTATTTGGTGGAGTTCTAGTGAGAAGCTGTGACTAGTGGAGTCCAACCATGTTTGTTGTAGAGGCAGTTACTCATTGATGACATAAGTGGACAGTGGTGCAATATCGTGAAGTTAGACACTGACACCATTGGTTGTTGGCCAGCTCAGTGGCTTAGAGGTTCTTGGGTTCGAAGTTTACGAGCGAGATCGTGGATGAGCACTCACACTGAGGAGTCCTACAATAAGACGAAACTACCGTCCAATGCTTCCAGGTTTTTCATGGTGGTCTAGCTTCAATTGACTCATAAATTCAACTATTAAAAAGCGCTAGGATATCCACAAAAATCCCATTCTGATAATTAGCATTAATGATTTCAATTAATCATATAATATTTTTCAACTAGCGAATAGATCATACGCTCCTGGATTAGAACAACAAGATGGTTTCCGTACAATTGCAACAACAAATTATCATCGTGAAATGCATACATCTGGACCACAATCACCATATCTGTAAGTTATTCACTTGTTTCATTGTCATTATGCTTATACACTGTTTTATTGAAGTGATATGATGTCACTTAGTTTGCATATTACTAATTGTGAGATCGTGAATGAGAAGGAGTAAAATTGTTCTCACGGTGCGGTTATAATTTATGAACGAACCAATCAGATTTAGGCTAACAAGTGTTGGATTTCGGCACGAAATTCATTTAATCATTTGACCAAATAGCGTCTTGGCATTTTAACTGATGTCAGTTCGTGAGGAAAATCCTAGATTTGATTTCTAATCCTAGCCACCAACTGTGAATCATAATCCTTATTCTTCAAACAGATTTATAACCTTCATTGTGAAAGGGTTCTTTTGGAGGTATCTGAAAAGGAAATTGGATGAGAGGTGGTCTTAGTGACCTGAGAGCGTGACTACAGTGCTTAAGGGACAACTGCTTGAGATCGGTTACACACGACCTTCTTAAGAGTAGTTTTTGTTTTAGCTTCGTAGTTGTTGGAACTTTACTACCGGAGACGGATATCCGTGGGACAAGGTTAGGTGTGCATTTTTAGGGTCGACCTATTCTAAACCCACCCCTCCTTGTGGGCAATCAGCATTGCTGTTATGCTGGTTGCCAGAGGGAAACACTTTACTGCCGTCACACCTCTGTACAGTCAGCAGTACGACTTCACCTTCGGACCTTGGGTTTGTTGCTTTTAGTCTTACCGTTCTTCAACCGACGTGTCTGATATGGTAGGACCTTGAGAAACGATTTTCCAAGCCAGTATACCTTGATTGCTTCATTACGATAGGCAAGCCTGACCATCACATCAAGGTAGCAGCAATGGTCGGACCGATTCAAGCATTCTCCATCCAACTCTGTCCTCAGCAATCCTTTCCAGTTGTTATTCATCCTTTTCATATCTGCTTCCAACTCCTGACAGAGTATATTTTTTTGACTTTCTTCTTTTCTGTTCCCCTTCAGGATTCCAAGTTAACAGTTGCTTGATGATGCAATTTGATGTTAAAATGATATCAAGTTGATAAATTGTCTTGTTTTCTGTTTTTCTTTTTGTTTTCAAATCAATATTTAGTGGGACAATCAGACATAATTCACAATATGAAGCAACACCAATAGTGAATCGATCAGTAGTTCAACAATCTGTTATACCATGTATGTATATTGTATAGAAGTAAAACAATTATATACACAAGGAAATGAGCATAATGATTCATTTAATATTAATATTAATAGTTGAGATTATGAGTCAGTTGAAGCTAGATCACTATGGAAAACCATGGAAGTACTGGACGGCTGTTTCGTCCAATTGTGGGACTCCTTAGTGTGAGTGCTCATCCACGATCCTGCCTCGCGAGATTTGAAACAGCCATCCAATGCTTCTAGGCTTTTTATGGTGATCTAACTTCAACTGACTCATGATCTCAACTATTGAAATTACTATAATATCCACAAAAAATCCCTTCTAAGATTGATTGAATAGTTTGTTTTTCATTTTCATAATCTTATTTTTATCAGTAGCAACATGGAAGATAACTGAATCCTTTCAGTTATATTGTTATCATCCTCTAAGATGATATAAGATTGATAGGTTAGTATAATGGAATGATTTCAGTTAATTGAATCAATCACATTCAAGATTGTCAATCAACACTTCATCTTTAAATGACTTAGTTGGCATTCAATATTGGTATTGTGAGACTCGCACTAATCTCACTAACTTTGTCTGTTTCAAAGTTGTTAGTTACAGCTTCTTACTAGAACCCTGAGTGACATGGCTCAGAATCAATCATAATGGCGTCAGTGCATACACTCTCTGTTCTCCATTAAACCGTTAGATTAAAATTGCTTTATACCTTTATTTCTAGGAACTTATTCTTTCTACTTGTACTACAACCTTATACACAATCTCTCTTCTATATATTACTACCATTGAAGTAACTACATGTATGAATTTGGTGTTCATGTTGTTGTGCTAATGAGGTGTGGCAACTTAGACCGATGCATATATATGTGTCTGGTCCTACGTTGTAGCTGACTGACTGACTAGAATCCTGAGCTTTTGGTTTAGTAGTAAAAGCATCTTTAACTATGTAGGGGGGGGGATGGTACTCTTCACATACTGATTTCATTTATAGTATTACTTGATATCAGAGAGAACACTTTGAAAGTAATTCATCCTAGAAAAACACTCTTCATCAGATCAATCTCAAGATCTTTCTGATCTAGAAATTAGTGTTTAAACATCAAATCGCTGAATTCTCACCCGATCGTACACATTTCCTACTTCAATCAATTTGTAATAAATAATTTCCATCGAATCTATCCTTATTATTATCATTATCATTATTATGTTGATATTTTTATCTGCATAAAATTTCAGTTTCACCAAATGGAAGTTTATCTGGAACGAATATTGGTGTTGATATTGTCGATGGTGATACAGTTGGAATGCGTCAAGTTCTTGATACATCTAAATATTGGTATTTACCAGGAATCTCACGTCCTGATGGTATGTGTTATTTGTATTTCACTGTGTTTTGAATTATTAGTAATTGATATCAGATACTTGTTTACTTATACCTGTTATCTCTCATGAAAGAAAATAGGCCATTCACCAGGATTCACCATCGACCAGATGTCGATGGTATAGTTTGATTACATAAATAAATATCGATTTGTCTCTTCTGTATATTCTTCTCACAATAACATGATCCTATATATTGTGAATGTGTTACTTACTTACTGACGCCTGTTACTCCTAATTGAGCATAGGCCACCGACCAGCATTCTCCAACCCACTATTTCCTCGGCCTTTCTTTCTACTTCTATCCAATTCTAGTTCATTCTTCTAATGTCTATCTCCATTTCTCGGCGTAATGTGTTCTTTGGTCTTTCTCTTTTCCTTTGGCCTTGAGGATTCCATGTGAGGGCTTGTTTTATGACGTAGTTGGGTGCTTCCTCAATGTGTGTCCTACCCCCATCCAGCGGTTTTTTACGATTTCTTCCTCTGCTGAATTGTAAATGTGTTAATTTAGATCAATTCCGTGTACTTCAAGAGTCCAGTACAATTTTACAATAATCACTTTTTGAACTGACTATTTAGATTATAAGCTATATTGTACCGTTAACAATGGATACTTCTTTAGCGACTAATTCAAAAGTGGAAAACCTATTACTTTCTTCCATTCTTTATATTTAAAAGCCTAAAGTGTATACCACACTAATGGATAATGATTAATAATTGACTAGCTAAAAATTGGATAGTCTATAGATCATTCCACTGTAGGACAATGTCATCCGTATACTTAGGGTTGTAAATTCTTCCTTCTGGCAGAGATGTCGAAGTTTGTGCTGATGATGTCGTTCACAAAAACAATAAAAGCTCCACTACCAAACCATTCAACTCAGAGAACGAAACTCTATCGAAATCTTCCGTTAGGTATCAGATTCATGTTAACATCATCATCTGTTTCCAGAAATTTATTAATGATATCACTGAAAAAAGGACTAGTGACAATGTCTAACTCTTCTTCAACACCTTGTTGGAATGAAACAATTGATTATTGTTACAGAAAGCGATAGTGTTTAAATCAGTATACCAAGGTAGGTATCAGTAGTATGTATCATCGATCGAATATGAAATATCTGGTAGTAGAGAAGGTTAAGTAGTTCGAACAAAAGAGAAATAGGATACAGAATGGTGGATATGGAAACGAAGGAACAATCAAGTCTGAGACGATTGATTGACATTTTGCAGAATGAAGCATTTGCGGTGTATAATTCTCAGATTTTACTAAGATGGTCTGTAATTTTGTGTTTAAATACATTAGATTGCCCACTTTGATGTTCTCGTTCACTACAGTATTTTTCAATCTATGACGTTGTAAATATACGACACTTTCATTATGCTTAGTCTATTTCGCATTTGCCTATTTAATGAAATAATGTAACTAGATATACGTTTGTTGTTGCCATGGCGATTAACACTTGGCATTCTCATTCACTACAACAAGATATAACTTTAATTTTATTTCATATCACTTAGGAAACTGTATTGAATTGGTTACTTATACTATTCAGTTTTAAAACAAGCCTACAACTAATGTGTATACTTATTGGAAGTTGTAATTAATCCCATGAAACTATCATCAGGATCCAATAATAATTCGATTAGTCAAAGTTCTTTAAATGATCTTCAAGGTCATCCAGATTCCTGTTTTCCTATTTAGTTTTAAAAGTAGAATATTTCTAGGGACAGGGGAATTGGTTAAGATAATGAGGTGAGACCATAATGGATGAACCACGTTTGAAAGAACCTCAAGTGACCTTGAGGAAGATTAGCCAATCAGCAAACAGGTAGTGTAGAGTAAATATCGATTATGCAGCACCCAAGAATTAAAATGGATATACTTCTTTTACATGGTTCAAAAAATTGTCAAGATTAGAAATTAGTTCAGAGATTCTGAAATCGTAACGCATACGGTAGAAGAAGTCATCCATATGACTCCATGACTAGGATAAGGTCGAGAAAACTCCTTCAGCCTCGACCACATAGCTTCCATAATGTTTGTGTGCATTTCGATTGTTCGACTCACATAACCAAGCCTATGTAGGCATCTGTATGCTCTTGATCATCCGCATATATTGTATTACTCGGCTGTAGCTAGTATTACTGATGCTTTTATTATCCAGTTTGTAACAATTATCATAATTTGCCTTGATCTCAATCTGGATTGAGAGAGAAAACTTCCTATTCTAACAGACTCTCTATGTCCACCAACCCAGTTAAAGCGCCGGACATTCGCTTTTCGTCCTCTCAGTTTCGTAAACAACACTCGTGGTGCTAGAAGGTAATGTGTAGGACTTTCCTGACAGATGCTAGATACGCGTGGTCATGTGAGGGCCGTACAAGGGCATTTGGGGGCCATCATCACAATAGTCTACACAAAGTCTACAACTCATCTGATTATCACAATTGCAAATAAACAAACTTCTAAATAGTCTCATTTATTATAGCCCCTCAATTATCCCATTTTCTGTAAAATTCTCTATGAATTGATTGTATGTATTCATCAGGTTTCGAAATTGGCGCCATGACCTTGAAATCTCTCGAAAACACTTCTGATTGGTTCATTCATAAATTATAATCTTGCTTACAGATTAGTTACATTAAAATTGTTTACTTTATTTTAGTTATTGCATTATTACGTGATAAAGAACCTGGAACTTTTGTTATACGTAATAGTAATACATATGCTGATAGTTTTGGTTTAGCATTGAAAATTCCTCCAAATTCACCTAGAGTTATATCGAATAAAGGTTAGTTATTCATTTCTATAGTGAACAGTTTTATTATATATGCATTTTCCTTTGATATAATAAACTTATTTATGTTATATGTTATTATGTAATTACTTACTTACTTACTTACTTACACCTGTTGCTCACAATGAAGCATGGGCCGCCGACCAGCATTCTCCAGCCCACTCTATCTTCCGCCTACCTTTCTACTTCTATCCAATTCTTGTTCATTCTTCTCATGTCTGTCTCTATTTCTCAGCGTAATGTGTTATTTCGTCTTCCTCTTTTTCTTTGGCCTTGAGGATTCCATGTGAGGACCTGCCTTGTCCACTTCCAGTGATTCTTACTGATTTCTTCTTCCGCTGGGATCTGGTTTGTTCTTTCTTATGGTAGGTTGTTGCTGATATTGTCTGACCAGCGCATCTGAAGTATTTTTGCGTAGACAATTGTTAATAAACAATTATATCTTCCAGGTTTCCACCCCATACAGTAGAACTGTCTTGACAATCGTATTAAAAATTCTGACCTTGGTGTTGGATGACAGTTGTTTTGAGCTCTTAATTTTCTTCAGTTGTAGATATATTGCTCTTGCTTTGCCGATCCCTGCCTTCACATCTGCATCCGACCCAACATGTTCATCAATGATGCTGCCCAGATATGTAAAGGTTTTTACATCTTCCAAATCTTCCCCGTCAATCGTGATTCGATTGTCGCATCTTGTATTGTATCGGAGAATCTTGCCTTTCCCTTTGAGTGTGCTGTGACCTATCGATGTAGTGAACAAGAACACGGGCGGGGACCATCGAACGTATTTAAAACAGACAATACAGACTATCTCAATAAAATGTGAATACCATAAAGTCAATCGTCAATTTGCAAAATATCATTCCATCATATGAAACTGTACTGTTCCCGTTGCAAACACTAATCCATTGTCCCCCATTCCATTGTACATGCGTTTTCTTACAAATTCCATTGTGCTCTCGCTCTTCCTTTTTTGATCTTCGCCATCCTCTGCTGCCGGACATTACGTTCTTTTAACGCACGTTATATACTACTTATATCAATATAAGTAGCTCACACCACACTGCTACACCGATCGTCTTCTCTTGCATCTGTTGTTGAGTGTGTGATGGAAGAGCCAGATCATCTGCGAAGTCTAGATCCTCCATGTTACTATGTAGATATAGTTGGAACCTGTCTAATTGAGTTTCAAACTGTTAAATTAACTAAAATGGTATTGAATCTCAAAAGTAGAATCCATTTCTTTAAGATTATAAATAAGCTTTACTACTGATGTGTATAAAAAAGAGTGACAAATACAGTTTAAAGGAGGTTTCTGTTATGTTCCGATAAGAATAATGAATGGTAACATTTGGGATCCATTTATGGACCAATACTATGCGTATATTTTTATCGTATAATTGTTCAATAACTAAACTATTCATATTCGTGTTCCCCTTATCACAAGCTTTATTTTGACCTATGAACCATGATTATACGTTTTACCATTCTTGAATTATGCCCTGTCTATCAATTACTATCTCCCACATCCACAGCTACATTTGGCTAAATCTTGTACAAATGTTGTTTCCTATTTTATGGTACGATGTAGTCTGTCTGGTTGATATATAAACTCAGTATGTTTGATTGGTGTTTTGGACTCGACAAGACGAGTAGAAGGATGGATAATGACCCTAGACTACTCGTACGGGTTTATGCGTCATTGGTTCGGTCGATAATCCACTGTTCTCTAATTGGTGGTATCGTTACGTTATACATTAGGAGGGCACACAAGTCACAAGTTATAAAAGTTTCCTGCTAATTACCTACAATAGTCTATTACCATAGACCAAGTTATTTATGATAACCTGAGATTTAGAATATTCAAAAGATTCATTTATTCATATATAATAAGGTCTCAAGTCATTGTGTCGTACCATCTCTAGAACCACAACCAGGGAGTTGTGAAGGACCAACAGAAGCCAGTCTTGTACAGTTTTCTTTTATATCATGACACTATGTCATACACTGATTATATCTCCGCTTTTTCTAACCAGTCTTAGCGTCGGTAAACAATGCACGGCGTAGAATTCTCTGTAATGATATTCCTAGAATATGTCCAAGCCATTGAAGTCGATGCTTCAAGATAGTGACACTAATTGAATTATCGTCATTGTGCCCCAGCACACAAAATCGAACCTCTGCATTACTAATATGGTATTACCACTATGTTAAAACTTGGAATTATATACTAACCTATATTTTTCTTTACTAATTAACAGAGGATATTCAATCTGAATGGGTACGTCATTTTCTAATTGGTACAGTACCTATGCATGATGGTCGTGGGAATGGAGTACATTTACGTGGTTTCTCTAGTGATCCAACATTTCCAAGTTTAGCAGCATTTGTTCATTATCATATTCATAAACAAGGTGCATTACCATGTACACTTCGTCTTCCAATATTTACTAATCAAACATTATATAATCAACAAAGAACTACTATTAATGAACAAACAGTTTATGGATTAGAACCTTCATTACAGACAATATTACCAACTACTAATACAATGAGTAAGATTTCTTTGTTGTTAGTTACATTGAGTCTTTAAATGTATATGTTATGAATATTTGTTAGAATGTTTTGGATAATCAGTTTCATTTGAAGATGACTTCTGTCATATATAAACATTCATTAAAGTATCAATAAACAACTGAAGATTATCGAATAGTTATGTTATTCTAACATAGCACTATGGATGGAGAATGCTGGTGAGCGGCCTATGCTCCTTCACGAGGAGTAACAGGCGTAAGTAAGTAAGTAAGTAATATAGCACTATGACCAGACAAAGTTGCTTACTCTCCCCCGTTCTCTTTCTTCTGGTGTTCGATTGGATTATGAAGACCTCTACATCTGAGAGGAAACACGGAGTACCATGGACACGTTGGATATAACTAGACTATTTGAAGTTTTCAGATCACCTAACCATCCTATCCTATACACATCAACGAATGCAGGTCATGACAAACAGTGTAGCAACAGTCTCTGCAGCACTAGGTCTCAACCTAAACAAGGGAAAAAAACAACATCCTCAAATACAACACAGAGAACACCAAAGCAATCACACTTGATAGTGAAACTCTCAAGGAGATGGAAAGTTTCACGTATCTGAGTAGCATCATCGATGAACGTGGAGGATCCGATACACACGTAGAAGTGAGAAGTGGAAAAACAAGGATAGCATTCCTACAGTTGAAGAACAAATGCAACTCAAAACAACTGTCTGTCAACCAATATCAATGTCACAATCTTCAATGCAGGCGTCAAAAGAGTTCCACCATACGAAGCTGAAGCTTTGAGAATTAGGTATTTATAAACAATTGTCTATGCAACATGCTGAATGTCCGTTAGTTGGATATGATCAGAAACAGTTTACTATAGGAGAGAACAAATCAGATTCCAGTTGAAGAGAAAATTAGGAAAAATTGGTGGAAAAGGATAGGTCACACATTTAGGAAATCATCAAACTGCACCACGAGTCAAGTGCTAACTTTAAATCCTGAATGGCAACAGAAAAGAGGAACACACAGCGTCGAGAACTGAAAGCAGACATGAATAGGATGAATAGTAACTAGGAAGGACTGTCCAGTGAGAGGTCTATGCTCCTTCAGGATGGGTAACAGGTGTAACTAAGTAAGTAATGTAGCCCAACGTAAAAATAGACTAACACAGCTCTGCCACTAGTCAAAACCAAAGTGTTCATATCTTTATTTTATTTTATTTTAACACATAGATGTTGGTACAAGGAGGCACCAAATATATATGCGCCACACAGATCTCATTTGATATGTGTGAGGGTTGTGATACTGCCCGGGTGCCCAGATCCAGACCGAAGCAGGTGGTTTTCTCAAGAGGGAGCACACTCGGAGCCTTTGATCTAAAGGTCCAATCCACAATGGTAACCGGTGACCAATAATTGGTTCATACACCATTTGTCCCTCAGAATACTGGAGCCCATGTGCACCATTGGTTTGGAATCAGGGTTTTCCAACTCTCATAGGTGGACTCTCCGTGTCCACTAACCCAGTTGAAGCACCGGACATTCGCTTTTCGTCCTCTCATTTTCGTAAACAACACCCGTGGTGCGAGAAGGCATTGAATAGGACTTCCCTGGTAGAGGCTATATACGCGTGGCCATGTGGGAGTGTTTGGAGAGGGAGAGCGGACTCTCCCCGCTCTCGATCGTACCAGAGCATTTGGGGGCGTTCACATCTCCTAATCAACGTAATACATTTAAATTGCTAAGCTAGATTACTATGGTTTGCACACATTTAAACGAGTTCATGATGTAGCCCAACGACTGTCCACGTGCACGTGGACAACTGCGGACACATATTCGACTGAGAAAATGTTCAGATCTTGGATAGAAGCAATTCTAAAAACACCAGAGAATTCTTAGAAACTCGGTACTGAGGTCAATCAGCAATCAACAAACACATTGAAATCGATCCAATTTATCAACCAATCAAAAAAACTATGGACAGATATGGGACCAAGAATCAAACCAGTGGGAGATACAACCAAAACAAAGAAGTAGACAATGACAGGTTAAAGGTCAGCAGTAGCCAATCATGACTGAGGTCTACAGGACAAGCTGTAAACCGTATGTGGAGAAATTCGAACGCTTCACCTCTATCTGAAGTTTGCGCTGATAATGTTGTTCAGAAGAACGATGATAACTCCACGAACAAACCATCCAACTCATAGAACAAAACTCCATCAAAATCATCTACCTGAGCTACAAATCAACCACTATCTAATACTGTCTATGATCTCTATCTCATTCCGAGTGATAGTTCAACTCCGTTAGTCAGATATTCTCAATGGAACTTTGAGAACTGATTTCAAAGCAAGTTACTGTCAAATGATATTTCTGTTTGAATTTGTCATGTTACATAACTAAAGTTACATTTAGATTAACTAGCAGAATATACGTTTCATCAGATGAAAACAAGTAAATCTTTATATCATTTCAGGTACGGATATGCTTTATCTTGGTTCTGTTGAAGTTGATCGTCTTGAAAATATGAATGCAGCAATTCGTGGAATTGGAAAAATAATAAGTTTAGCACAATCATATACAGATGGTTTACCAAAACGATGTGAAGTTCAAATTAAAGTTATACCACATGAAGGAATTACGTTTACGGAAAAATATCGACGTGCAGTTTGGAGAAAAACTATTAAACCTAATAATTTACTTTGGTGTGGTTTAGATCCAGAAAATCGAGAGTAAGTTTTCTAAAATTAGTTTTTATTTCTTAAAATGTTCAAGATCTTGACATTGGCATTGTCAATACGCACTGCTGAGGAATACCACAAGAAGACGAAACGGTTGTCAAGAGCTTTCAGGTATTCAATGGTGGTCTTAGTATCAATTAATTACAAAGTTAAATGACCAGAGTTAGTTAAATGATTAACTGTGGAATACCAAGTGACACGAGATCGAATCCGTCAAGGAGCACCAGTTCCCTCAAGATTACAGGTACACCTTGCTGACGAGTGCCAAGTAGCACGAAACCCGGGTCCAGGGTTTCCTGTCGAGTACGTCCAACCACCATCTAATCTCAAAATAGTGCACGCAGTGTCGAGTCACCTAGGCTGGTGGCCACATTGCAACTTGATCGATAGCATTCGATCTGCACTAATAAGGACTAGACACGCAATCAATTGTGATCTCAACTACAGTATTAACAACCTAGAAGCTCATAAAATCAACTGTGTATAGACTTTGTTCAAGAGGGCGACAATACACTGCAACACACTAGTAGCATTTAAGAAATGAAGAATGATGAAAGCTTCATAACCAAATCATCTAACTCAGAGAACAATACTCCATCAAAATCATCCACTTGAGCTACAAATCTTCTCCACATTTCGTTATATTTAGGTCTTGTCAACTGGATGATTTTTGGATTTTAATGTCGAAGTTCATATGAGTATTTAAACCAAATAGCTTTCACGTTAAACGTCCATCGGATTATCTATCTAAACTGATGAATTACATTAATTACCTACTCACTTTCAAATAACAATGTTACCATAACTAGTGTATTCTTTTTCAGTGATATAAGCATGAAACTAATAATTTCACTTGTTATAGTTGAAATTACTATAGAATAAGTTTATAAATGGATCCATGTTAGATCGTCGTTGAAAACCTAAATGCGTTAGACAATCATCTCGTCCTTCAGCAGTACGCATTAACGATCTCGCACGTTAACGCTTAACCTTTGGACCACTGAATTGACATCCCATTGTGTTAATAACTAACTTCAATCGATTCATGATCTTGCGCACCTCTTCACCTATTGTCTGAGGTGGATAGCTATCTCACATCCGACATGAATTACATTCCACCGTCAAGTGCTTCCAAGTTTTTAACGATCGTCTAACATTGATCGATTCATATCAATCTAAACTCAACAATCTCCCCAACTCTATACTGACGAATAATCCTATGTTGTGTCATTATTATTATCATCATCATCAAAATTAGCCCTCTAAAGTGGACTGACTAATATTGTTTAATATACTACTCTTAATTGTATTTTACTTCTATGAATTTTGCTTATAGATTTAATGATGCGGAATTACGATCTAAAGGAATGTATGGTTCAAAGTAAGTCATTTTTTTAAATAATTAATCTGTTTACTTATAAAATATGGCTAATAATCACTCACTAAATATTGAATTTGTTTTTAAAATCAAAATAAATGGTAGATGTTACCAGCGACTTTTGTGGAGACTGTTGAATATGAAAGTCTAGATCATGGACAGACTCTAAATGCTATACTCTCACATGGCCTCGCTTATACAACGAGTACCAGGGAAGTCCTACTTAATGCCGTCTCAAGTTGTAAGTGTTATTTACGAAATTACGAGGACGAAAACCAAATGACCGGAGTTGTAACCAAGTTGGTAGGCACAGAGAGTCCACCTAGGGGAGTTGGATAACCCTCATTCCAAACCAGTCATGTACATGAGCTTCAGAATCATGAAAGAACAAATGGTATGTGAACCTATTGTCGGTTACTGGCTACCATGGGATTGTATCTCTTAATGTTGCTCCATTGCCTTGTGGATTAGACCTTTAGATCAGAGGCTCGGTGAGTGATCCCCTAAGAAAACCACCTGCCTTGGTTCGGGCACCCAGGCAGTACCACAGTCCACAGATAAATCAAGTGACTTGTATGTAACCCTTTTGCACTAAATAAATAAAAGTCATGGACTAACTTGAATTAAACCACCAATCAAAACAAGAAACGACTGAACATCTCATTTCGTCTTATTATAATACTTGTAAGTAGAATAATCATTCGTATTATGTAATTCGGTTATTACATTAAGTTTGACTTGAAATCATATACCAGTTAATGTTTATCACAGTAACTCATTATTTTTTTATTGAAATCATCAACCGATTGATGTTAGACCACCACTGAAAACCTGGAAGCACTGGACGGCCGTTTCGTCTTATTGTTGGACTCCTCCGCAGTGCGTATCCACGATCCCGCTCGCGAGATCAATCGGTTCATGATTTCAATCAAAAGCTTAACAATCTCCACAACCACTAAACGGATAACTTATTATTTATACAGACATTACGTAACTCTATACGTGAAATAATATTGTTAATTACATATTTTGAATTACATCATAAGACTGATGTAATATTCAAGTCGACTTCTACAACTCCGTATGGACTTAGAACAAATCATACTAATTACGCAATACCTTGTTCATTTTAATTGATCTCTCAATAAGTTAGATCATATAAAAATAAATAACAAATTATAAGAATAGGAATATATGGAGATCTCTATTCTGATACTAATCATGTGTTCATTAGTGGTTAGCTTCAAGATGGATTTCTTTGGAGTTCTAAGAAGAAGACATGAGTGGTGGAGTTTAATCCGTGTCAGCTGTGACGTAGTTATCTACCTCAGATAATGGAAGAAAGGTTGCACAAGATCATAGATGAATTAAAGTTCCACATTAATAGTGTTAAATACTGGCTCAGTGGTTTAGAAGTTAGGCGTTCACATGTGAGACCGAAGATCCTGAATTCGAGTCCTGTGTAAGAGATTGCGGACACACATTGTTGAGAATTTCTATCCTAGGACAAAATGGTTGTCTAATGGTGTTCTAGCTTAGATCGACTTATGAACTCAACTATTCACATTTAGTCAGTCAGTCGGCTACAACGTAGGACCAGGCACATATATGCATCGGTCCAAGTTGCCATACCTCATTAACACAACAAGATGGACACCGGATTCATAAAAGTAGTTAATTCAGTGGTAGTGATATATAAAAGAAAGATTGCAGTAAGGATATAGTACAGGAAGAAAAATTAGTTGGTAGAAAGAAAGATATGAAGTGATTTTGATCTCTTAGTTTAAGGGAAGACAGAGAGTGTATACACCGGCGCCATTGTGATCGATTCTGAGCCATGTCGCCAAGAGTCTCCAACCATTGGTTACGATAGTCACGCGGACCCCAACCAAGTAGTCTGCCTCTCCCAACATGGCTAAAACTAGAAGTTAGTGACTTCAAGCATTGATGCCATGTTTTGGTTTGGCTGCCCCTAACTTTCTTCCAACCATCCCGAACACCGGTTAGCATTGCACGTCGTGGTAATCGGTGTTCAGACATACGTAACACGTGGCCCAAATATTCACATTGCATATTTATAAACAAAAGTCATCTTAATAACAAATCGATCAATTATTTAATCTATTTATCAAATGAATTCGTTTCATATAAAATAATAATTGTTATTAAGAGTTAGTAGTTAAGGGGATAACGCGATGTCGTTTGAAGCGAACAGTACTGAGTTCCAGTTCGAAAGTGAATATCAACTCTGAGATGTAAATACATCCATTTGATGAGTCGCAAATAGGACGAAACGCGTGTCAAACTGGATCCCACTGTTATTAATTGTTACCACCAACTATAAACAATGGCTTCTTCTTAATAAAAAAATAGTCGATTAGAATGGTTATGATGCTTAAATTGAATTATATTAGTAATGTAACACTAACATTTCATTAAAATTATTATGAATCTTATGAATGTTAAATAGGAAACCCATTTCATATGATGAAGTTTTCATGAATGATGACGAAAGCCTTATAATTAAATCGATTAACTATGTTGTGTATACATGTGCATTGTAGTCAAAAGTTGAGAATAATAAAAGAAACTAGTTGTAGTGGTTAGCATTATATCAATCCGATATAAGTTAGTGTAATCATTGGACAGGCGAATTTATTCATTCTTCTCAAGCCAGATTTTAAGCTTGTCACTTATTCACTTATTAACTCTGACTATTTTAATATGATCATTTATAAGTATTGAGTAACGCTTGATCAAATCAAGTTGGCTCACTTAACTTCTCCACTAAGCGTCATCTTGTTTCATCACGTTTCTCTAATCATCTATATACGTCAACAATTGTATAAAATCCATTCTCCTCATAGTTGACTTATTTAATTTCAATGATTAAATACATGAGTAGTCAAGATCTATATTTCATGAATAATCCTCATATAGAATCTAAGTGGAGGTTGCTAGATCCTGAGTTCGAATCCCGCTTGCATATAGGATGATGAATATACACAATTGACACATTGTCTATTAACTACATTTGTCTGTTTATTTATTTGTTCTCATCTTCTGTTTTGTTTTTGTTCTTTATATTATAGAATATTTGCATTAGTTGCACGTAAACAACGTTTCTGGTTACATGATAATGTAGTTTATGTATTTTGTGAAATTGATCATAATCATTCAGCTATTCAATTAGTACGTTTTATTAATTCTATCTTTCCTGGTTTAAGGGATTAATTGAATGATATTTCTTTAATAATATAAATGAATATATGTTCTATATATTTATATTTCTATATATACATATATATGTATGTTCATGAAGGATCTTCTATTTCAATCATTCTCAATAAAGTTTCTTTCATCTAATATGAATTGTTTGTTTGTTTTTTAATTGATCATTACATTCTATTCAACATTGAAAACAATCTGGATCATCATTTCATCTTATTGATAATGATACTGTTGTTGAGGGGGAATGAATGAATGAGGCAATCCATTAAGATGATGTTTTCACAATTTATTCATGAGTGATATTTCTCTTTTTTTCTTTTTTTCTCTTTTTCTCTTTTTTTCTTTTGCCACTTTCGTTGATTGACTTTTCTTTAGTTTAACTAAATTCAATTCATAATGAATCAATTAATGATTTCGAAGGAATTTTTGTTTTTGTTTTTTTAAAAAAAAAGAAAAGAGAAAACATTTTCGGGTTTTTTTTCTAGACTTTTTTCTTACTTTCACATTTATAACACACACACACACATCTATATATATACAGGATACAATCAATGTTGATCTGTTTCATTTTTAAACTACCGCCACCACCATCACAACCACAACCACCACCACTACTACTACGACGACGACGACTTCCGACGATACTGTTAACAATACTACTACTACTAACTATACTACTTATATACAATACTATACTATTTATTCTATATATCTGCTTCTAATTATTCAATTATCGATTTATTTGTTTATTTATTTATTTAATTGTCTACAAATAATCGTTTCCAACTTGAATTCGTCTATGTTTAATTGAAATTATATTTTGAAAAACAAATAAAACAAAACATGGCGTGTTCAATATTCAATGTTTCTTATTTAACATAAATAATGACGATTGTTCGTCTGTTCGTTTGTTTAAATGTATTCAGTTGACCTTGAGTAGTGTTATTTTAATGTTTTTTTAAAAAAACAAAAAAAGAACCGGGCTTTTTAAAACTTCTATTTATTTTACAGGTTACTTTCTTCTTTTTCTTCTTCTTTTGCTTTTTTCTATTTTTTATTTTTCTTTCTCAATGATAAATATTTATTAAAATGACTAGTGTATTCTATCATTAAACTTGGTTGATATATATTTATTAATTTCAATGGGAAATAATGAGTTCAATTACGCAATGATGTTATATAGAAGCCTATAAATCTTTTTTTTTCTGAAGACTATATATATATATAGATACGTGTTGCTTAAGTAATAGTTATATATATATATATACATATATGTTTAATCTCTACCTTTTGGGTTATTGGTTTAAATGAACAAATATTTATCAAAATGCCTTTGACTACTTATTTATTTATAAAGCATTCATACTGTTCTCTCTCTCTCTTTCGTTTTGTCATTCACATACACAAACAAACACACACGCACATGCACGCGCGCACACATATACACACACAATCAATAACATGAAAGCTGAAACACTTAAACTATAAATGAACTTTATCAAGCATGAGATATAATACGTATCTATGTACTTAAAAACAAAACAAAACACTATGTTCTTCTTCATTTTTCTTTTTTTTTGCTTAAGTTAAAACTGCTTTGGCTAAAAATCAATTTTAATTTTGTACAAATATATCATATTATTATAATATCCACAACAACAACAACAACAAAACAATCCTTCTGATATGAATCCATATATACTCATCAGTGACTGGCTTCAAGTGGTGACCAGTAGAGTTCAACTAGGTCTGTTGTAAGATAGTAACTCACTGATGACAATGGTGAATGTATCGCTCAGTGTTATGGATTAGGTGATACCGCTGGATGCCGGTCATTTCAATGGTCTAGAGGTTAAGTATTCGCGCACCAGATCGGTAGGTCTTAAGTTCGAATCTTGTGGGAAGGGATGGTGGATGAGCACTGTTGAGGTAGTCCTACAATAGAACGAAACGGTTGTTCAGTGCTTCCAGATTTTCCATTGTGGTCAAGCTATTAAATTACTATAATATCCACAAAAAACACCCTTTTCATATTGTTCTATCAACCTCACTAATAATAATCATAGCTTGATTGATATTCATTATAGATTCAAATGAATCGGAATGTTATGATCGATATTGTTCAATTGTGTTTAAATTTAGATAGTCATTATCATTGACTTTAAATGGTCATTATCCTAAATTATTAAACAGTGTAGATTATAAACTGTACACTGTACTTTTAGTGAAAGGTTTTAGGGTAATCTGCTTTTCACAAGATGAAGGTTTACTATTTAGTTGGATCACGGATGTATATACTGCCGGTAAGTCTAGTGTTCTACAACTCGTAATGGTACTTCATAATGATGTTAGTATATGAGGCATTTCGAAAATACGTCCTGTAATTCAGAATATAAATTTTTGAGATTAATTACCAAGCCAATATTTGATACAAGTAGAAAGTAAATATGACTAACTTTTTCCGAAATATTCCAGTACATTCATTGTACAGACAAGAGGAGGAATTTACGACTGTATAATCATTTATATAACACCACTGCCGATATTGAAAAGGCTAAAAGAAATACAACTGTTAATCTTCAACGCAACAATCAACTAATATCTAGTTACATAATTTCATTAAATAGGCAAATGACAAATAGGCTAAGCATTCCAAAGGTGTCGTATATTTACAACGACATAGATGACAAATACTGTAGTAAACGAAAACATAAAGGAGGACAATCAAATGAATTTCAATACAAAATTCTGAAATGTCTCAATAAAATCTGAGAACCATTTGCAAAATGTTAATCAATCATCTCAGACTTCATCGTCTCTTTGTTTTCGCGCCAATCATTCTTTGTTCTCATTCTCTTTTCTTCAATCTTAACCATCTCCACCACCAGGCGTTTCACATTCGATTGATGATACATACTATTGATATCTGTCGACATCAGCAGCACACCTCACAATACTATACTACGAACATACATACGATTGAAAAAGATTTTGGCATAATACAGAGTGTCTTTGTCAAACTATTTGAAACTTTTTAACGTATGACTTCAAGTACTATCATTGAAACATTCAAACGTTATGTGTTTTTGTTGTCATAGCAACTGTGGTGTCAATTTTCCAGTGACAATTATGTTAAGAAGAGTTTTGAGCCATGGAATGTATATTATTGGTCGAATTAGCATACCACTGATAATTTAGATGAATTTAATGATCGAGAATGATTAAAGGACTATTCTTATTCATCAACTCGAGGTTTCTGTTAACAATGAAAATTTGTCATTTATACCACAATAACTAGATAAGTTACTATTGTTAGTGTATGGAAATGAGGAGATAATACAGTCTGAGACAATTGATGGACATTTCGTAATAAAAGTATTCACCGTATGGTTCTTAGATTTCACTAAAAGACTCTGGAATTTTGTACACTACACATATACATTAAAAAGATACAAATGAAAATGAGTAAGATAATGTTATCAAAGTATGTTTATACTTTGTAAGGATGAGACATCAATAATATATCATGAGTTCAGAAATAGTTCCATAGTATCTTGAACTCACCAAAATGTGATTTGTCAAAAACTTAATGAGATAACGTGGAGGAAGAAATCAGGAAGAAGGGCTTCTATTTTTTGACATTTAACGAGCAGATAAATATTATTCTAACGATAGTATCCTGATAAGATTTCATTAATTACAATTTATCATTAGGAATGCAGATGTGAGACAGTTGAGATCGTCTATTTTAAGTTGTAATTAATCATAAATAAAATAGTTGCTATCACTATTATTTTAATTCGTTGATTAGATTAAAAAAGCAGAACATCAATGCATACAGTAATGAAAGTTGATAAGGACCATGGTAGATATGATATTTTTTAATCTGTCAGATTTGAGAATAGATTTTGTTCTAGCAGTATTTGTGTTTTATATGTAAATGTATTCATCTTATAGAATATTTCTTTATGAGTTGTTTAGTTTCGGAAAGAAATTAATAGGATACTATTATGCAGTTGTAACTAATGGACTTCAGTCGTTTTAAATATGTGGAAGGTACGTACCTTGAGTAATTTTAAGTAAACTGATGTTTTCTTTGTCTTATTGGAGTTAAACTTGTAAACCTTTGGATCCCGGTTCAGTGGTGTGGATGTTGTGTGTAAGTGCAGGACAGAAGATTATTGGTTTGACCATTGATATATAAGTTGTAGATTTATACTACCGAAAGTTCTATACTTGAGCGGGTAAGCTATTAAGTGCTTCAAGGTGTTCAATGATTGTCTAACTATAGTCAGTTAGTGATCCCAATAACAAATCTCTAATTCAGCGTTCAGTAACATATACTTATGTCAACTGTACATATTATCTAAGAAGACAAACAGATATAAACAATACGGAAATTGCTAAAAAGTTTGAACTTCTTCATATTGTTATACTTTTTCGAAGTGATAGAATTAACAAACTAACATGTAACGTAATAAAAATTATACGAGTAATACCCTTAACATTGGTTCTATTATAGGCAGGTAATATTTTAGTTACATCAGCTAGATGTTATTTAACCATGCCTAGCCATAAACTTAAGACGCTCCACCTGCTTTCCTCATATTTAACAATAACGTAGATATAAGTCTTGAACAAATACATATATAAACGCTGTCTACACAGACTAACACTGTCACTTATAAAGTCTAATGAACTATAAATCTTATCCCGCTGTAATCGTCTTGAATACACTCATATCCTGATTCTAGAGGACTTCAGTCTTCCTAAAGTCAACTTCGCTGAACACACGTACATTGAAGATGACAACTCGACTGAAGTTTGGTTCTTGAGGATCTCAGATTATTTGAAAATGTGAAGTTATCAACTATCTGGAGAAATAGCCGGACACTGTCACGCTAAGACTTATATTTACCAACACAGAATTCCTAATTCACAATCTCGCAATCCTAGATTCATTGTGTTAAATTGGTCATCATATCATAGCTTTTAATTTTATCAACAAAACTGAGCTAAGACATCCGAATAGCGACAGGCAACAGAATTGCAAACTATTGGATGTGTCCACTTTACAGGCGAATCTACAGTAGGTGGACTGATAAGCCCACCCTGAATTTGATGTGGACACTTATTTGGACTTCTTACTGAACACGATCTTATGTGCTACAAAACTGTCTGTTCTGAAAAGTCCCCAAATTTAAAAAGTAGCATAAAGTCATGAAGAAAGCTAAGACGAGAAAAGCACTACTAGGAATAATATAAATGAAATCTTGAAAACAGTAGATATGAGCAGTTCAAACAAGCAAAGGATCAATGCACTAATCCAATAAGGGAAGTCGGGCTTTACTATCAAACAAAGCCAATCTATAAAGTTGTCTTCAATCCTCAAACATTATTCTGTCATGTAGCCTCCCTTCAGCAATACAAAAGAAGAGCTTCTCAAATGTCAGATCCTGGTGGCCCAACCAAAAACGACGGTGACGCCACCGACCTATGGGCGGAAAGGTGCCTTCAAGCATTTCAACTGTACCTTACTAACTGCATCGATGAGAACTCTATCTGCAACTCAACAGGGCCATCAGACGTGAACCTGACTTGGTGTATCAGAAACCGTAGCGTCCAAACATGGACACTTCTTTTGGCCCGTATACGGTTCATTTTGTAATAATGAGGGAAGAAGCTTCTCCATTGGCAAAATACCTAGTGTGGTGTTCGTGTGCTCGCTACATCGAATTACTGTATGGGAAACTTGGAAGTTGGCACACACTACACCATCTTTCGAAGGAGGTCAACGTAGCTAACCTTCATGCTATGAGCCAGTAGCACTTACCACAATAACCTAAACTATAAGATCCCTGCAGCTTAGTTTCAGAAAAAGTCACTTGTATAACCAACTTGCTGAATGCGTTGGACAGGTGGACAACCATCCTTGGTGGCAAGGGAAAGTTTAATGTCACATACCTGGACTTCTCGAAGGCTATTGATGAGGTAACTCATAAATTTTCATGATTACATTCATGAGTCGATCTAATCTAAACCATCATTGAAACCTGAAAGCACTAAACGCCAGTTTCGTGAATTCAATTGTGAAAATACTACAACGTCCACAAATCCCCATAGTGATATCAATCATATACGCATCATCAATAAGCAAGGTATCAAGTAGCCGTTAATTGATTGCTTAATATCGTATCTGAATAATCGATATGTAAAAGTCATTTTTCACGATTGATTAATCACTCGGTGGTGATCAGTGTCATGTATGTCAAGTCCTTCTTAGTGCAGATCGAATGCTATCGACCAAGTTGCAATGTGACCACTAGTCTAGATGACTCGACATTGCGTGCACTATGTTGAGATTAGATGGTGGTTGGAGGTAGTCCACAGGAAACCATGGACCCGAGCTTCGTGCTACTTGGCACGCGTCAGCAAGGTGTGCCTGTAATCTTCAGGGATCTAGTGCTCTTTGACGGATTTGATCACATGTCGCCCACATTCACAGTAAGAGACGCCACCACTTGACTATCCGTGAAGCGATCGACCTCCTGTACGACTGAGATGTAATCACAATTGATTGATCACTGGGTGGTGATTAATATCATATGGGTCAAGTCCTTCTAAGCTCAGATCGAATGCTATCGACCAAAGTCACCTTTTTATTCATTTATTCTCGGGTTACGAAATGTTCTTTCGTGGTCCCTTAGGGTTTAGTACTCGAACCTCTCTTTTAGTTAACACAAATGACCTGTAGAACTATGGTCTACTATGATAATAGACCTGATCCTAAAATTGTAGATTTTTCATGACATAACTGCCTAGTCTATAAGATCTTACGTGGAAGTTACATCGTCGTCTACACCAACTCATTGCATCATAACAATTACCAATACATGATGGAGAACAAGCTTAGGCTAGAGATAGGACAGTATATTTGATATGGTTAAAAGATATAAAATAAAATGGACCACGCCTGCATGGCCGAGCCATGCCATTCGATCAACCCCAATTCATTCAACTCCTTTTTCCCGCCTTTTCCATCGTTAGGTATTTCTCTGCGTTAAATATTGAATATCTTTTTTCCGAGTAGTTTTGTGTTCTGCTTTGAAGATTGTGTGGTTATGATCCAATGCCACTATAGACCGTCCTCAGCAATTATCATCCAATTTATTACTTTTCGCTGACAATCTGAAACTTCGGGGAGACATTTGCAATCGAGATGATGAAATGGCACTTCTGGAAAACCTCACTCGACTTCAAAGTTGGGTAGATAACAACGGACTTACCTCTAACACTTCAAAATGCAAATTGGTCCATCTGAAACATATTAAAGACTATAAATAGAATTAAGGTGTTGGGGACGATATATCCCCAAAACTCATAGTTTGTAATTTTATCTTTGTGGAGCTTGTATGCAGATGTATGCGTGGGCGTTCCTTAACACCCACGCACATAGTCGATTGACGAAATTATCGATTAAATGTTTGAAAGCTCCGTGGCAATATCGATATATATATATATATATGTTTTAAACTGTGTTTGTGGTGCTCTCTCGTTTTTTGGCTGTTTGCAGAATGTATTTTCCATACCAAGCTTTGACTTCTCCTTCTAGATAGCGGGGCTGGAACGCATCGATAGCTAGATTACTGGTCTTTGGTCAATGAGTCTTGTTCTCGTTCGCAGATTAAGTGAACTCGTGAAGCTTCAAAGCTAACATAAGGTAAGTTTCCTACAGAGGTATCTAAGTTAGAATATGGAGACATAGTTCCTCCTCCATTATCCCAGAAGGATAACAAAACATTGGACATATCCAAAGGTGAGCCACAAAATCAGTTCGGGGACCAAAATTCAAGAATTATGAAGAGCGCTTCAAGTCATTGAACTTTTACTCATTTCAGTATAGGCGTCTCGGAGGTGATCTCCCAATGACTTAAAAAATCCTGAAGACTCTTGAGCGTCCTCTTAAACGCCTACTTATACCCAGCTTCAACACAGACTTTAGGTGTGACACCCAGAAATTAGAGATGAAACATAGGACGGTTAACACATATTTACTCTTTACGAGTAGTCAAATGCTAGAATCAGCTGCTACTTGAACTCGTCCAAGCGATTTTTTAGAGCCTCTTTAAGAAGAAACTTAATATATTGTTCAGGACTAAGGACAGTATCCCACTATGATTTACCATTTCCTTTAATCTTTTATCGTTAAATATGCTTGAGTTCTTACCTGTAGACATCAGTGATCAAACAATACCAGATAAGGAGGCTTGTCGAGCAAAAAACGTCTTCTATTCCGTCCAGAATAGTTTAAAACTATTTGAAACTGATTGAATCACAGAGATATAGTGTATTGGACACTGAAAACTGAATGTGGGAGGTTTGTATCTTCAAGGTTGGTGTGCCTTTCTTACATGATAATTGTTTTTAATATTCGTTGTGATTATTGGCCTCATAAATGCCGTATGGCGTATACTCCTCGAAAAGCTATTGTTTGTTATCCGAGACTTTTGATCAACCCTCATCAAAAATTCTGCGTCAGGGATGTTGTTTACAACCTCAACCAATCAAGTAGTGTATAAATATATTTTAGCAAACGCCACCACTTCTTATCAAATAATCCTGTCCTTTTAGCGTTTTCTTTGCAACTCCCTGTGCAAATTTAAGATATCTCGTAACTACAATCACTATATTACACGAGACCTGAGGTCGCCACATTTTAGTGATTGCCTCTAACTACCTAACATTAGGATATATAAAACAAAAGGTGGATTGAAAGTAACCCAAATTTTGATTATTGTATTTATATTGTATTCAATTGTCACACCAAGCCTGGAGTCTATGAATACTATGTTTGTTTAAAGGGTCAGAAATGTATGCTAGTTCAGTCTTCAGTAATAAGGATAGTAGGTTGATGAACCTGTGTTAATCCTGACACATTGCTTTCCAGTGAAGGTCCAGCTTTTCCTTGAAAGTATTCACTGATGGGGCTGATACCACTTGTTCGGGTAAGGCGTTCCAATGATTGACTACTCGATGAGAAAAACGGGATCCCACTTTAAGTTTATTAGATCGTGGTTTATGAACCTTCTTGCTATGACCTCGGAGATTATTAGTGCTGGAGGGAGCAAAAAGATAAGACATATTAACACCCAAATCATAATTAAAGATACGAAATGCCAGTATAAGGTCACCTCGTGCCCTACGATACGATAAGGGGAAAAGATTTAGGCGTTTTAAGCGCTCATCGTAAGGGAGTCTAGAAAGACCCTTCACTAATTTCGTTCCCACACGCTGGACACGCTCAAGGGAGTTAGTATCCTTTACTAGACACGGGCTAGCTGCTTGGATACGGTACTCTAAATGTGGTCTAACATATATGGGATATAAAATTCGAAACGTTTCCTCGTCAAAAGATTTGAACGCTCGGCGAAGTGACCATAACGCACGAAAACCTTTGACAGCGGCTGCTTTGCAATGCGCAGTTGTTTTTAAGTCATGACTTAATATTACTCCTAAGTCCTTATGCTCTTGAACGCATGGAAGAGGTTTACCCTCAATAGTGTAACGGTAACTATTACCGTGACCGACGTGCATTAGTACACTCTTCCTAGCATTGATTTCTAAGCCCCACTCTCGAGCCCATCTAACTAAATCGTCTAAGTCAGCTTGAAGATCCACATGATCAGCCGCACTTTTTATTGTTCTCCAGATTTTTACATCATCTGCAAACAATAATGTCGACGACCTAAGTAACAGTGGTAACTCATTAACGTAGAGAAGGAAGAGCAGAGGGCTTAAGATGGTGCCTTGGGGTACACCACTTTTGACCGGCTTCCAATCGGATAGCGTTCCATTGACCCTAACTCTCTGTCTGCGGTCACATAAGAAATTTCCTATCCACTCATGTACAGTACCTATTATTCCGAAGCTCGTGAGCTTCTGTATAAGACCTACGTGTGAAACCTTGTCAAACGCTTTGCTAAAATCTATGAATATCACGTCGACAGACAGACCGTGATCTAGGGCTGCTGTCCAATCCTCCCTCGCAATAAGCAAGTTAGTCAAGCAAGAACGCTTGTTACGAAATCCGTGTTGCTCAGGAGCTAACAGATTGTGTGAATCTATGTGGCTTAGCAACCTAACCCGAATTATCTTTTCGAGTAACTTAACGACTATGCTAGTTAGACTGACAGGCCGGTAGTTAGATACTATCTGTCGCTGACCGTCCTTAAATATAGGACTAACTATAGCGTCCTTCCAATCTCTAGGGAGTTGAGCGAGTGAGAGGGACATGTTGAAGAGTGTCGCAAGCGGTTTTGAAATAATGTCCGCAAGAGATGATAGCAACCGTGGATGTAACCCGTCAGGGCCCGGTATCTTACCAGGTTTGAGGTTAGTTATCAACGGAAGGACAGTTTCCTCAGTCACCTGTACAGATTCAATGGTTGGTATCTCGGTGTGAGTGGGACAAGTATTTGTTACAATAAACGTAGAGAAGACTTCGCTAAAATAATCTGGAAAAGTCTCAGCTTTTGCTCGATCTGATTCAGCTAGTAATTCTGAATTTTCGTGTAACAGCAACGGGGGAATACCATCACTACGTTTCATTTGCCGTTTAACATACGAAAACAATCGTTTCGGACAAGTACGGCTATCATATACTAACTGTCGTTCGTAAGTGGTACGGGATTTCGCTATGGTTTTCTTACAGATATTACGGTATTTTTGATACTCACGCTTAAATGGTGCATGACCTGTCAACAAGAATAAGTCCCAGAAATGTTTCCTACGCTTTAACAGCTTCCGGGTTTCCTTATTAATCCATGGAGGGCAATGTGATAGCTTACGTGCTGACCATGGGATAAACGGCTACGTTACGGACTCGAATGTAGCCTTAAACTTATTCCATTCATCTTCGATCAATCCTTTCGCGTCGACCGACCAATCGGTCAAGATAGCACGGTTTCTGATTTCCGGAATATTAGCTCGTCAGATATTGGGACGGGGTGGAGCAGATACGAATTGTATACCATGCGTCCTAAACTTAAAGTGAATTACAACGTGATCACTGTTCACTAGTGGAGGAAGGTGCTGGATATCAAAGACATCCTCACAGTGGTGGGTGAGGGCGAGGTCCAGCAGTGACGGAACATGTTGCAAATCAATATGTGTCGGTTTTGTGATACATTGTACAAGTGCACACTGAATAACGGTAGATAAAAGGTCGCTATCGAAACCACTACCTGGAGCTGTAAGCTCTATCCAGTTGATATGCGGTGCGTTGAAGTCCCCAATGATGAGACAACATTCTGCCATACTCCAAGAACAGATGTGTCTTAGGATAAAGTCGTCAGCCAGACAAGACGGACTACGGTATATTCCCCCTATAGTCACTAACCCATTTCTAGATTTAATCTTACAACATCCAACCTCACATGTGCCACTGATATGAGCCTCCGATATGGTTGATTGTATACGAAAGTGATCCCTAACGTAAAATATTATACCTCCCCCCTTGCGACTTGAAACTCTATCACTTCTGATACAGATATAACCAGCAATGAAAGGAGAACAGTTTATATCAACGGTGAACCAAGTTTCTGTAACAACGATTATATCGGGACATAATTCTTGCACCATCAGACTTAGCTCGGACGTTTTATTTCTAAGACTACGAGCGTTCGTGTAGCACACACTTAAGGTGTTTTGGAGATCAATCGTTCTACCCATACAGGCCTCGGAAGCATTGGCTTCCAAGACCTGACTACCCGAAAACCCTTAATGGTAAGGTTATTTTCGCCATTTTATTTGCGAGTCCTCAACTCCGTAAGAGCATTCTTCCACTTGATTCGATCCTCAAGCGGCCAATCTGGTCGAATACGGATATTTGAGGCACGAGTTTTTAGTGCGCTTTTCAATAATATGTCTCTTTCTTCGAAACTCCCGAGAACCAGCTTCAGGATCCTTCTTGGTTGGGTCTCGCCTCCAACCCATTTACCAAGTCGTATTACTTTTGTAATATGTACCCCTGAAACCTCTTCAGGTAGTACATTCCTAACCACAGACTCCACTAACTGCAGGTCATGTGCGTGTCTTTTAGCAGGGTCGTTGTCTTTCGACTCCTCTAGATTCCAAATAATTAAACTAGGGATGGGTTTAGCTTCTTTTGAAACTGTGTTCACAGCTTTCGACCGTGACGTTAGATCCTGTATTTTAACTACTGGTAGCTTACGATTAGTTTTTATTTTAACAGAGTCCTGGGAGTCAAGCGAATGACTAACAACAATGTCAGACGAAGCTTTACTATGAGACTTTGGCGGATTGGTCTGAGAGTCCACCAAGGACTTACCAAGTAAACAGTCATTAGTTTTAGCTATCTTTCCTACTCTTCTGCGTTTTCGCGTCATCCATTTTCCATCAGTCGAAACGTCTACATTAGAACAACTCGGGACAGTAATTGTTTTATCTGGGTCACCGGTTGCTGCTGTAGCAATATGGCCACCAACGTCTAATGACGTGTCACTCACTGATCGTTTCGGGGGAGAATGTTTAACTGCGGGTTGCACAGGTAGATGTCTAGCTTGCGCCGTGATAGCACTTACGACACTAACGCAATCTTCGCCATCCGTACCAATGTTATCAGTACAGCCCTCATCAAACTTCTTATTAGCCAACACCAGGAGACTAATTGCTTCCTGGATAAGCAATGTTTTGCTCGAGCAACAAAAACTACAAAGCCAATGAGAGTTGGGCTTTGAGCACCTTTTATATGCAGTGGGGCTTAATCGGGTGCACATCTTATGGAACCACTTATTACACTCATCACATTGCATCCCTTCATCCACGGGAAATAAGCAGTATGGTTGTCCACATTTATGAGTAGACCTAGCCATCTTGAAAATCAACTAGAACGGTGACAAAAACAGGATATGTAAAAGGATTTTCAAACCTTAACTAAATAAACCAAGTAAAAGTCGACCAAGTATGCTTCGATGCAATAAATACACAGAAGCAAAATCGAAAAACTCAATAAAATATCACTTTAACTGGGGTAGATGCAATTAAAGTGTAAACAGTAGTTTTGATGCGTAATTTACGATCAAAACAGTTAATTAATTCAACGAGAAAGAATACCACTGTCCTTTTAAATAGAGCGCGCGATTATGAATAGACTATGAATAGACTTCATCTGAATTAACCATTTCAGACGATAGACGTTGTTTCTTAAAATGAATTCTCCTTACTTGTTACTTTATAGACTGACCCTTGGAGGATCGGTATCCCTTGCTTGAAAATTCAACTAGTTAGTTAGAAAGGAAATGTTAAGAAAAGGTTGTACAAATGGCTTGCGGGCCCTTAAATTTGGAAAAGTTTGCTATATTCATCATTCGAAGTTTACTTGTGCACCTTGTATCGCTTACTTTGGAGGACAGCGCAGTCAGTTTTTGGACGCGTCAATGTTGAAATTACCATCGTCTCAGGTATGACTCTGATGTATTTCGTATTTCTAGATATCTTCGTTTACTTCTAAATCAGTCGAATTATTTAGTTGTTTCTCAAGAGTATGGTTTCCTTACCTTTGCTCATATTTGGTGTGATCATTAGAAATCTTTAATATCCTTCAGATTTCAACATCAAAGTTTCCTCAACTAAACCTGTAAATAGTAGTTACCTGTGTAACTTCGAAATTAATACTATAGCCTTTGGTCTGTGCTTTAGGACAATATCTGTTTCCAATATTTAGATTGGAAACATCACACACAAATTTATGCTTTGTAATAATACTTTATTCGTATTATCAAGAAAATGTAGTTTTAATAATCTAATGACGATTTTTATAATCCAGCTGTGATCGTTTGCCGTATCACTGTTGTACAGCATTTAAATCCTCTGTTTTGTTATAGACTTACCCGTTAATAAGAATATCCGGAGAGTAATGATCACAACCCAAAGTAGGAAGAGTTGTATAATAGTCACTTTACTTACGTTCACATTTTACCATCTCATAATACACATAGGTGCATCAGTGTACAGATCATTAGGACTTACATTATTGGATTATCTTCTCGTTAACTCATGGTAAATTAAACTTGAGGACAACTTACAATTGTTTACTGTTGTGGTGTACGCTACTTATGCTGACAGATTTAAGTAGTATCTAGCAGCAGTCGGCTAGCATAAGAATAAATTAAAAAGAAGAGGATGAGAGACGGAGAGCAATCTAGATAACAACAGAATTCAAGGAATCATGAAGTACGTAATGGATAACTGAAGGAAGGTGTACAAATAATGTATGTAATGTATGGTTTACATGTTTTACGAAGGCACCGTATAGTTTTCCTTCAAACAATAACTTGGTTTTCCCCACTAAGTCTTCGTTCACTACAGTACTACATAAAATGTTCTTCGTTATCATGTAGTCATCTCACTTCTATTTTGATTTAAATATATAATAGAGCACTTCTAATTTACATAAATTGTGGAGGTTTATTTCACTCTTCTAAACTTCTTATGCTTTATTCAATGTCTAAAATTAAGCTTAAGGATAATCACAATTAGCAAGTACTTAATTTCAGTTATTAATCTTTTTATGCTTAGTTTATTGTTGAGACACTACCCTGGGCATCAGCTGGATAATCTGTTAACCTATAACTTCCTCGCATACGTAGCTGAACCACCTTTTGTGGTCTAATCCAAGCGCACTGCAGTGACAAAATGGGGTCTAACGAGGTCTGATAGACTATATCCTGATGACTGATTATGTATATTAAGAGATCACGAAGTTAGAAAAATTACTTTCGAGGATGCTAAGTCCGGTAAATGACCCTGCTTAATTTCGCTTGTGTCTGTAATCGATTTCATAGTCATGATACATACATTTTGAGAACAACAAATAGTGACAAAAGCCAACAAAATTATCTGAACACTACTTAACACATCTGTACATATTAAATTTGATTTCTTCCTCGAAAAGTTATCCATTCCAGACAATTATTGCAGTTTGTCCTATGTCCATTGTTATGAGGTAGTAATTCAGCTGTCTAAGCACTAGACTTTAATGGGCCCCTATGTTTAAATCTAATCTTATCTACGTTGGTCCGGATAACTGGATAGTATGTTTCAAAGCCGAGTACATAAGTTCCTATTAGATAAATGAGTTTCACATATCCATTATAATAGTGCGGTTATACTTTTACAGTTGTAGCTGTTGTTTTTATTAAGTTTCAGTGATTATGAAATTTACGATTTGTAAATTTGCGTTTATTGTTTAGTAATGAAACTATCTATCCCTCGTCGTATTTTTTCAAATATTTTGTTCATTACTTTAAAAAAACAATCTATAGATCCAATTCATACCAAAAAATGCATTTTCAACTTCATCGGGAAAAGGTTCGTCAGACGATGATAGTGGTATTGATCCAGATGGCTTACCTACTTCAAATGCACATGAATCTGATCCATCATCTACGCCACTTCCTCCTGCAGTTCCACCATTAGCATTGTCTCCACAAAATATCCCAGAGAATTTCCCTATTGTACCGGTGATCGCAATATCTGGTTCACCGTTATTCCCAAAATTTGTTAAAATGATTGAGGTATGTATGTATGTACGTATGTATGGTATACGCATAAAGTCATCAATAGGTACCATTTCAAATGAACATTACGTGTTTATCTATTGAGATACATGCGTTGAAAGATTAGACCTTGAGAATGTGGTTTGAGTGGACAACGTTAAAAGGTATGTGTGAAAAGACTGGGATTTAAAATTCAGAGGAAGAGTAAATGACTCCTCATCATTGTGAACAGTTCTGAACTACTTCATTTAAAATTTCTAGACAGTGATGGTGGTTATCTCAGACCCTAACCAGGTAGTTTGCACCTACTAACATGGCTCAATGACTCCTGCACTAGCAAGCGTCGCTGTTTGTGCTAGGCAGTGGTTAGGCATACATAAAACATGTCCTGACCAACACAGTTGATGAGGATTAACTACCTCATCAACTGATTCGCCACTTTGCCAAGTACTCTATGTGTGACCTCAACATGGTTCACCCACTCGTTTCAAGGAAAGTGCGCAATCCTTCAAAGACATGTGTGATCAAAAGCCCTCACCTCACACATGTCTTCTACTTTAATAGACTGTTTCACAACTATATAATAGGACAGACCTCTGCACAATATACACACTTTGGTTAATAAACAGACACCTTGTCTAGACCATAATTGACAAAAGTTGGCAAATATCAACCGGGCTTTCTTTATCCGTACCTAGATTCCCTCAGATACTAATCCACTAGGTCTGATGAGATTAATCTAAATGGTTCTTAGGCATATCTCGACAGAATAAGCTATCGTTTCACCTGTTGAAGAAATACCAATGATTTTGTCTAAAACGATGGCTCATTAGTTAACTCGTTTAGGCATTGGCAACTACGTCCCGCGCCCTAGCACCGCTTCACCTACTTTGACTTGAGCATCCGGATAGTGTCATTAGTCTTCACACTTCGAGTATGGCTCATACCCGACCACCTGGTGGATGGTTACATTTAATATTATGACTATTATCTAGAAAAACAAAAAATCCTCAATAAATTGTCACCTAGCTCAAAGAATTCAGCCTTACTGAATCATATTTCTACTATGTAGGATATATATTAAGCAAATGGTTCTATAAAAGATAGTGGGAGAGCGATGTATATTCAAACAAAAAGTTCTCCATTTAACGTATTGTCTTTGGTGATTGGATCATGTGTTGTTACTCGTAACAAGTCATAACGCTATCGCGATGTGTTATAGTGGTCAACACATAAATAAGTTAAAAAAGACTAAATGTGACTAGACCAGCACATGGGATCAATTATTAAAGGAACATATACTAAGTCGTATAAAAAAATATATGATTCACGATCCTGGTCCATAAAATAACTATAGTGTACAGACGGTAGTAACGATTGACATGACACAAGATTGACTGTATTGACACAGGTAAAATTTTTATCCGTAATCTTTCTTCGTAATTTACATTTGTGATCCTGAAATTCCTTCTTCTCAAGCCTCATTCTTAAAATTCATTCTTTCTTACTATCACCGTTCCTGCTGTTCAAGATTTTGCTATTCATTTTATTAATTCGCCATCCCAAGTAGGGGAAATAAACGGTTGTGTCATACCCTACGTTCCTTTTCTTCTGTTGACTGTCTACATGTGCCTATCCCTACGTGACACTTAGTTTGTTAGTATTTGGTAATAAATGTCTTCGAAACATCGTTTGGGTTTATCGAGACGCCTAAGTGAGCAGTGTCGAGATTAGGTACGAGACAATAAGTAAATCAGTTGGATAAGATTATGAAACTTCATTGACTTGTATTTCATATATTCAGCTACCACATACCTCGAAGTCTAATGAGATATCTGACGTAAGAGTTTGGCGAAAGCTAAGATAGCCATACCAAGCCACACTATCAGACCATGAAACTGTTGACTGCTGAATAACCGTGTTGATAGATCTCAACTATCTAGTCGGGGTATATGAAATTATTATGACGAATAGCTGGAGACATTGTGGGACGTGGTTCTCACATGTATAGATTCATTGTGTTCTCCTGGATTTTGAGTTTCAAAATTATGTTATGCTTTCTACTTGTTTCTCTCGAATTTTATTCTCAGTTGTAGACGTTTGTTTTTTTAGATCACTTCGAGGCAGCTTCAATCAATCGAAATATTTACCATGTTATCTATAACTGACACCGACACAATACGTAAGAAAATAGCTACAAAATTTGCTCCGACCACATTTCTTTGTACGAAAGGTTGAGGAAAACATGAATATCTGTACCACCCCAAATAGTTATCTCGGTGTTACTGATCAAAATTAACTGATAGGACTCAACTACTATTGAGTCTTAATGCATTAATAAGTATTAAATTTATATCCAGATCTTGATAGATTACTTGATCTGTCTATTCCACACGGATATTTTATTCCAACGGCCAATCTGTCTCTTGACATCTCATAACTACACATTTTAGGAATTATTTCATCACAAAGACAGGTTGTTTTTTTATTGTTGTTATGAGTAGTATTACATAATATCTGATGCACAACTTATCCAACAGGTTTATACACATTTAAGTTAATATGAACTTAATAGATAATTTGGGAAAGGCTTTACTTACGCCTGTTACTCCTAATGGAGCATAGGCCGCTGACCAGCATTCTCCAACCCACTCTGTCCTCGGCCTTCTTTTCTAGTTCCATCCAATTCTTGTTCATTTTTCTCATGTCTATCTCCATTTCCCAACGTAATGTGTTCTTTGGTCTTCCTCTTTTCCTTTAGTCTTGAGGATTCCAAATGAGGGCTTGTCTTGTGACACAGTTGGGTGCTTTCCTCAATGTGTGTCCTATCCACTTCCAGTGCTTCTCACTGATTTCTTCCTCCGCTGGGATCTGTTTTGTTCTCTGCCATAGTAGGTTACAGTTACCGCTACATCTACTTTCAATGCCTCTGCTGGAATGTTGTCTGGTCCTGCTGCTTTGCCACTCTTGATTTGTCTGATGGCTATGCTGATTTCTTCAACTGTTGATGGGCCAACATTGATTAGGAGGTCCATGAGTGCTGCTTCGATATTGGGTTGCTTCAGTGGGATTGTTCGATTCAAGAGTTCTTGGAAAAGGCTTTACTTGACATATATTCACATCATCTCTATCTAAGTAAAAATAACTTCTTTGGTGAGACTGTAATTTATGGACCATCTTTAAGCGACATTAAAGTGACTTTGAGAATGTTCACCTTATTTCCTAAGGCTAAATGAAAGTTATAAACCAGTGTGAAGAATAAAAATTATGATTCACAGTTAATGATTAGGTTTAGGAATTAGATTTATCGTTCTCAACACAAACTGACATCAGCTAAAATACCAAAACGCTATTTAATCAAACGGAAATATGAATTTGGCGCCAAAATCCTAAATCTGATTGATTCGTCCATAAATTATAATCCTACCACTTTTGTGATCATGATCATTTCATTGTGATTTTTTCGTTTCTTTTCCAACGAAAAAATTTATAAGATCACTGATTCACGTCTGATAAGTCTTATTCGTCGAAAAATCAAATTGAATGCTCCATATGCGGGAATATTTTTAAAGAAACCAAATACAGAGTAAGTCATAGTTTCTATCACCTTTTTTTAAAAAAAAACTAGGGATCATTAACTGTATACACCTGCGCTTCACTCCGCTACTGGGTTCGAGTCCCAAAGTGAACATGAAACACTGGAATGAAGGTGGATTCAACAAACAAGTCCTAAATAGAAAATAAAAATTTAGGTTTTGGATTCCGATACTAGTCATTATCTCTGCTTTAACACAATAAATTGTTGACTCCTGCAAAAACCGGTTAGTAACTTGCATTCATACAAAGCTAAGAAGTTTAGAGATACTTAAACAAAAATCTCTAAACATCAACTAGATGATAATTGACTAAGCAGTTTGTTTATTTATTTATTTATTTGAACACGTATATACTGGTACAAGAGGACAACAGATACATATGCGACACATAAATCTCATTTGATTTGTGTGAGGGCTGTGGCACTGCCTAGGTGCCCAAACCGAAGCAGGTATTTTTCTTAGGGGGCCACACCCGGAGCCTTCGACCTAAAGGTCTGATCCAAAAGGCAGTGGAACAACGTAAGATGTAGTCCAATGGTACACGGTGACCAACGATTGGTTCATACGCCATTTGTTCCTTCAGGGTACTAGGGCCGATGTGCCCCATTGGTTTGGAATGAGGGTTTCCCGACCCCCTTAGTTGGACTCTCCGTGTCCACCAACCCAGTTAAAACGCCAGACATTCGCTTTCCGTCCTCTCAATTTTGTAAACAACACCCGTGGTGCTAAAAGGCATTGATTAGGACTTTTTTGGCAGAGGCTATATACGCGCGGTCATGTGAGAGCATTTGGAGAGGGAGAGCTAACTCTTCCCACTCTCGGCCGTACCAGGTCATACAAAATAAATAATTTCTTAATATATGAAAGCATTTATTTGCATACATAATTAGTTGGGATGTTTACACGATTCATTTCAACTCAAAACCGATGTAGCTCACTCCATAAATGCATACAAACAAATTACATATGTATGAATAAATTCCCCTCTTGTAATTTGTTTTTGCTGTTCCTAATTACATTTAGATATATCTGTAAATGATCAAGTAGTCTATGCACTATTCCTGTTTCATAGTACTTCAAAAGATAAGATTCATTATCATCACAGCTGGAGATTTATGTCTTAAATTTTTATATAAAGATATTTGTATGGTAAATTACTACCTGTTTCCCTAATTTCATCTTCAAATTCTGAATTACTAAAGTGTATTTCCATTTTCTAGTGATTTGATTTTTAGACACCATGTTACAGATCGAAACCTTGCTCTCCATCTAATTCTGAGATGATCCATCGGGTAGTAGTATCACTTACTTAGAATGTAACTCAAAGCCAAGTATACAATTTCTTGTCCTATGGCTCGTTAAATATCACGTGACAAAAATCGGCAATCAGAATACCGATTTTTATGACCTTGTCCTTGTACTAAACTAATGGTGTGTTAACCAGAACGGGAAGCTTTGAGTCAACCCTGAGTCCTTATTGGTCCTCCGTATAGTAACTTTTCGCCTGGCTCGGCCCGTTCAGTTCAGAGCGCAAACATCAGCCTCCACCATATGAATCGTATGGTTCAGATATACGTAGTTTCCATACAGACAGACCAGATCACATCATATCATAAAATAAAAACCAATGATTATACAAGATTAAGCTAAAAGTAGCTGTGAGTGTGAGAGATTATAACTAATAAATTGGGAATAACTTAAGAATAGTAAGTCGTATGAAAGTCGTCAATAGGTCAAACTGAGGCTTATAACAAGAGGAATATGAATATATATATATATAATAAAGTTACTAAATAGTTATACAATAAGAATATTCGTATAATATTAGTTCATAAGTAGATCCTAGCGGTTACTACTCATTTATTATTCGTTCGGATATAACACATAGACATTCTGTTTTTAAATGACCATTTATCTTAGCATCATCCATTTCTTGTTTATAATTCACCCGTTTGATTCTGATACTTCTTGTAGACAGTCAGATGTCGCAAATAGTATGGATGAATTGCATCGAGTTGGCACATTTGTACACATTCCTGAATGGGATGATTTAGGCTCGAAAATTCGACTACTAGTTATTGGACATCGTCGGTGAGTCTTTTGTTTATCAAATGTGTTTCCCTTGTCGTCCTTGTCTTTTCTCGATGTTTACACTGTTAGAACTTTTATTTTATGATGATTAGTCATTTGAGGGGGGCGTGGTTTGGCATGCTTTTAGCGATAACACTTTTATTGTCTGACTTTTCAGGGGTTGATCTTCCACCAGGAGATTCACTTGTTGATTTAAAATACACAGACGGTGTATTTCTGTTTGGTGAAGGCACTGACAATGCAGTTTTCTGACCACCTTAAGCAAAAATGTTCGGGATGCGGTTCTTTCCTTCCAAATCCAAAATGTTACTTCAGGATTGACTTGCGTCGTTGCCTAATTTGTCGATAGGAAGTGAAGTAGTCGAACTCATCGACCTCTTCATTTATCTTAGGAGTCTCATCAGTACTGATGGTCTGGCATCTGACGATTTTTTGACGCGAGTTCAGAAGGTTCGATTGGTTTTTGTACATTTATGTCAGTTGTGGCGTAGGTGAGATACCCGTCTGTCAACCAAAGAACGAGTTTACTGCGCAGCGATTCTGTCCGTTCTACTTTTTGGGTATGAAATATGGCCATTAAGAACAGAATATTCGTATGCTGCTAGTATTTAATCATAGGTGTCTTCAAAGCATTGCTCGTGTACTTTGGGACCACTGATTAAGAAATCTCCGGATTAGGAATAGAATACTGTGTAAGGATGGCAAATCGATTGAAGTGGTAGTAAATCTTCATCAACCGAGATGGGTTGGCACATATTATTATTATCATTATTATTATTATTAGCTTTATTCAATATCATGTATTTTTGGTACAATATAGAATTCTCAGCACAAATTACTTTAACAAGTTTCCATCTGTTACTTCTTGATCGATGCTGACGATAAATATTGAGTGGTCATCAGGTAGATGTTAGCAGTTCAACAATCAACATCTGAATAGTGGTCATTCTTTTTCAATGCATATTGCCAGCCACCAGGATGCCTCTGATGGTTTTACTTTTTCGGAACTTCTGCACCGAAATGTCATGAGTTTTTTTCTTCATAAACGTACTTGAATAGGTTATGTGTTTAATTTGAAATGATGATGTGTTAAAACAAACAAAACAAACAGATAACTTTTTAAAATATTTAAATGACAGGAACAGGTAGCCCAGATACTCAGGCAGGCTGCCAGTACGTGTCCCCAGCTACCCCCTACCTTGACGGGCGACGTTTTCTGGCGTAGGAGTTGGTTCGGAGAAAGCAAAGGGAGGGTAAATCGAATATGGCATCAGTCATTGACAATTGAACTAAGGCATGTTAATAAGTGTTTGTTACTTGGTTGGGGTCTGCATTGATTATGGTAACCAGTGGTTTGAGAGTTTGAATTACACAGCTCAAAACCATTTTCAATGGCATAGGTGCATCCATTCTTGTCTCCCCTCAAATTCTGAACTTCTAAATACCTCATAATCTTTTTGTATTCTCATTTCACCAATTTGTATTGCCTTGAAGCATATCTTTTACGTCTGATCTTTTATAATACCCCTGACACTGTATGTTTGTTATTCACTACATCTGTGTACACTTAACATATATTTGAAGTCTTCTATCACCTATCATTTGTACTAGTATTATATTTCAAGTGTCATATCTACAATACCATGCTCCTATGTACAGTGTCGTTAGTTGTCGGTAGCTAGGTACCCTGATGTAGATGTCGATTTTGCATATCATGATGACCAAGTTGATTTATATTAACTGAAACGGCTGTTCCTTAAAGTTCCACCGTTTCTGACAGGTGATCTGTAAAACGGTGAAATTAGAAGTAACAAATCTAAGATCCAAGGGTAGTCATACTACCGAATGTACATGTACGGGGATAGTAAAGTGTTTTTCTTAAACAACTAGCATTTCTAGCGGTACTGGTGTTTCCAAAACAAAAGAAGGCGATTAAAAAGACTATGGACCAAAAATAAATCATACAGTATTTCATAGATTTTTGTCTCTAAAAGTAAGGTCCATCAAGTGCAAAGCTACTACTACTATTCACAAAACTGTTGTGTGTATAACTAGCCTCAACACTAATATAATGGATGAATAAATAAAGTCCATAACTATTGATGTAGTTTGCAGCGATGCTGCCTTCTGACAAGGACGGAAGAGGTTAGAAAAGGTCGACCTTAAAAATGTCACACCTCACCTTACCTCACGGACTTCCGTCTCCGGCGGTAAGACCCTTTAAAGAACGGAGCTAACACATTAAAAACCTCCCACAAAGAAGCCGTGTGCGACCGGCCTCAAGAAGTTGTCCCTTGGGCTCTGCGGTCACGCTCCCAGGTCGTTAAGGCCAACACTAATCCAACTTCATTTTCAGGTTCCTCAAGAAATACCTTTCCACGGTGTGGGCAGCTGAGAAGTGACATCAGCCCTCGTACCCGTAACAGCACACTGACTTTCTTCCTTTAGAATCTAAGTCCCAAAACCTTGTACCTTTTCTTTACTATACCTAATCTTTTCTACTACTTCTGATATTGTTATTACTTCTAAAACTCTGGTATTTGTCTCGTAATAATTTTGTTTCGTTGTGTTAATGTTGTATAACAATTTGAATCGACGCACATATGTATCAGTTTCTATGTCGCATATAACTGACTAAATGTAATTGTTAAGTTTTCTCGTTATAATTTTTTCTTCATTTTTTACTTTCCTTTATTGTAAACTAATCCTAATTACCTTTCTTATATATGATGTATATTGTGTTTAGCATTGAACTGATTCGTCCAGTTGTAGAGGATAATGTAGAAGAAGAGATCAGCTTGCCAGGTTAGTATACAGTAATAATCTTTATGACTGAGAATCATTCACAATGATGTTAATACATTCACTCCTTATCTTGTCTTGAATCTTGATTTTCAAAATCCCCTTCATACAAACTTTTCCACTCTGTCCGCTCAAACTATATTCACAATGTTTAGTCTTTCGTTTTATTATTGCCACTACATTATTTCGATCTATTTTGTCATTATCATCTCATCGTGTTAATCAAATATGAGAACTTGGGCTAACGTACATCTATGTCATATTCTACGTTGAAGTTGACTGTCTGATATAATTTAAAATTACTCAATAACCAAATACATGTTGGAGTATATGATTCTCAAACCCTACTATCTTTTCGTTAGCATTAATATAAAACGAAATGATTATGTAAACTCACGTAGCGTTGTTAAATCCATTTGGATATTCAAACTGAATGACGGAGTAACCCATAAAATCTCAAATAAAACCAATGTATTTGTATACATCGGTTAGCGGCCCATCCTCCACTGGAAGTAACAGTAATTTGTATCCAAGACTCGATATTTTTTTTACTAAAATGATTGTATTAATGATAAATTCTACAGAACTCAATTCTTGAGTTGTCGTAAGCATTTATATGCGTCAAGGTATGATCGAAGAAGTAACACCTAGTAGTAGTTGTGTTCATTCAACAATTCCAAATTATTCACGCAAAGTATCTTTATTGTCACAAACAAATAAATTTTCAGTGAAAGGAATTGTTGAGAATGTCAAGAGAATATGGTTACAATAATTGATGAATTAAATGTCACAGCAATTACAGGACATTAAGCGCTACATGCTCAAAAATAATGGATAATTGTGTATAAGCTACTTAATATTAATAAGTAGCATAATATAATTAAAAAAACTGAATAGGAAATATATGGTACATACATTAAACCGAATTAACAAAGCTGAACTTAAGCTCAAATTCATTGTTTAATGTTAGAAGAATGAATTCGATGTTTAACCACTAGATTGTTTGTCCTGCTTCGAATCATCTACTTCTGTTTAAATAGCCAAATAACAATGATAATACTCTTCAAAATGGTGTGATAGCAAAAAATGATTAATGAGAAATCGGTCAGATTACGGTTCAATCAGCATGATTTAGTTATTATCGATTGTATCACTGTATAAGACATTTATACTGCATGGATATTGTCATAGGAACACGTGATATATCCGAATAATCGATATATCCATGGATATTGACAACTATTTTCAGCATTGAACCAGATATGTTAATACACTTTGTTTTATACTGTCCTTTGATTAGAGGCCACATTACCCATTTGGTCGATAGAATTGTGTTAGCACTAGTAATTCGAGAAATACGCAATTACTACTGATGATGTTAATCTAACGTCTAACATGGCCAAACTCTATTGGTTACGACTGCTCAACCATGTCAGGGATGGGAAAAGCATCACCTATAAGAGCGGACAATGGTAACTCACTATCGCATATTGACTGAAGTTAGAAATGTAAACCATTGAAATAGAACTCAGCGGTATAAAGGTTAAGCACTTGCCTCAAGATCTTAAATCCCTGGGTTCGACCCTTGAGGCGGTTGTGGATGCTCACCTTTGTGGATAGTTTCATATTGAAATAAAATGATTACCCATTTTTACCGGGTTCCTGATGATTTTCTAATTGGGGTTAACCCACGATGTAAAACTATAAAATGCAACCATTTCCATAACTCTCTATACTTAAAATCTATTTTATACTTTCTAGTGACTAATTTAAAGTGATAATTGCTAGAGCTCTAAGGAGCTGTTTTCAGTACATTTTAAACATGAAATTATTTTTCACCCGGTGACCAATTGGTGTGAATTTTTGTATTCATTCTTCTCTATGTTTTATTTTAATCTGTAATTATTCTACTTTATATGCATTTTATGAAGCAGTCGGAAAACGTAACAGTTTAGTTCGACGCGCTAAACGCGCAGCGGTCAAAATCACAGAATCTTTAAGTTCTAAACCATCAAATAATCAAACATCATCACCATCTTCGGAAGATACAACATCTATAAAAGGTGAAAATCAGTCAGATAGCAACACTAGTGATGGGAGTAGTAGTAGTGGTAGTTCCAGTGCTTCCACAATATTGGATAACCTTGAACTTGGTGCTTCTTCACCAGTTTTAATTGGTGAAACAATTAATCTCTATCATGATCTGTATGAAAATACACAAGAAATTAAGGTAATGTCAATGATAGGATTAACATTATGTTGTTCTTTTTTCCTCATTTTTCCATGTTGTTGTCGTTGTGATTTGTGATATATACGCCTAGCGTTTGATTTAATGAATCGAGATGTGAAATTTCAACTTAAAACACTCCATCTAGGGTAATATTTAATCAGTAATATAGTCAACCGCCAAATACCGTGGTACAACCAAAGGTCGATTTTTGGTTGCTTGTAAGCACGATGAACAATTGTGGCATCTAGTTTCGGTATCGTGACCCATTGTAAGTCAGTAAGCGTAGTTTTGAGCCAATGATTTTATCCAGTTGATGCCGGGATGGCTGCTGTGTAATTGTTCCAGAACCTTTTGGCGCAATGTTTTTGGAACGGTTCTATCACCGAAAGTAACACATGAGTCGACAATCATAAGTCCAGCCGGCGAAAATGTTGTGGCAGTTCTCCTTGAAAATGACGGTTTGGTCATGTGGTGAGAAGATAACCCCTAACTTCTCTTAACATCTTATCATGTGTTGTATCGGGAGCCATGTCCAGCTGTAAGCACATTTTCTTCGGTTATGTGAGCCGGCCGTGTTAAGAGCTATTGTTACTTTGGCTGTTCGCAGAATAAATCCTTTAGAATATTCTTTCGGTTGTTGAAGGCATTTTCGGATTTTACGATGACTTTCTTTATGCCCTTTTCTAGAACATGTACTACAACGATGATTTTTAAACGTACAAAACCCTTTGAAATGCCAACCTCCACGGAGCCAGCATGGGGATGATGGCTTGTAACTGTCATTGCGATAATTCTGCTCGCTAAAACCTTGTAAGACTTTTCTGTCGATTACGTTGACCTGAAGAAACCCGTTATCGTTCTCTACCATAGAGATATCATGCTTCAAATTCAGTATTTAATTTCTGTAGAGTCATGCTGGGACAATGTTCAAGTTTGCTTATGGTACTTGTTCGGATATCCGCATTCTCGGATCAATACAGGCTATAGAAAAATACAAGACACTCAATCTCGTCTTGTCATGGAAGACAACTCGAACCTCTCACATTCTCGGTTCACCCAGCCATCTGCTGGTTATCTCCTCGTTATCTCCAAGCCTTGGTAACGGATATTAAAAAGAGATGACTGTTCTCTAAAGATTTGAGACATGGTTTTAATTGTTTCATCAAAACTAAAGTCCAGTAGGTTCTTTAGAAGAATGAAGTTACTATAGTGTTCATGTTCTGTAGTTCCAAGTTTCTTAAAATTATTCTGACTTTTGAAGCGTCACCCAGTCTCCAGAGATCAATATGGAACAGATCTTCATATTTCTTGAACCATGACTCAAAACTAAAACCTGCTAGGTCATCAAAGTTAAATTCATGGTTGACATTCATGACTGAATCAGTATGTGTTACTAGAAGCGAGGAACCTATACATTTTATGCATAAGAGCTTCCATGAATCTTATTTGAGACTGTTCAAACCTTTTCTCCTGACGCTCTATATAGGCTTCTAGTTTTTCAAAAGAAATGTTCATTGTAGATTTTTCCGTCCCTACTGACAAATCGTCTGATGGAATTCTCGAATCGGTTTCCTATGTTCTTCTAGTAACCCTAGACTAAATCTACACGACAAGTTGAACACAAGAGTAAAAGTACAAAGTGTGAAACGAACGCTTTACTTCAAGGCTGGTCTATGTACACTTTATGAATTAATTAATATATTCATTTGTGTTTTGTACATTTGTGAAAGTCATCAAACTTCAGTCACATTTTAAATTCCATCTTTTCTTTATTTGTTCATTTATTTATTTAGGCTTTAAGCGCTGAAATTGTAAAGACAATCCGAGATATAATTAGTCTTAACCCTGTGTATCGGTAAGTTCTAATATAATTGATATTTCATCTTTAAAGTTTTTGGTTGAACCACGTGTTGCGTATACCGATTACCACAACGCATAATGCTGACTAGTGTAGGGGATGGTTGGAAGAAAGTTAGGGGCGGCCAAACCAAAACGTGGCATCAGTCATTGAAGTCACTAACTTCTAGTGTGAGCCATGTTCGTGGTAGATGCAGATTGCTTGGTTGAGGTCCGCGTGACTATCGTAGTCAATGGTTGGAGACTTTGTAATATGGCTCAGAATCGATCACAGTGGTTTCGGTGCATACACTCTCTGTCTTCCCTTAAACTATAAGATTAAAATCATTTCATATTTTTCTTTCTACCAACTAATTTTTCTTCCTGTACTATATATATCCTTTTGTGCAATCTCTCATTTATATATTACCACCTCTGAACTAACTACTTTTATGAATCCGGTGTTCATCTTGTTGTGCTAATGAGGTGTGAGAACTTGGACCGATATACATATGTGCCTAATCCTACGTTGTAGCTGACTGACTGTCAGCGACTTATTTACATGTAGAAACAAATGAATAATAGATGGTTCTACAATTGCTCATAATTAGTTTAAGTTAAGCTCACAATAATAAGAGACCAGAAACCCCCGTCCGGTTCACAGAACAAATATCAAAATAAGCTTAGGAATCCGTCTTAGCAATAAAGATTTGAGTTTGCATCACGAACTGACGTCGGCTGTAATTCAGGGATCCTAAAATACATATCCTAGATTCTATTTTTTAACGTGACAAGTAAGCCATCATATATTTCTGTTTCCTGATTGACTAAACAAAGTATGGTCTCAGTTTTATACTTGACGTTTGCTGAGTAAAAAATAAACACTAATTATTGAGATGACGAACTGACTAATGTTGGATCACCATTACAAACCTGATGAAACTGGACGACCGTTTCGTCCTTGCATAGGACCTCTCAGCAGTACTAATTATTTGTAAATAGTATAGTCGTAATACAGGAAGTTTACACCTTGCTTAGCCGGTTTCGATTTGGTCAGCCCTTACATTAAAAATCATACTTCAAGTTCGAATATATAAACTACATAGATTTTGTATCATTTTGCTCATTGTTATTTTGTTCTAACAAATTCTTTTCATTTTTCCAATTAAACAGAGAAAATGTTCTTGCGATGCTCCAAGCTGGACAACGTGTTGCTGATAATCCTGTATACCTCAGCGATTTAGGTAAGTGTATATATATGTATTATCTAGCAGTATTCATTGATTTATTCCTTGATATATGGCGCATTGATTCAACAATTACCTGTTTACAATCAATTTAAGCATAATTTTAATTATAAAAATGCTCACTCTGAAGATGTATCGGTAATGATCTAGGAAGATTGATTCAAACAAAGACAATATTGCATGACTGAAATATGGCTGGACATTGAACAGTGACTGTTTTCTAGTTTTTCTACTTCTCGATTCGAACACGACTCTAATTTATCCTGTTTTGCTCACTTTTTGTTTATTTATTTATTTAAATACATAAACATAGGTACAAGAAGGCACCAAATAGGTATGCGCCACATAAATCATTCGATTTGTTTGAGTGGTGGAATACTGCCAGAGTGCCCAAACAGAAGCAGGTGGTTTTCTTATGGGGCCACACCCAGAGCCTTCGACCTGAAGGTCTGATCCACAAGGCAGTGGAGCATCGTAAGGAGATGCAGTCCCATGGTAGCAGGTGACCAACGATTGGTTCATATCCCATTTGTTCCATCAGGGTACTGGAACCCATGTGCACCATTGGTTTGGAATCAGGGTTTTACAACTCCCCTAGGTGGAGTCTACATGTCCACCAACCCGGTTAAAGCTCTGGACATTCGCTTTTCGCCCTCTCGATTTTGTAAACAACACTCGTGGTGCGAGAAGGCATTGAATAGGACTTCCCTGGTAGAGGCTATATATGTGTGGTCATTTGAGAGCATTTGGGGGCGCTCACTAGATTTAGTCGATTGTAGTAGCCTATTTTTATTCGTGAAATGCAAATTTATCTTCTGGGAGGACCAGGTGAAACTTGTGCGAATTGGAAACGAGAGCAGCTTTAAATCCTGACTACTGAGGACACCTTCAGAGATCATTTTTAACAAAGGAGGCGGACACGAGACAAGTGTATAAGCACAAATTGAGAAGAATTTGAAGCAGGCATACACGCTCTTAGTTCCGTAAAATAAATTTTTGTAACCTTCATTTGTCGTGCTTTTAAGTGCTATGGTAGGCTACGTATCTAGCAACCTTGATACATCCTAGAGGCAATATATTTCCTTTTTTAATCCGTAAGTAAAAACTGATTTCACAACACGAACTGACTTTGCTTAAAATATCGCTAATTGACTGCATTTATAAATGTAAAACACCGCACGTCAACTGATTGGTCTGGAGTTAATCTTATGGTAAAGCTTAAAGGTCCTGGGTTCGATCCCCGATTGGGTTGTGATCGTGAATTCCTGAGGATTCCCATGCATAAACAAAATAACTGCCCAGTGCCTTTTAGGTTTGAATAATTGTTTAACCAATTCAGATCTAACCATCTCTACAATACCTTACAATAATTCACCCGTGTACCTTTTACTTGTCGATTGTTTTTTTTTAATTGAATAGGAGCCGCAATGTGTAGTGCCGGTGATACAGAAGAATTACAAGCAGTTTTAGAAGAAATGAATATTCATAAACGTCTTCGATTATCATTAAATTTAGTTAAAAAAGAATATGAATTAGGTCGACTTCAACAACAAATAGGTCGTGAAGTTGAAGAGAAAGTTAAACAACAACACAGACGTTATATGCTTTCAGAACAATTGAAAGTAATTAAAAAAGAACTAGGTTTAGAGAAAGATGATAAAGATACAATTGTTGAAAAGTTTCGTATGCGTTTAAAGGTGAGTGAGTGAGTGAGTGAGTAAGCAGAACATTCTTCTCTATTTTATATCATTAGTATTGATATTCAAGACTGAATTCCAGTCGGTGTTTGCTGGCATCCTGTGTGAATTGCCTCAATAATATGATCATTAGTTTACAATAAATGAACTTTAGCTGCATGTAGAGTCTAGAATGCGCGTTTCATCCTCTTTGGGATTCAACAGGCTAATTCAAAATCTTACTAATAATCATTTAGATGTCATACATTTTAGACAATTTAGTGTTTATCTGGACTCAGTAGTTCAATGAATAACATGTTGCATATTTAAAGCTAAAGGTATTGGATTTCAATCTCAATCTGAAAAACAACACTAAGATTCAAGGAAATACAGCTGACGAGTCGTTGATGAAGTGAGAAATATTTCTTGAATTCCATTACCCGCCAAAATTCATCTCTTTGAGAGTGAGACTGAAGTTTATCGGTTGAATTTGCAGTTTTGGGGATCGTCGATGCTCACTGCTGTGGAATATCATGCTAGGCTGAAATGGTTATCTAGTACTTCCAGGTTTTCAATAGTTGTCTAACCTAGATCAGTCTGCTATTCCAATGATGCTTAAATGAACTTTATTTAAGGCCATTCTGTAAAATCGATATACAATTTACTGACTAACTATTCATAACGTTTACAATGTTTATTACATATATTGTATTCAGCACTTTTGATCATTCAGTAGATGAATGCTTTATATTAGAATGTAGCTTTTATTAGAGATTACATTTTAAGCCTTAATTTATGTTTTTCATTTGAGATATTGAGCCGCATTCACTGCACTGAACAATTCCATAACAGATAGTTGAGAATAACTCTAATCTGTCAACTTCCCACTGAAACTTGATACGTCTGGTATATAAACATTCGTTGTTAACTTCCTAACTTCTTCCTTTATCCCCTTAAACAACTCTTACACTTAAGCCTGAAAAATAGAGAAAAGATGCGAATTATGAGTAAAAGCTTTATGCTAAAGTTGATCTATGCACAGAAAATGGAGTTTATATATGAGTTTTGAGATGACAGTTGCGGAAACATACTAAATATGGTAGCAAATAAATAATTATCTAATAAACGTGTGACTTATAATCCTTTCAGTCAGTCTTCAGTGCTGTTAGAAGTACAAGGGTGGTCATCACTTCCCAGGTTCTTCTAGAAGTACCTGAAAAGGAAATTGGGTTAGAGTTGGTTTATATGATCTGAGAGCGTAACCGCAGTGCACAATGGGCAAGGATTATTTGGTGACTCTCAAAAAAACAATCTAACGTAGTTCATACTTAAGGTTGCCAGTTGATGAGATACAATTGTCTTTTCGTTCTGTGACGTATTGCAACTAATCTCATTTATCTCGATTGCATCAATCATCACAATTCATAGATCTTCTAAATTTTCCATTACTTCTTATCACTATCGACGAATATAGTAGCGATAGTCTGCACACACACATATATATATATAGAACTCTGTTACAACCAGTTAATTTTTGTTTGTTTCTTCTTGTTTCCTTCAGGATTTAACTGTTCCATCTGGTGTTATGGAAGTGATCGATGAAGAATTGAATAAATTAAGCGTTTTAGATAATCACTCTTCAGAATTCAAGTCAGTAATTTTATTGTGAATTAGTTTTTCGTTTTAAAAAAAATCATTTTCAAACTATAATCAGTCAGTCAGCTACAACGTAGGATCAAGCACGTATATGCATCGGTCAAAGTTGCCATACCGCATTAGCACAACAAGATGAACACCGGATTCATAGAAGTAATTAATTTAGCGGTGGTGGTAATATGTAAAAGAAAGATTGCATATAAAGATGGTTAGATTTAAAGGTTTGCATCACGAAATGACATCAGCTAAAATGACAAAGCGTTGTTTAATCAAATGAATGAGTGAATTTTGCGTCGAAATCTGAATGATTTGTCTATAAGTAGTAGTTGCTTCAATGATAGTAATGTATAAATGAAAGATTGCATATAACGACATTGTACAGGAAGAAAAATTAGTTGGTAGAAAGAAAGATATGAAGTGATTTTAATCTCACCGTTTAAATGAAGACAAAGAGTGTATGCACCGAAGCCATTGTGATCGATTCTGAGCCATGTCACACAGAGTCGCCAACCATTGGTTACGACAGTCACGTGGACCTCGATCAAGCAATCTGCACCTACCAACATGGCTCACACTAGAAGTTAGTGACTTCAATGACTGATGCCATGTTTTAGTTTGGCCGCCCTTAACTATCTTCCAACCATCCGAAACACCATTCAGCATTGTGCGTTGTGGTAATCGCTGTTGAGGCATACGTAACATGTGGCACGACTATCTCAGTCGGTGAAGATTCACAACCTCATCAACTGATTTACCATCATTCCCTAATACCCTGTTTCTAACCGCACTATTACTTATCCAGTGATCTCAGGAGATGCGAGAAATATTTCTAAGATATCTGTGATCAAATACTAGCAACTTACGAGTATCTTCAACTCTTAATGGCCACGTTTCGCAGCCGTAATGTAAGACAGAACGAACCGCTGCGCAGTATACTGTTAGCGGGACATAGACTAGACTAAAGCATGCTCAATGCATGATTGCTTTGGTGCACGCTGATTGGCTAATTCTTATCCAATCAGCGCTAGTCGATAGTTGGAGAATATTCTGGATTCTTCTTATGTAAACTATAAATATACCGACGTTTTCCCCTATTGTGCTTCCTACTGGCTTCTGACTTGCTATTTGGGATATAATCTTTTTCCTGTTCAACCGTGTTCTGATTTGAGGACTTGTCGAGTGAATCGGTGTCCGAGAATACTAAGCAATAGGAATAGCTGGGTCATTAATCGTAAGAAAAAAGAGATTTATAACAGTGGCGACGGGGAAAAACTAAAGAAAAATGGCGATTTCTTTAGAACAGTTGCGGTTAATATTACAGCACCAGCAGAAGTTGTTAGCCTTGCAACAACAACTATTGAACACACTTTTCACTCGACCAGAAAATAAGAAATCTGTTTATGATGCAGTAACAGACATTTCAGAAGCATATCTAGTGGAGGGTTCAAATCCCTTTATACCTGAATCAGAACGTAATATTCGTAACGTGTCCGGCTCACAGCAAGAAAATACTGTGCTGAATGCACATGAAGTTGTGACAATACCAGATGATCAGGAGCCAGGTCCTGTAGATGAAGCCCGGAGTCCAGAATCAAATGAAACACTACTGGTACTGTCTAGCTGCGAAAATAAACGTCAGCTCGAACAAAATTGTGGTCCACGTGCTATTAGTCGAGAAAGCTATGGTGACTCGTATTCAGAAAATAACTGGAGCAACACGATGAACCAAATTGTACCAGATGTTACTCAAAATCACCGGAAGACAGAATTTTATATTGAGTCAACTTATCCCATTTCTAATGACAGTGTACCAGATATTGATTCTCAGAATAATGCATATGATTTTGATGAACCTTCTTATAACAATGAGGGAAATATGTCAGCTGAGTCGAATGATGGCCAAAAATCTAATCTAATTCTGTTAGACGTTGACTTTCTTAACGACTCGTTATCAGCTAACGAGATTCATAATGAATTTGAAAATAATGAACTCAGATCAAAGGTTGTTCATCATCATCTAGTCAATTTTAGTGGATTCTCCAGTCAATACGAGAAACATGGTTTAAATAAAGTCCTACTAGTTATAATTTGGAGCCATAAGGACCCAACATTATTTCGAGGAGGAGGAGAATGTTGGAGAATTAAAAGTTATGCATACTTTTTTTTAAGAAAAATCAAAACGCCGGGAACAGACATGTCAGTCTCTGTGCAAGGAAAAAGTGATAATTCTTCATTGCCTAGACGATGGACTAATCGAAAGCACAAGCCAGTCACTCAGTTGCAGTTGGACCCTAGCACCAGATCCTACGAATCTGCTCAGAGGGGAGGTGTTAGCGGGACATAGACTAGACTAAAGCATGCTCAATGCATGATTGCTTTGGTGCACGCTGATTGGCTAATTCTTGTCCAATCAGCGCTATAAATATACCGACGTTTTCCCCTATTGTGCTTCCTACTGGCTTCTGACTTGCTATTTGGGATATAATCTTTTTCCTGTTCAACCGTGTTCTGATTTGGGGACTTGTCGAGTGAATCGGTGTCCGAGAATACTAAGCAATAGGAATAGCTGGGTAAGAAACCAGAGATTATAACATATACTCGTCCCTTAATTGATAGACGGATCTCTCAAACTATAATATTAACATTTTAATGTAATAAACCATAATTAACACTAATTAAGTCTATAGACCTTTAATTTTCCTTTTTTCTTTAGAAGATATTGTTTTATGTTGATACTGATATGCACGCTTTCTGTGTTCCTTGAAAAACATAGTACTACTCAGGTCCTCAAACCAAACAGGTTATGTTTTAAGGGGCGCTGATCTATCTTCTCGCTTAAATGTCTCATGCATAAGTCATTGTAGCAACATTGTGAAATTTAGTCTCATCATAGCCATCTACTGGAGTCAGCTCATATCCAAGGATCGTGAAGCTCATTTACATCACTAGTCTCAAGTCAGAGTCTTTAGATTCGATAAGATATTCGAATTTTTCCCCTCGATCTCGATTGATCATTGTTGACCTTTAACCCTTTTATTATCTGCATCTTTATTTTGATTATATCTCCCAAGAATCAAATGCAGATAATGACCGATTATGAATCAATAATAATCCATAGAGATCAAGGTTGACAGGACAAGCTATTAATCATATGTAGAGAAATTCAGATGCTTCACTTCTACCTGAAGTTTGTTTCGATGATGTTGTTCAGAAGAACAATGAATGTTTCACGGTGAAACTAGTCAGCTTAATAAGCGAAACTCCACTAATATAATAAATATATCATGTGTTATTCCTACTTTAACTATTTTCCTTTTATTTTTCTTTCGCTGGTCGGGGGAATACACATGATACGTTCTTCAGTGTAACACGTAATTATTTGGATTGGTTAACTGCACTACCTTGGGGTGTAACAAGTGAAGAGCATTTAGATATTGGACAAGCAAAGAAAATTTTAGATGAAGATCATTATGGAATGGATGATGTGAAAAAACGTATCCTGGTAATTCTTTTGAATATAACATGTTCACTCTAATCTTTCATTTGTATGATAGACTATATATATATATATATATATATATATATATATATATATTCCTTTTAGCTTATTCCTCAGATGTTACTAAGGGTATAAGGTTGGTTGTCACTTCCTAGTTGTCCACGTTGTAGAAGATTACTTCATGATGGACCTCTAAAATAAACCAAGTTAGCTGACCGGAAATTTCAAGGACTAACTCTCTGATATCAACTTCAGAACCTTTTCTTGATTGGCTTTTATGTGTTAGCTCTGAACTTTTTAGACCTTCCGACCGGTAACGGAAATCAATGGACCAACGTAAGGTGTGTTATTTTTAGAAACAAACTTTTCCAACTATTTGCTTCTATTGTGAAAAGGTGACATTGTTGGAAATCCTGGTTGATGAAAAAAATCGGTCCTTTCAGAAAAGCTCTTGTTCAAAACAGATTATCTGGTCACTTTATAAATAATAATAAACATGTAATTTGGAAGATAAAACTTCATTTCCTGAACTTGGTCAAGCAACGGAGAGTTACATTAAAATCAAGAGCCGATTTAAAATATACAACTATTTAAAACCTGAATGCACTGGATGGCCGTCTTATCTCAGTATTGAACTCCTCAACAGAGCCCACTTACGATTCTCCATACGGGAATTAAACTCATGACCTACGCTGTTGCGTGCGATTCCTTAACCTCTAGACCATTAGGCCTAAATTCTGTAGTGTTCATGTCTAACGTTAATCAATTCATTTCGCAACCGTCTTGTATTGTTTTCGGTGGGTAACTGCCTCACACTCGACACACTTTAGCTCCACTGATCACGGCTTCTCTCTCGAAGCTAGTCACTAGTGTGCACATGATAATTGTCGGTATGGGGTTCCGGATAAATTGATAAATTTCATTTTTTTGGGGGGGTTTAGTTGTGTGGAGGTTAAATGTTCGCGCACGAGATCAAAGGTCCTTGGTTTGATTCCAGCATGAGGGGTTGTGGATGCACTTTACTGAAGCTCAAGATATATTTACTGTAGTTGATAATAATCTACATGTTGTTGGCCGAACATGTATAAAGTTATTTAGTTCACTAGTAAAAAAAATTTAAGTTTTCGGGCCAGAGAAATTAAGTGAAAGAGTGAAGGATCATGACGTAATTGAGTGCCACAAAAATTCAAATTGTTATGACTGGTAAAAAGAAAAGGCAACAATTACGTAATAGCAATAATAATAATGGTCGTTAAAATGGTACAAAGAGACTTTATTATTTGGATGGTTAAACTAATATGGCAACCAAACGTTTTAATAAGTGATTTTTATTGTGTAATATTATTCTATCAATTTATTACTTACAAAAACCGTACCAGGATTTATTAATTGACTTTTATCCATGATACGTCTTTTTATATAAAGCCACTCATTATCAAATTCTTTCGTTTATGCTCCGATCTTCTCCTAAATCATAATACAATCCTGGTATTTTATAGCATAGATGATGCTATAGGTTCACAGGTAAATAAGTGACAACCACCCTGGAGGTGGTGGTAACTAGTTGGCATCTTTTGTCTACTTATATTCAACTTCACTTGATATTGTTTTATTTGAATCTTCCCATTGATGTTTTTGGACTGAAATTGATCAGTCTCTTATTGGCATATGTGCATACTGTGCGTATGCCTCGATATTGCCTTAATTTACAAGCATTATAAGCAAAGATGGATAGTGGCTAGCAGTGGAATCCAGGACGCGCGTTTCGTCCTGTTTGGGACTCGTCAGCTGGATGTACCTGCATCTCAGAGTTGATGTTCACTCTGGGACTCGAACTCAGTACCGTCCGCTTCAAACGCCATCGCGTTATCCACTTAGCTACTGAGTGGATAACGCGATGGCGTTTGAAGCGAACGGTACTGAGTTCGAGTCCCAGAGTGAACATCAACTCTGAGATGCAGGTACATCCAGCTGACGAGTCCCAAACAGGACGAAACGCACGTCCTGGATTCCACTGCTAGCCACTATCCATCTTTGCTTATATTCAACTTGTTGATTAGGCTCTTTTTTGTCGCATGTATGGGATAATCAAATTAACATTCTTATTAGTTACTACACAATTCTAACCGCTAGTCGATATGTATCAATGCTATGGTTAGACTTGATAGTATCAAATAGGTTGTGCATTGGATAGAAAGTTAATAATAGATATATTTTTTGTTATATCCCAATGAGTAGAAAAATTGTATTTCTGACAATGTTTCGTGAGCCACTTCTTCAGAGTAAATGAATGGTCAGTTATTTGTTTCTTCTGAAGAAGTGGCCTACATTAATTCACGAAACGCTAGTTAATAGTTATTTCTATGCATATTAACATCATCCTATTTGAGTTAAAGTTTAACAAGTAACGTGTAGTTTTGGATTCGTAGCCAACTTACGCCATCTATGGCGAAGGTGAGATGTCCGTTTATCAATTAAGGGACGAGTATACTTCGCGGCAGTTCGTTCTATTTTACTTTACGGCTTCGAAACGTGGCCATCAAAAGTTGAAGATACTCGTAAGTTACTAGCATTTGATCACAGATATCTTAGAAACATTACTCACATCTGCTGGGATCACCGGGTAAGTGATAGTGAGGTTAGACGCAGAGTATTAGAGAATGGTGATAGTAAATCAGTTGATGAGGTTGTGAATCTTCATCGACTGAGATAGTTGTGCCACATGTTACGTGTGCCTGAACACCGATTACGACGACGTGCAATGCTAACCAGTGTTCGGAATGGTCTGAAGAAAGTTAGGTGTGGCCAAACCAAAACATGGCATCAGTGCTTGAAGTCACTAACTTCTAGTGTGAGCCATGTTGGTGGTAGATGCAGACTACCTAATTGTGGTCCGCGTGACTATCGTAGTCAATGGGTGGAGACTCTGTGTGATATTGCTCAGAATTGACCACAATGGCGACGGTGTATACACTCTCTGTCTTCCCTTAAACTATGAGATTAAAATCACTTCATATCTTTCTTTCTACCAACTAATTCTTTCTTCCTGTACTATTTCCTCACATACAATTCTTTTTCTTTTATATATAACCACCATCGCTGAATTAATTACTTCTATGAATCCGGTGTTCATCTTGTTATGCTAATGATTGAAGTATGACAACTTGAATCAATGCATATATGAACCTGGTCTTACGTCGTAGCTGCCTGACTTTGACTTAAAATACTTATTGACAAATTCATTCTTGTGAATAGATCACACAAATATTTGACTGTTCTCTTGTGTTCTCTTTTTTTTCTTCTGTTTATTATCGAAGATTATTCCTTATCTATAGTTGTTTTGTTTTCTCTGGGAATGACTTGTTCTTCTGTATTATGTTTTCTTTTATAGGAATTCATTGCTGTCAGTCAATTGAAAGGTTCAACACAAGGCAAAATTTTATGTTTTTGTGGTCCACCTGGAGTTGGTAAAACCAGTATTGCTAATTCAATAGCTCGTGCATTAAATAGAAAAGTTTGTCTTATTCTTTTCTTGGTTTATTATTATTAGTAGCAGTATTATTGGTAGTACTAGTATTAGTAGTAGTAGTATTGGTATTGGTAGTAGCAGTATTATTATTATTATTATTATTATTATTATTATTATTATTATTAATAGTATTAGTAATAGTATTATTATTATTAGTAGTATTAGTATTATTAGTAGTATTATTAGCTTTATTCAATATCATGTATTTTTGGTACAATATAGAATTCTCAACACAAAGTACTTTAACAAGTTTCCATTTGTTACTTCTTGATCGATGCTGACGATAAATATTGAGTGGTCGTCAGTTAGATGTTAGCAGTTTCAGGAATGAACGTCTGAATAGTGGTCATTCTTTTTCAATGCATATTGCCAGCCACCAGGATGCCTCTGATGGTTGTACTTTTTTGGAACTTGTACATCGAAATGTCATGAGTTTTTCATGAATAGGTTATGTGTTTAATTGACATGATGATGTGTTAAAACAAACAAAACAAACAGTTAAAAGGAAATATCGTCTGCCTACTTATAATTTTCTTTCAACGTACTCCATGTATTGCGGTTGATGGTTGGTTTATCATGAATAATATCTGTCTCAACCATATATATTGTTAGAAATTTAATCGATCTGCCACTTCTGTCTAGTAACTTAAATCTAACTCAACATTTCCACCCACTTGTTCCAACACATGAGAGGAATCATTCGAAGACATTTTTGACCAAGTATTTGCGATTTAGGATTACCCCCAAATAATGCCTTAGGCTGATATTAGATGCGAATGCCATATCTTGATTTGTTCACTCCTTCATTCTTGTTCTATGCAACTCATCATTGTGCATCAACATATTGGCAGGTTCGGTATTCATACATATATCCCTATTACTACAGCCAATAAAAGTTCATAGCCTCCAAAACTAATTTGTCAGTATTTTATAAGTCTTGCTGATTGAACGCTATATTCGTCTCCTAAGCTATTCTGTAACTCCCAAGCTAGAACTATACACCGACCTGAACACGAGAGAGAAGACTCAAAGTATGCGAGAAGTAGTTTACTCCAAGGTTCATTTCAATACAGAAAATATAGGGTTTTTATAATATTTTAAATGTCTTTGGGTTGCTCGAAGATTCTGGAATGCTACTAAACATAGTAGTAGTGTAGCAGCCAGCCAATCAAAGCCTCCGCACGTGACGTTTCGCTTCCTTGATATTTTTGGCTAAAACTTCAAGTGAACGCTGATTGGATGAAACGCTTCTTAGTGTTTCCTCATGCTTGCTTGTCTTTTCCAAGCAATTTTCTGTATTACCCCAACAGTATTCCCTCCCATTAACCTACATTTGAAATTCAACATTATCCTATGATTCCACCGTATTCATTATCTGTTCACTAGCATAAAATATTATCTCTTTCTTTCTCTTTCTCTCTCCATTGTTTTTCTTTCTATAGTATTTTCGTTTTTCTGTCGGTGGAATGTCTGATGTATCTGAAATCAAAGGTCATAGACGTACTTATGTTGGTGCTATGCCTGGGAAAATTATTCAATGTCTTAAAAAAACTAAAACTGAAAATCCACTCATTTTAATCGATGAAGTATGTTTTCTTTTTTCATTCATGTTTTATATATCTATACATGTACATATAATACTATTTATACATATGAATACTTGGTAACGAATATTCTATGTATCTAATTAATGATTATGGGCAAACTATGGTGAATAGAATTAGTTAGAAATATACATGGGAGTGGGCAAAAAAACAAACATGAAATGATTTCAAAATCTCTTGAAGGGGGGGATGGGTCGGTTGGATGTAACTCTTTTTTTTGTAGAAATTTTCGAGAAAAAAAAATACCTAGTTTAATATATTGTTGGTGTATAGTGATTTCACACTAGTCTGCAGTCTCATACTCAGTTTAATTACTTGTCTAATTGTTATAACTTGTGACCTGAGTGCCCTATTAATGTATAATGTAATGATACCATCAATTAGCGATCAATGAATTATCGACTGGACTAATGAGGCATAAAACAAGTACGAACAGTTTTGAGTCCTTATTGGTGCTGACTAACCCTGCCTGTCTCTTGAGTTCAGAACATCAATCTCAGTCACTGCGATATGAATCATTATATTTCAAACACACTGGGTTTATATACCAACCAAAGAGATCACATCATACTATAAAATACAGAAGATACACATTTGCACAAGATCTAGCCAAAAGAGTGGCTGTGAATGTGGAAGGTAGTAATTGATAGACCAGGCATAATTCAAGAATGGTAAAACGTATAATAATAGTTTATAGGTCAAAATAAAGCTTATGATAAGAGGAATACGAATATGAATAGTTTAGTTATATACCAATTATACGATAGACATATACGCATAGTTTTGGTCCACGAATGTATCCCAAATGTTACCATTCATTATGCTTATCGGGACATAACACTAATATTCTCTAATCTTCAGTGATATTTCATCTAAGACCAATCTGTGGTGAATATCACCTACATATACAAATCTTCACAAAGACCTTACATCAATAATTATATACACCTTCATTAAAGTAACATTTCTACCTAGCCTCCTAGCAATTATGAATATGACAAATATTATATCCAGAAGGTTGTTCTTGATATACCGCGTATAACGTGAGTACTAGAACGCTAGAACTCTTCTAAGTCGCAATGAGAAGACAGAAGACTAATGTAAGGAATTTTATTCCCAGACAGTGTCAGTTATAGTACAAAATTGTCAGGTATTTATAGTTTTTAGTAAGAACGAAATCATCATTACAATCCTACAATCCGCAGACAGGGGATTATTAGCATTGTCCAATCGGGAAGCTACACGTGGGAATTCTAGAATATTCTTCCAAATCGTGATTGGATGGAATATTTTCGGCTCCTTCTGAGCCTCCTACAGCTTTCTCGAGTTCACCCGTGGTCCGTCGTCACAATAAAAAAATAAAGACATTTCATTGCACTCTCTATCAACGATGATACCATGTGGAATAATGGATAAGTATGTATGGAAATATATTGCTCTGTTCTTGAGAATTAGACACTTAATTTCCAAGCCTCAAATCGTCAAAAAAAGCTTTCGTGTGATTTAAAAATTTACTAGAAAAAACCAATACTGAAAACAATACGTTTTCCTTTGATTTTCTGGGAGATATTCTGATGTATTGTGACAATCAAAGATCGGTTATATGATAAGTGCTTATGATTGACTAGGGAATAACTCATATTTTTAAGCGATAAGGCATACATCATTACACTCAAAATGCCCTAGTACGGCCGAGGGTGGAGAGAGTTAGCTCTCTCTCTCTCTCTCGAAATGCTCTCACATGGCCACGCGTATACAACCACTGCCAGGGAAGTCGTACTCACTGCCTCCTCACACTACGGCTGTTGTTTACGAAATTGAGAAGACGAAAAGCGAATGTCCGGCGATTTAAGCGGGTTGGTGGATACGGAGGATTCGCCTAGTGGGGTTGAAAAACCCTGATTCTTAACCAATGGTGCACATGGGCTCCAGGATCGTGAAGGAACAAATGGAGGACGAACCAATTATTGGTCACCGGTTATCATGGGATTACATCTATAGTTGCTCCACTGCCTTGCGGATCAGACCTTTAGTTCAGAGGCTCCGGGTGTGGCCCCCTGAGAGAACAACCTGCTTCGGTCGGCGCAGCCCACATCCAAATCTGTGACTTGTGTGACGCATATGTATTCGGTGCCCCACTGTACCAATATTTATGTGTCCAAATAAAGAATAAATAACATTGGTGCTTTAATTTTCGAAAGAGACAAACATATTTATATAAATGAGTATATATTCATTTCGATTTTATTTAGTCAATCAACTTTTTCTCCCATTCTCAGTCTTTTCTTTCGAGTAACCGATTAGGGTTGTGTATAAAAAGATTGTATATCAGCATCAAAATTGGATATCGTACGATACGTACAACTTCCACAATAAATCAGTTTAGGTTTGATTTTTCCATCATTTTAATTATTGTCATCGTTTCATGTCTATTGTATTTCTATACATTTTATAGATCGATAAATTAGGTCGTGGATGGCAAGGTGATCCAGCTAGTGCTTTATTAGAATTACTTGATCCAGAACAAAATGTTAATTTCCTTGATCATTATCTTGATGTTACAGTAGATTTAAGTCGTGTATTATTCATTACAACAGCAAATCAATTAGATACAATTCCAGAACCATTAAGAGATCGTATGGAAGTGATTGAAGTATCCGGTTATGTTGAAGAAGAAAAATTAGCCATTGCAAAAGTGAGTTGTTTTATTCATTACAAAAATCAGTTAAAATTATAATACAGTAATTCATAAAATGCATAAACTAAATTAATATGGTAGTTAGTCATATATATAGTAAGTGACGTATCATATTGTACTTGGACTATACACCTTTCTTAATTGGTCCGAATTTAACTAATAAATAGTTAGACTTGATTATAAGCTAAACTCTAAGCGTGGGGGAGGTCAACTAGTTACTGAACTTGAAGTAGGTAGATCGGGGTTCGAGTTTGAGAATTTGTGACGAAATGTGGTACTTCCTAACCCCACTAAGCAACCGCTTTAATTAAAGCTAATAAATGATTACTAGATCACGAAAATGTTCCTATACAATCAATAATGATTATCCATGTGTTTCCAGTCAGCATCTAGTATTATCCTCTCTGATCTTCAAACGCATACCCTCATTTGATATCCTTTCGTTACGAAAATTCAAAATAGTATTGTGGGAATACTTGCAACGGGACAATACAATGATAATGAAATATAAAACGATGAAGAAGTTAAATGGAGTTGACTTATGCAAGTATCCAGTAATATCTTGAACTATTGGGATACTATTGTAGTGTCGCAAACGAAGACGGAGGCTGAACACTATGTGAAGGGGATACAATCGATGTATTTAAACAAAGCTTTTATCAGGAAATTTCATAGATTAGACAAACTAGTCCTTTAAATTGGTTGACTTTTGTGTTTAAATACTAAAGGTGTGAAGTACTGTGTTGAACAAGTAGATGACAGAACAGTTCACTAAATGATATTAAGTAGTCGTTTAGTTATACGCGACATAGAACTTGATCCATATGTTTGCATCCAGTTACAAACAATGAGTTTCTCAATCAAATAACAATAATTTATTTGGATTAGTTTTTTGGAAAACAGATGATCATGAAAGAATAAAAATAATCGGAATTCAGTGAAGAGGATTTTCTTTTCAACGACGTTATTTACTTAAGCTGTACATTCGTATTTAGACATATCTGGTAAACGTTTAAGTCTATAGAAGGACTATGGTTTCAACAATTTGATTTGTCACTGAAATCATGAACTGATCACCATTGAAAACCTTGAAGCACTGGACGGTCTCTTTGCTCTATATGAGATTCCTCAGTAATGTGCATCCATGATCCTGCTTGCGGACTCGAACCCAATACTTCCTCTAGACCACTGAATCGGCATCCAACGGTGTACCTACCTAACTTCAATCAATCCATGACCATCTTCCCTTGTCTTCACTAGGTGACTGCGTTACACTGGACACATATTAGCTCCACTGGATATCGGTTCAGTGATCTGGAGATTAAGTGTTCTTGCACGAAACTGAAGGTCCCAGATTCAACTTCCAATCACGGGATCGTGGACATGTACTGCTGAGGAATCCTACTCATTGCTTGAAGGTTTTCAGTGGTAGTCTAATTTATATCGATGCAGGATTTCAATGAAATTCAACAATTTCCACATTCCTATACTTAAATTTGATTTGTGTTTAATCAACAACTCTTGATCCTATTCATTATCATATTCCAATAATATTGCTGTTCGTTGAAATGATATTTGTTTGGTTACAATTCTTGGGGATGAGGATTTACGCTGAAATACTTTTGTCCATTGAATATATTCATGAAATCTGGAACTTGGCAGAATTTCAAATTAATGAAATATTCGATTGTATTTAGAAACATTTTGATAACCTTTTAAGTAGTAACTTACAGTAAGATATAATCTATCAAGTAATATGTTCATCCTTGTGTGTGAAGTTTCTATGGACAATTATACTCAGAAGTGATCACTCTAATTATAACAGGTAGCCTTAATGTTATAATGAATAATCTGTTACCGATCAAAGTAGAGGATACTAGATCCATTTGTCTGTGCTAATGTGGTGTGGCAACTCGAACTGATGTACGTACGTACGAAGTCCTACGTTGTTACTGACTGACTGACTGATCCATTTGTCTATTCCCAGAAGCTATAATATACCAACAGACTTTTGGTCAAGTTCAGTTTTGAATACATGAAGAATCGGGGGGGGAATATGTTTATTCTTAAAATGTATGCAAAATAATTGAACTGTTTTCTCAAAACATCATCTGTCAACATTTAGCAAATATCTTCAAATGACTATAGTTAAGAAATACTACTTAAAATGCCTATCATACGTAACTAGTTTTCATTGTGTATTATACATAATAAGTAAACTGACACTACATTATATCCAACTGTATCGGTCTAAGGTTACTTCTTGTTGTGGATGCGGAGGAATAGACCAATAATTATCATGTTAAGTCCAATGGTGTCCTTGGACTTTAAATGGACATTTCCTATTGGTCGATATCTGTTCACTCGTTGAATATTGTACAAAATGTTTTCTATTTTTATGGTACGATGTGGTATGCTTGATTGGTATATAAACAACGTATGTTTGAAATATAATGATTCATAACCCAGAGGCTGTGACTTGCGTTCTAGATTCAACTGGCTGGGCTAGACAGGGGATCGAGACCAATCAGGCCACTAGGTCGTCCTTACGAGTTTACGTGTCACTGTCCACTGTAGTCGATCGATATAAACGCTGCGTATCAAAAAACCTGCAGTCACACCCGTTACAACACTTCTCTATAGTAATATAAGAATATCATTATTGTTATGCAAATAAACAAGTCTTTTATTACTTTCATAATCTCTAAGTTGAATCGTTTAAATATGAAATCTTGGTGTATAGTTCTAGACAATATCACGTAATGTAATCACTGTTTACAAGACACTGCTAGAACTTCATCATTTTAAACTTTCTTTTTCTTTGTTTATATCCACATAGCGTTATCTTCTTCCATTGGCTACTCGAAATTGTGGTCTAGATGATAATCGTCTTTTAATTGATGATAATGCAATAAAACGTTTAATTAAACAATATTGTCGTGAAAGTGGTGTACGTAATCTACAAAAGCATATTGAAAAAGTAAGTCTAATCAATATAATAATTAGTTTAATTATAATTTAAAGTTATATGAAGTCCCGAATTCGAATCCTACTTGTTTCATCTACTTTAAGTAGTAGTAGTAGTAGTAGTATTAGTTATTAAATTTGAAATGTGACCAAAAGTTAAGTATATGGATTTACGATGGAGTTTTGTTCTCTGAACTGGATGGTTTGGTCGTGGAACGATGAAAGCTCCACGACCAAACCATCCAGTTCAGAGAACAAAACTCCATCAGAATCATCCACCTGAGCTACAAGTCTTCTCCACCATCTCATATAGATTTACACCTAGTAAATCGATTGATTGTGATGGCTAGTGAATAATCGACTGGTTGTAGATGGAACAATAATCACTCTTGTCATTAAATGACTACAAGTTAACTGTTTATAACATTCTGTTCAGTTAATTCTCTAAATATCAAATATAGAATATCAGCCTTCAACCACAATATCGTCAATTATTGAAATCAATATCAACTGTATTTGTTGTGGTGATCCAGAAAACTTCTCGCAAAAGACAAGAAAGGATCAGGAAAACACTAAGATGCATTTTATCCAATCAGCGTTCACTTGGAGTTTAGCCAGAAACATCGAGAAAGTGAAAAGTCACATGTAGAGTTTCTGATTGGTTGATTACTATACTGCTACTATGTTTAGTTGCACTCCGGAATTTTCTAGAAACCCGAGGGCATCTAAAATACTATAAAAAGCCTATATTTTCTGTATTAAAACAAATCTTTGGAGTAAGGTGCTTCTCACATATTTTCTCTCGTGTTCAGGTTTCTGTGTAGTTCTAGCTTGAGGGTTAGGAGAATAGCTTAGGAACCGAATATAGCGTCCAGTTAGCAAGACTTATTAGTATCTTAACATCAGACATCCGTAGAATTTCATTTCAAGCTCTTTTCCATAACTCAGCCTTAAAATGTAACACACTGAAGCCGTATGATACGGGTTTGAATCGTTCAAGGAGTATTAGTTCCATTGAAAGTGTAAGAATGCTTTGTTTATGAATTTTAACTTGCGGGAAACTTAGGTCATGTAGGACTTCCTGTCGACTACCTCCAACTATCTGATATTGTCTAAATTATATGACTATTCATAATGGGTTTTTTTCTGAGTATCGTAACTGTTAGTTACATGAGATGTGAAATATTCTATTGTCAATGTCTAATTTTTTAAGTGTACAAGAATCCATGTTGTCACTTTCCTGATCCTGTTTTGTCACATGATTTAGTCTGTGGTAATAGAAACACTGGAAGCACTTATTATTTAATTTGCTTGTTGGTTGGGATGCTAGGTGAGCGTTCAAATCGAAGCAGTTGGTTCTCTTAGAGAGCCACTCCCTAAGCCTTTGACTCAAAGGTCTAATCTACAAGGCAGTGGAGCAACGTTAGGAGATGCAGTTCTATGGTAGCTGGTGAACAACAATAGGTTCATACGTCATTTATTCCCTCAGGATCATGAAGCCTATGTGCACTGTTGTTCTGGAATCAGGGTTTTCCAATTCCCCTTAGTGTGAATGCTTCGTACCCATTGACCTGGTTTAAGCCCCCACCAGACATTCGCTTTTCACCCTCTCAATTTCATAAATAACAGCACTTCTGCGGAAAGCAATGTGTAGAACTTGTTTGTCAATGGTTCTATACGCGTGGTCATATGAGAGCATTCTAGAGAGCGAGAGCGGACTCTTTCCATGCTCGGCTATACCAAGGTATTTGGGGTTAGTTATTCGTAAGTACGCTTATCTTCAAACATCTGACAGAAATTCACTACATACAAGGTCATATGTGAAAACAGCCTGATTTTCCCTAGTTTTCTGTTTCCTGATTCCATACAAGTGTCACATAAGTATTAAGGCTAATAATTTAGATATTATATATGTTAGTTAAACTGATTCCTGTATGGTTATCATGGAATATGTTCATCCTTCCTCATAAAACTGGGACAATCAGCGATTGAAACATATCAGATAGAATCAAATAAAATATAACTTTAACTGGGGATATCTCAGTCAGTTTAAATATCAAACTCTGAACTAACTTCTTTGAAGATCTTATTCGTCTAATGAATATCTCAATAAAAGAACTAGCAAAAGACTTTACCCTATAATGTTATATATATATATATACATTATATATATATATATATACATGTGTCTGATTGAATAAGTTCAATCATAACAAATGGCATATTCACCTTTAATTTACTTGCATTTGATCACGTAATAATGATACGTTTATCATTGTTACATCATATAGGTTTGTTCCCATACATGTACGTTGTTTAGCCAATGTTGTATGTAACACACATTTTTTGATGTAAAAGAAAAGAATTTAGCCAACATTGTTTGTTTTATTCCATGATTTTTACTGTTATAGTCACTACTTTTTCTTTGCTTTCCCAAAGTTTTATGCATTTTTTGGGTTTCTAATGGTAGTTTCTACGTCTGTGTGCTGTATGTATGTATGTGTGTGTGTTTGTGCATACACGAATTTACACACATATTACAGTAATGAATTATTGTTAGTCACATAGTTGACTACCTTAACTCGATGATCGAGCTTTGCATATATATATATATATATATATATATATATATATATATATATATAATGATAACTAATTCAGTTTTATATTTGCCGGAATATTCGTTCCTTCAGGTTTTATTATGCTAGACAGATAGGTTGAAGAACAGTTAGACTAAAAGCAATCACTTTTCATAATATAGTGTGAAATGGTTAGGAGAGATCGATCCTATGAAATATAGGACACTGCCTTGTCTTATGAATTTTAGTCGATAATAGTATGATCTTTAAAGTAGGGAAGGAATACATGTAAAACATCTGTCAAAGACGATGTGTGATCTCTGTGATTACACTTCCAGTTAATCAAGACCACATCTAATCTAGTTCCTTTTTCTGATACCTCGAAAAGATGAGTGGGTGACCAGGAAAGGACTAATCCCCATCATTTAATACTCGAAATAAACTAACGTACTATAACTGTTAATATAAATTTAAATACTAGGAGTGTGTTTTAGGTTTCTGCATTACTTTATCTTAGATATGTCTTCAAATAATTAATTGCATATGTTGGAATCTTCAGCTTTTTTCAAACTTCTGGCACCTGTCCAAAGCCTGGGTCTTCCATTTTCTAACTTGGGAAATATTGCAACTAATCGTTGTGCTTTAGACTCGTTCGAGTTGATGAATTATGAAGGCTAATTACATGTACCTATGGACTAGTCAACGTCAATGCTCTTTGTCGAGGACCATAGAACGTGAAGTAGTCGAGCACGTTAACCAACTCCATTACCTTGAAAATCTTCTCAACTCTGATACTCTGATTCCTGACGTAATTTTTGTGTACCTATGTGATATGTGTCAAACGGTGTCATTGTATATTTTTGTCCAAAATTCTACACTTTTTTATTGATGATTGAAGATTAATTCTCACCAAAAAATTGAACTTATTCCCTATGCACTTGGATGTGAGCCACTCGTGAAGTGTAAGGGTTAATTTTACTACCTGGTTACCCAAACCTAAATACATGGAGCGAAGCTCGAACCTTGAACTTAACGGCTGAAAATCGTACATCTTAACCACTAATTGTCATGTTTAAAGTGGGACAATCATAGGCAGACATCATCAATATGGAGTCTGGAACCGATTAAAATGAAGTTGTTATCACCTTTTCTATTAAGAAATACATCTCTATATGTATTACATGAAGGTATAGCTTACGTGCCCTATTATTGCTTCATTTTTCATTATTCTCATACAGATTGTTCGTAAAGTTGCTTATCAATTAGTCAATGCAGAGAAAGATCCACCAATTCTAGTCAATAGTGATAACTTAACCACATATGTTGGTCAACCAATTTGGACATCAGATCGTTTGTATGATTCTATCACACCACCTGGGGTTGTTATGGGTTTAGCTTGGACATCAATGGGTGGTTCCGTTCTATATATTGAATGTACTAATAAAAAACCGAAATATTTCTACCAATCTACCAATACTACTGATTCACACAGTGATAGTAGTAGTGATTCAGAGGAAGTATCTAATAAAAAAGGTACGTTTAGCGAGTTTTTCTACTTTTAACTGATAATAATCGGTAGTATTTATTAAATTTGAGTTGTGGCTAGTAGTAGAATTTAAGAAGCTCATTTCGATTTATTTGGGACTTACAGCCGGTTTCAGTGTTAATACCAACACTGTAATGCATGTAAATTCAGTCGAAGAGTCCTGGATAGGACGAAACGAGCGTCCTAAATTCCGCTGCAGACTACAAATCATCTATTCAATTTTTTAAATTCCTCTTCTATAGCTTCATAAAACGTGTCTACTATAGAGTCGAGTAATTCAACAAAATTCAAGCAAAACTTTGTACAGTTTCATCGTCATAGTTTTGATCTGGAAAACGTATAATGCAACGTTGATTAATGATTGCAGAACATATGTTAGCTTTATTTCCAGTTTTAAGTGAGCTAACTTTATCCATTGATTTTAACTAGATTTCCAGATGGCTTGTTCTAATCTCGTGATTCCTCAGAAATCCTCACATACAAATTTGCTAGAAGACTGTGGAACTCATGACTCTAAAATACTTATGCGAATGAATTATGCTAAAACCATTAAGTTAATATCTAATGTTACACAACTTTAGGTTTAATCAATTAGCGTATATTATATAAACATCATTTTCAGTAGGATGTGTCGAGATTACGTCAACTTCCCAAGAGGCTGATGAAACTTCCAAGACGAGTAAACGGGGCAAATGTTCTCTATAGCCTTTTTGTTTCTAATCCAACCAGGTTTCCACAGAGACTAGTTTTGAGGAAATAATACCCGTATCATAAAAAAGACCTATCCTGAACAATTTTATTGTGACTGAAAATAGTCAACAGTATAGTCTTACAGGTCAGTTTTCAGAGTTCTGATTCTTTTAAAATCTTAATTGTCATTCTTGTGTATAACATGACCTATTTAAGCAAAGATGGATAGTGGCTAGCACTGGAATTCAAGACGTGCGTTTCGTTTTATTTGGGACTGGATGTACTTGCACCTCAGACTTGTTGATGTTCACTCTGTGACTCTAACTCACCACCGTTCGCTTCAAACGACATCGCGTTATCTACTTAGCTACTGAGTCCCAATAGTCACTTGCTCGTGCAATATGGTAAAGTTTAAATTCACTTGGTATTGTTGTTTACTTGAATCTTCCCATTGATGTTTAACACTGTAATTGATCAGTCTCTTATTGGCATAGATGCATACTGTGCGTATTACCTCGATATAACCAATTTAAATTAATTTCAGAAAATTTTTAGCTTCCTATCATTTCTATTGGTACTTTGTAACATCTGACATGTTATGAAACAATCATTTTCAACATACTACATAGTACATTTATATGTTTATTTTGCATTTGACAAATTATCCATTATTATCAGAAGGGGTTTTGTGGAGATTGTGGTAATTTCAACAGTTGAGATCACGAGTCAATTGAAGCTAGACCACCATAAGAAACCTGGAGGCATTGGACGGCCATTTCTTCCTATTGTGGGACTCCTCAGCAGTGCTCATCCACGACCTTACCCCTTGCGAGATCCGAACACAGGACCTTCTGGTTTCGCGCGCGAGCACTTAACCACTAGACCACTGAACCGACCGGCATCCAGTGGTGTTAATGTCTAACTTCAACTAAACCACGAAATTGAGCGATAAATCCACCTTTGTCTTCAGTGTGTCGCTCTATTTCGTGGATTAGTTGAAGTTAGACATCAACACTATTGGATGCCATCCGGCTCAATGGTCTGGTGGTTAAGCGCTCGCATGCGAGACTGCTAGGTCCTGGGTTCGAATTTCGCGAAGTGGGATCGTGGATGCGCACTGCTGATGAATCCCACAATAGGACGAAACGGCCGTCCAGTGCTTCCAGGTTTTCCATGGGGGTCTAGCTTCAACTGACTCATGATCTCATCTATTGAAATCATCCCTTGTTGTTATCTAACAATTTCTAATGAACCCGTGTGTGTTGCTTAGTCTATATGCTTCAATTTTGTTTATTAGTCAATTCGATCTTTCATTAAATTTTTCAAGTTTCTCTTCTCCCATTTGGGTTTTAATAGTAAAACATCTATCTTATTGTGTATATTTCATAGGGATTTTACAAGTAACTGGGAGTTTAGGAAAAGTTATGAAAGAGTCTATATCTATCGCTCATACATTTGCTACACAATTCGCTGCTTCCGGTGCTCCATGCTTTTCTACAACTACTGTCACTGATAATGATAGTGCTGATAGTAATAATAATCAAGAACAGTGTATGCTTAATCCAACAGAATCTTCAAAAGCAGCTTTATTCCTTCAAGAATCTGATATTCATTTACATGTTCCTCAAGGTGCTACACCTAAGGTTTGTATATTATTTATTTATTTATTGTATTTTAAGTAAGACTGATGAGTCTGACCAATCAGATATACATTAAAAGATAAGTGTGACTTTATTTTCTGAGGGAATAGGATATACATTTATGAGTGTACATTTCAGTCAGTCAGTCAGTTACAACGTAGGACCAGGTATATACATGCATCGGTCCACGTTGCCACACCTCATTAACACAACAAGACGAACACCAGATTCATAAAAGCAGTTTACTCAATGGTGTAATATGTAAAGGAAAGATTTTATGTAAGGATATAGTACAGAAAGAAATAATTAGTTAGTAGAAAGAAAGATATTAAGTGATTTTAATCTCATAGTTTAAGAGAAGACAGAAAGTGTATACACCTATGCCATCGTGATCGATTCTGAGCCATGTCACCAAGAGTCTTCAACCATTGGTTACGATAGTCACACGGACCTCAACCAAGTAGTCTGCATCTACCAACATGTATTGTTGAGCCAAACGACATAATTCTATTTAGTGAAGACTCCGAAAAAAATGTAAAAATCTTTTGATCACCTTAAGTAACAATGCTAGCGTGTTTGTGATGCATTTCTCTTCTTCCAAATGCAAAATGTTGCTTCAGGACTGATCGACATAAACGCCTATCCTAGTGATAGGTAGTAAAGTTGTTGAGTGCGTTAGCTACTTTAATTATCCTAGAAGGTTCAGTCCTGGTGGGTTGGTGTGTGACAAAAGCTCCTTTGGCTTTTGCCAAGTTGCGTTACTTATGCTACATGTAAGATGAACGTCTACCAACGAAAGGGGATGTATACTGCTCAGCAGTCAGCTGTGTTTTACTCTATGGCTGTGAAACATGGTCTATAAAAGTTAGCGATTTGCTTAGGCTGGAAGTTTTTGATCATGGGTGTTTTCGAAGCACTGCTTGCGTTTCACGGATTCACGAAATAAGCATTGTTGAGGTTTAACATTGAGGTACTTGGAAAAAGTGACGAATCGGTTAACAAGGTAGTGAATCTTCGTCAGTTGAGGTGTTTATGACATTCGTTACGTATGCCTAACTATGGAGTCGCCGTTTGTTGTATTGATCCATGTTGACAGTTGTAGACTACCTGGTTGGTGTTTGTTAGATAACCGCGATCAGGTGTTAGAGACTTTGGGTAATGTGATTCACAATCATTCACTCCTGGATTTTCAATTCTAGTATTCTTTCATATGTACCTTCCCATCCCGACCGTTGTTGCTACATCGACGTGGTGGTCGGGCTTGCCTATCGTGATGAAGCAACCGAGCTATACTGACTGAAACAACTGTTCCTCAAGGTCCTACCATGTCAGACAGGTCGTTTGAAGAGCGGTAAGACTAAAAGCAACAAACCCAAGGTCCGAAGGCGAAGTCGTACTGCTGACTGTACAGAGGTGTGACAGCAGTAAGGTGTTTCCTTCAAACAACCAGCATGACAGCGATGGTGCCTTCCCACAAGGAGGGGTGGGGTTAGAAAAGGTCGACCCTAAAAATGCACACCTCACCTTACCTCACGGATTTCCGTCTCCGGCGGTAAGGCCCTTTGAAGAACGGAGCTAACACGTCAAAATCCTCCCACAAAAAGGCCTTGCGCGACCGGCCTCAAGCAGTTGTCCCTTGGGCACTGCGGTCACGCTCTAAGGTCACTAAGACCACCTCTAATCCAATTTCCTTTTCAGGTACCTCCAGAAGAACCCTTCGTCGGTGTGGGCAACCGGGAAGTGATAACCGCCCTCATACCTCTAACAGCACTCGAGACCACTGTATTCATAATCAACCTTCCTCCTCAATTCCTATTATTCCTCCTACATCGACTTTCAACTCTAAACTTCCTCTTTCAGCTTCCTCCTCAAGTGTCACCATAGCCAACGATTCTAGTGCTCAAAACTCTGTCCCAGGTCTACTGAAACCTCGCCCCACACTACACATTGGAGCTTTCAACGTACGCACTCTATGTCAAATCGGTCAGCAGGCTTCCTTGGCTAAAACCCTAGAGTCTCTTTCCATTGATGTATGCTGTGTCTCCGAAACACGCATACAGGATTCCAGTGTGGTCATTCACTTGACCTCACCTCGGCAAAACGGAGAGCCAACGAGATACACCCTACGTGTATCTGGTGACCCGATGGCCAGTTCTCGTGGACTGGCAGGTGTAGGCATAGTACTAAGCATGAAGGCGGAACAAGCACTGCTAGAGTGGATCCCCGTCAACAGTCGTCTATGTGCTGTTCGGCTAAACGGCTCCGTAAAAACTCGGAAGGATAGGGACACACGTCGTTGCCTTTTCGTCGTTTCTGCCTACGCTCCCACTGACTGCAGCTCAGATGATGTGAAAGATTAATTTTACAGAAAGCTGTTTAAACTTCTTCAGAAAGCTAAACGCTCAGACATAGTACTCGTAGGGGGTGACTTTAATGCTCAGATAGGTAGCTTAAACCAAACAGAAAAGCATTTAGGTGGATATCTTAGCATTCCGGCACAGCGAACAGATAATGGTGACCGTCTGCTGCAACTGTGCTCAGACAATCGCTTATTTTTAGCAAACACAAATTTTAAGCATAAGGAGAGACATCGTCTAACGTGGCGACCGCCTGCACCAAACCAGCGATGGACTCAAATAGACCATATTGCCATCAGTCATCGTTGGAGAGGGTCGGTACAAGATTGCCGCTCATTCTGGAGTACCTGTTTGGACTCCGACCACGCCCTAATACGGGCACGCATCTGCTTGCGCCTCACTGGACGCAAAAAAGCCACATTAAAAAGACCCATTAGAACTGAGTTGAGTAACCAGAAAACCAAAAGTAGGTTCCAAGAACAACTGAGGTCACAATTAGGTAGTTCTGAAGACGAGGCTGACCCAGATGTTGCTTGGAAAGCTATACAAACAGCTGTGGAAACAACAGTGACATCTATTAGTGACCTAAACCACAGAGTTACAAAGAACCAGTGGATTTCTTCAAGGTCTATCACACTGATGGATTCTCGCAAACTCGTCCCATCAGGTTCCGAACATGATGAAGAGCGACAACAAATCAGATCTAGGTTAAGAAAAAGTCTAAAAAACGACCGTGAGCAGTGGTGGGCAACGAAAGCAAAAGAGATGGAAAAGGCGGCGACTATAGGGAACACAAGACAGCTTTACAGACTAATAAAAGAAACTGGAATTAATAAGTCAAGTGTAAGTGAGATTATTTCGGAAAATGACGGTACTCTCATCTGCTCCCAGTCCAGACGTTTAGAACGATGGGCGGAACACTTTAGGGAACAGTTCAACTGGCCTTCAGCTACTCTACAACTACCCTCCATTCCCAGACAGTGTGAATGGAACATTGAAGTAGGTCCCCCAAATCTTGCTGAAGTTCAAAAGGCTTTAGCTAATCTGAAACGAGGAAGGGCAGCTGGTCCAGATGGACTGGCTCCAGAGGTCTTTAAGGATGGTGGTCCAATTTTAGCGATTACGCTGACTAATATTTTAGCTAAGATTTGGGAGTTAGGCGTTATCCCATCTAACTGGTCACAATCACTTATCGTCCCAATATATAAGAAAGGGTCAAAATCATCCTGTGACAACCACAGAGGGATTAGTTTAACTAATATAATATCTAAAATACTAGCTTCGATAATTATCAGATGCCTAACTAAGACTCGTGAACTGCAAACACGAGAGACTCAAGCTGGCTTCAGACCTGGTCGTGGCTGCATCGACCACATATTCACCATTCGTCAGGTTCTAGAACACGGGCATACTTATCGGCGTCCGACAATGATGGTCTTTCTCGACTTAAAAGCAGCATTCGACTCGGTAGACCGCGAGATTCTGTGGCAGTGTCTGTCATTGAAATTCGTACCTCAGAAGTACATAAACTTTGTAAAGGCTCTTTACTCGAACACTACTAGTCGAGTCAGAGCTTATGGCGAACTGTCATCTGCTTTTGCAACCTCAAGTGGTGTCCGTCAAGGCTGTCCACTTTCCCCATTTTTGTTTAACTTCATCATAGATCTACTGATGGAAATAACTTTCTCGTCGACTGAGTTCTCGGGTATTGATCTCCATCCAGGAGGTCCACTTATCGACTTAGAATACGCAGATGACATAGTCCTGTTTGGTGAAGACGCTGACAAAATGCAGAGTCTTTTGGTAGCACTAAGCAACAATGCCAAGATGTTTGGAATGCGCTTCTCTTTCTCGAAATGCAAGTTGTTGCTTCAGGACTGGTCTGCGTCAACACCTGAACTAAGGATAGGGAGTGAAGTAGTCGAACGCGTTGACAGCTTCACTTATCTTGGAAGTCTGATCAGCCCTAATGGGTTGGTGTCTGACGAAATCTCAGCACGGATTCGAAAAGCACGTTTGACTTTTGCCAACTTACGTCACCTATCGTGAACGCTAGATATTCGTCTATCAATTAAGGGACGAGTATACTACGTAATTAATAGTGAGTTTAGACGTAGAGTATTAGGGAATGATGATAGTAAATCAGTTGATAAGGTTGTTAATCTTCATCGACTGAGATGGTTGGGCCACGTGTTACGTATGCCTGAACACCGATTACCACGACGTGCAATGCTAACCGGTGTAGGGGATGGTTGGAAGAAAGTTAGGGGCGGCCAAACCAAAACGTGGCATCAGTGCTTGAAGTCACTAACTTCTAGTCTGAGCCATGTTGGTAGATGCAGACTACTTGGTTGGGGTCCGCGTGATTATCGTAACCAATGGTTGGAGACTCTTGGTGACATGGCTCAGAATCGATCACAATGGCGTCGGTGTATGCACTCCCTGTCTTCCCTTAAACTATGAGATTAAAATCACTTCATATCTTTCTTTCTACGAACCAACTTTTTCTTGTACTATATCTCTATATGCAATCTTTGTCTTATATATTACCACCTTTGACCTAACCACTGCTATGAATCCAGTGTTTATCTTGTTGTGCTGATGCGGTATGGCAACCTGGACCGATGCACATATGTGCCTGGTCCTACGTTGTAGCTGACTGACTGATGTACCTTCCCATTCCGTCTTCTTAAAGCATACTTCCATGGTTTAGTCTTTTTATTGCTAATACTACATTATTTCGATCTGTTCTGTCAATTGCGTAACATCGGGCTAATCAGGTATGGGAGCTTGGTGTCTACCTGGTATGTAATCCTTATTCGGTTTTCAGTTCATGAAGCTTCCTCTTCATTCTAACAGTTTTTTCCACTCAAGTAGTTGGTTCCGATTTGAACATAAAAAGCTTGTATGTCCGTATGAAACTAGGTTGGAGAGCAAAATATAACAGGCAGTCGTTTATTGTTTCGCATTTTGTACAGTTTACAATCATACTTCTTCCGCTCACCCCTTCTCCTATGTTATCGTTATTATCTTTTGTACATTTTCCTATTCATTATTACTAGGATGGTCCATCTGCTGGAGTAACTATGGTAACGGCTTTGTTAAGTTTAGCATGTGGTAAACCTGTTCGTCCTAATCTAGCTATGACTGGTGAAATAAGTTTAACTGGTAAAGTTCTGCCAGTCGGTGGTATCAAGGAGAAAGTTATCGCAGTAAGTTATATACTTTCTCATAATATGATAATTTTTGAATTTCTATTTGAAACTATATATGGTAGTATTGATTTGACCCACAAATGCTCTTACGGTCACATGTATACAGCCACTCCAAGGAAGTTGGTTGGTGGATACGGAGGGTCCACCTAGGGGAGTTGGAAAACCCTGATTCCAAACCAATTGTGCATATTGGCTTTAGGATCATGAGGGGACAAATGGTCTATGAACCTATTGTCGGTCACCGGTTACCACGGTGTCGCATCTTCTAACGTTGTTCCACTGCCTTGTGGGTCAGACCTATAGATCAAAGTCCCGGGTAGTGGCCCCCTGAGAAAACTACTTGGTTCAGTTTGGGCACCCGGGAAGTATTCCAGCCCTCACACAAACCGATTGATTTGTGTGGTACATGTATATTTGGTTCCCCCTTGTAACAATATTTATGTGTTTAAATAAATAAAAAGTATTGATTTGACTTTCACAACTTTCATAAGTTTGTAAATCGGTTAACGAACTAACACAGAGGATGGTGGCCACTCGATTATCAGCCAATTGGTTGACCTCATACAAATGAATAAGGTGTTGTTCTCCCTTTAAAGGAAGAAGACACCTTATTAGTGTAAAATGTAGCTTACGTTTTTAGGGGACCAATATATATATGTATGTGTGAATGAGTGTACAATTGTTTTTCGTTTCGGTTGGTTAATAAATAGATTTCTTGTTACTGAAGTAGTCGTTTAGGCTTGCTAATAAGAAGCTTGTTTAACAGTATTAGAATCGAACACAAAGTTAAGACAGTTTTATCATTTCTTCCAATATTTCATGTGACACATGCGTTGTCCAATGAAAATGAACTAATCTTTGTGCAATAAGTAGTGTTACATCATACAGGGTTACTAAACTGTGTCACTTTTAACCTTGGTTTTCGTTCTAGGTAGAACTCGTCAGCATTCTGTACATATATATTCTTGAAAGGATTTATTATAACTGTATAATTCGGATCCTTGTCATCTAGTTGCAAAGTCTGAGACGTTATCATTAAGCTATATTAGTCACGACTGACCTGCTATAAAAGTGAAATATTTTGATTGATTGATCCTTAGAGTAATGACTATTGTCATGGTTGTTTAGTACTGATCGAACCATCTCGGTTGCGTTTTCAAATGGTAGTTAGGTAGTAATAGTCAACCTCCAACCTGTCAAAACATATCAAGATTAGATTATCGAAATTTATGGCAAAACAAACCGGAATAATTATTAGTAACGAGGGTAGTAAGGAAAACTTAACATTGAATATAAGTAGTGGAGATAAATATTGGGTGTAATCTACACCACTGTAACTAATTCTGAACCATATTACCCACCATTTACAACCATTGATCACAGTTTTCTGCCTTTATGATTATATATATTTCACTGGTTGAAATCATGAGTCAACTGAAGCTAGACCACCATGGAAAACGTGGAAACATCGGACGGCCGTCTTGTCCTACTGTGGGACACCTCAGCAGTGCGCACCCACGATCCCGCACCCTGCGACATTCGAACCCAGGACCTATCAGTCCCGCGCCAGGCGCTTAACCTACTGGACCACTGAGCCGGCATCCAGCGGTGTTAATGTCTAACTTCAACCAATCCATGAAGTTGCACTACCGTATACCATTGTCTTCAGTGAGTTAATATCTCACAACAGACCTGGTTGATCATCACTGTTAACGACTTCTCACTAGAACTCCAGGAGTATCTCCTAAAATCAGTCACTAGTGAGCAAGTGATTATTATTATCAGAATGGATTTTGTGGGGATTTTTAGAATTTTCAGTGGTTGAAATCATGATAGGTCATGGGTTCGAATCTCACGAGGGGGCGAGATCGTGAATGCGCACTGCTGAGGAGTCCCATACTAGGACGAGACGTCCATCCAGTGCTTCTAGGTTTTCCACGATGGTCTAGCTTCAATTAACTCATGATTTCAATCAGTGAAATTTCTAAAAATCTCCACAAAACCCATTCTGATTATATATATATATCACCTATCGTACTTCATCTCTACAGGAGACAAATGACACATAGCAATATCTCATTTATTCAATTAGTTGTTGAGACATTCAACTTTCAATAAATAAGCCATAAGTTCGAATCCTATTCTGTATCATTATTCTTTTCTTTTCTTATTTATAAATAGGCTAAACGTGGTGGTATAACAAGTATCATTTTACCAGAAGCAAATCGTAAAGATTATGATGATTTAGCATCGTTTATCAAAGATGATTTACAAGTTTATTTTGTTCAACATTATAAAGAAATTTTCCCAGTGGCATTTTCACAAACCTAAAAAATCGATGATACACAATAGAAAAGGAAAAAAATAGGAGGTGTGAACTGGTTTGTTTGCTTAACTTAACATACAATAAGAAGGAAAGCAAGAGAGAGAGAGAGGGGAAATGTGCAAAACTTCATTTCTAATTTTGTATAAATAAAATTTCCCATCATAAATGAAAAAAAATTCTTTTTTATTATAAAGAATATGGATATGTGTAACCGGGATTGTTTCTTTAAATTAGTTGATTAGTAGTTAGTTAGTTAGTTAGTTAGTTAGTTAGTTAGTTAGTTAGTTAGTTAGTTAGTTAGTTAGTTAGTTAGTTAGTTAGTTAGTTAGTTAGTTAGTTAGTTAGTTAGTTAGTTAGTTAGTTAGTTAGTTAGTTAGTTAGTTAGTTAGTTAGTTAGTTAGTTAGTTAGTTAGTTAGTTAGTTAGTTAGTTAGTTAGTTAGTTAGTTAGTTAGTTAGTTAGTTAGTTAGTTAGTTAGTTAGTTAGTTAGTTAGTTAGTTAGTTAGTTAGTTAGTTAGTTAGTTAGTTAGTTAGTTAGTTAGTTAGTTAGTTAGTTAGTTAGTTAGTTAGTTAGTTAGTTAGTTAGTTAGTTAGTTAGTTAGTTAGTTAGTTAGTTAGTTAGTTAGTTAGTTAGTTAGTTAGTTAGTTAGTTAGTTAGTTAGTTAGTTAGTTAGTTAGTTAGTTAGTTAGTTAGTTAGTTAGTTAGTTAGTTAGTTAGTTAGTTAGTTAGTTAGTTAGTTAGTTAGTTAGTTAGTTAGTTAGTTAGTTAGTTAGTTAGTTAGTTAGTTAGTTAGTTAGTTAGTTAGTTAGTTAGTTAGTTAGTTAGTTAGTTAGTTAGTTAGTTAGTTAGTTAGTTAGTTAGTTAGTTAGTTAGTTAGTTAGTTAGTTAGTTAGTTAGTTAGTTAGTTAGTTAGTTAGTTAGTTAGTAGTTAGTTAGTTAGTTAGTTAGTTAGTTAGTTAGTTAGTTAGTTAGTTAGTTAGTTAGTTAGTTAGTTAGTTAGTTAGTTAGTTAGTTAGTTAGTTAGTTAGTTAGTTAGTTAGTTAGTTAGTTAGTTAGTTAGTTAGTTAGTTAGTTAGTTAGTTAGTTAGTTAGTTAGTTAGTTAGTTAGTTAGTTAGTTAGTTAGTTAGTTAGTTAGTTAGTTAGTTAGTTAGTTAGTTAGTTAGTTAGTTAGTAGTTAGTTAGTTAGTTAGTTAGTTAGTTAGTTAGTTAGTTAGTTAGTTAGTTAGTTAGTTAGTTAGTTAGTTAGTTAGTTAGTTAATCCTACCTCTCTGTTCCCCCCCCCTTCCCCATACAACTAAGTAGAAGAAACCAATAGGACTGTTTGACAAAAGAAATAAGGTTTTGCAAAGAGTTCACAATTGGAACGTGTTAACAGTTAACTTTGTTATATTTCATATGCAAATAGAAACTTTGATTCAATGATACTTTATTATATTGTGCAGATGAACACGTTAACAGTATACACTTCTCTATCACATTTATCAATTATGTAATCACTCAAAAGCGTTTGAAGCTATAATGAATACAGTAGTATGGGATGTGTCACCATCGCAAGTATGCGTTGCATACCTATATAGAATGTATAGACCGAGGTCTATACACTTTATAGTAGACAGATGTGATTTACCCCAAAGTGTAGCCGAACTATTTAACAATACTGAATTAATGAATTAGCTTGAAAATTATCATTTGACGATGTGTTCTCATCACGCTTATACCACCACAAACACGTTTAGTGTTGACCCATGTGCATAGGTTGCAGTACAACTATGTTCTTCACTCTGGACTACTCCTAGCAGATCTAATAGGCTTTCTCAGAAGGAAAATTCTTTTTTTTTCATTTTAAGTATTTGTTTTTAATTTAGAAGTAAGAGGTACTCAATAATGCAAATCAATAATTTACACTTTCAAATTCCACCTCATCTAATTTAATCTAAACAAGTTAGTAGCCTTCAAACACACACGTAATATGTGAACTCTTAAGCTGAGTATGTAAAATCGTTTTTTTAGTATTCGACTCTGTTGATCGTAAGGTTCAATGGCAGTGTTTGTCACTGAAAGGAGTACCAAAGAAGTACATTAACCTTATAAAGGCTCTCTACTCGAACACAACTGGTAGGGTGAGATCTTATGGTGAACTGTCATCAGAATTGATTACCTCAAGTGGTGTTCGTCAGGGCTGTCCACTCTCTTCATTCTTGTTCAACTTTGTTATTGACGTACTTTTAGAGGTAACACTTTCCTCGTCTAGATTTCTAGGGGTTGAACTTCTACCGGGAGGTTCACTTATTGACTTAGAATATGCTGATGACATAGTTTTATTTGGTGAAGACGCTGACAAAATGTGGAGTCTTACGACCACTCTAAGCAACAATGCAAGCATGTTCGGGATGCGATTCTCTCCCTCGAAATGCAAAATGTTGCTTCTGGATTGGATTAAATCGATACCCGAACTAATGATAGGGAGTGAAGTAGTTGAGTGTGTCGATCGCTTCACTTATCTTGGAAGTCTCATCAGCCCTTGTGGTCTGGTGTTTGACGAAATCTCAGCACGGATACAGAAGGCTCGACTAGCCTATGCCAACTTGCGTCATTTATGGCGTAGGCGAGATATCCGTCTATCAACCAAAGGACGTGTTTACTGAGCAGCAGTTCGTCCCTTCCTACTTTATGGCAGTGAAACAATGCCGGTGGGAGTAGAGGATATCCGTAGGTTACTAGTATTCAATCATAGGTGTTTTCAAAGCATTGCTCATATATCCTGGGACCACCGAGTAAGTAATACAGTTATTAGGAAACGGGTACTAGGTAAAAATGGCAAATCAATTGATGACGTAGTGAAACATCGTCAGTTGAGATGGCTGGGACACGTGTTACATATGCCCAACCACTGAGTGCTCCAACGTGCGATGTTTTATGGTATAGGAGTAGGTTGGAAGGAAGGTAGGGGCGACCAGACCAAAACATGGCACAAATCCATGAAGTCACTGACAAGTAGACTGAGTCATGTTGGTAGGTGTAGACTACTTGGTTGGGGACCGCGAGATGATAGCAACCGATGGTCAGAGACCTTGAATGACATGGCTCAAAATCGTTTGCAATGGCGCAGGTGCATTCACTCTTTGTGTTCTCCCAAATTCTAATCTTCTGAATTCTTCATGTCCCTTTATTTTCTTCTCTTTCCAAATTTCACTGGATTATACTCTTTGAATAACACCTTCAAACCCTTGTGTTTTCGATTACTGCTTATAGTCTTACCACCTCTACCACTACGGGATTCGGATGGACAACTGCATCTCTGTGCTAATGTGGTGTGGCAACTCGATTTGATGTACGTACATACGAAGTTCTACGTTGTTACTGACTGACTGAAAATCGTCTTTGATAAATAAATTGTCATTGAAGACAACTCTATGTAGTTTAATATCAGTTAACGATTAAGAAAACCACCTGTTTCGGTCTGGCCACCCGGGTAGTATCCCAGCCCTCACATAAACCGAATGATTTGTGGCGCATATCTATTTGGTGCCTCCTTGTACCAATGTTTATGTGTTTAAATAATAATAAATATTGCTTTGTGAGCGTGAAACTTGTAGTATAAAGGTGAAATATATTTTCAAGTATTTGATCATAGAGTACTGCGTAAAAAGTACCGATTCCTTTGTTGACACTGAATTTTGATCGATTTAGGTGTCTGAAACAAATGTTATTCAGTTCATGTTCAATTACTACTTATCACAAGATGCAGTTATGTCTGGAGTTTCAGTAGGTTGGAGAAAATGACTTCACATAATGAACATAACCCACCAAACCATTGAATGTCCGTCTAAGTTGTGTTGCTAGCACATACTACTCAAACGGAATCAAAGCAATAACTCTTCATTTCGTTCCCGTGTAGTAATTTGAACCAGTATATCTTCATGTCAGATCCTACATTAATGATTACTGATTAGATTTTCCAATTATTCACATCTCACTTATTGAAACCTTTTTTATAATGGTATCGGAGATTATAGAAGTTGTTCAATTTCATTATTTTAAAACACTAACCAACTTCAATTAGTAAACCAGAAAGCTATAATCAACAGATATCCGTTATGTTGAATATGAGCAAATGTCATTAATGTTAGTTAAAACTATAAATAGGCTATAAGATATCAACTTACTAGTCTAACGGTTACGTACTAACTCATTAGCGTGATAGTTCTAGATTCAATCCACTATAGGATCGTAGATGATGTACACTGTTGAAGAATCCTACTATACAAGGAAGAAACATCTGTTCTCGATTTTCATTGATTATCTAACTAAAGCTAATTTGGAATGTACAATTCATGACATATTACAAAGAGATATGCACACCTTTTGTTATATCTCGATGCGAATAATGAATGGTAACATTTGGGATACATTCATGGACCAATACTATACGTATATGTTTATCGTATAATTGTTATATAACTAAACCATTCATATTCGTGTTGATCGCAGGACAGGCAACGGGGACCATCTACCGCAACTGTGCACAGACCACAACCTGTTTCTGGCTAACAGTAACTTTCGGCACAGACATCGCCGACGTGTCACCTGGCGTCCTCCCTCTCCATCTGAAGCCTGGACCCAGATTGATCACATCGCGATCAGCTACCGCTGGCGTGGTTGTGTACAAGACTGCCGCTCCTTTTGGAGTACCTATCTGGACTCTGACCATGCTTTGGTCTCCGCCAATCTCACCTTACTTTTCAGTGGACAACAAAGTGACCGCCATCAACGGATTGATGTCAGCAAGCTCGTTGCAACTTCTGATGCAATTAAGTATCGAACCGAGCTAGCTTCTAGGCCAGCTACCATTCCACCAAAAAAGTATAGATGAGCATTGGTTGCAATTGCATGACGCTATGAAAATGGCGGGTACAGTCAGTTGTGGGTTCGCGAAACGTCCCGCTTATAAGCACTGGGTTTCTTCTGGTTCATTACAACTCATTGAAGCCCGTCGGTCTACTCCGGGTGACCGTGGGTTTGACCACAAACGAAGGATGTTACGTAAGGAAATTGGGCAAAGCTTGCGTAAGGACCGA